ACATATTTTGCGACACAGCTGCGTCAGCTGTCAATAATTAATTATTGGTTTTTATGGTTCGAACATTGTCAACGGTTGATCGTGATTCTGTATATTAAACAATATTTTCTGCTTCACCCACTTTTGCCGCTTGAGACAATACGTAGTCTGTTTATTCTATTAAACTATTCATTACGTGAAAAATTGTCATTAAACTTATGTCTTACTTTGCGAGGTAAATTTTTTTTATTGATGCTGAATAAGAAAAGTCTTTCAGAGAAAGACTACTTTAAGAAAAATGCAATTTCGTTTTAAAAAGTCAAAACATTGTAGTCAAAATTGCGCGGTGAGTAATTTGGTTCAAATATTCCTTGGATTTTATCAACATATTTTATTGTTTTTACGTTGAAACAAAGATGTTATGAATACAACTAGTTTTTGGTTTTTATTTAAAACTCCACGAGATCTCAATCCATTCTGATTTAAAATGAATATTATTTTCATGCGTGGCTTCATTCTTACAGAAGGCTGACGTATCAAACGAGAAAGCAATGAAGGTAAAAACTCGACGAAAAACTTTACCACCAAAACCATCGCAGAGTTTGAATCTTTGGAATATCTTGAAGAATTGTATTGGCAAGGACCTATCGAACATTTCAATGCCTGTTAGTATTGTTATTGTGTTGTTTTTTTACTCTTTCACATGAATAACCAATTCTTTTATTATTTTTCAATCTCCATATTTTGTATTCCTTTCGTGTCCATGTCCATTTCACACCTTTGTATCCTCCTAGTTAAGTTCAATGAATGGATGTTGAAGATAGAACTGATCCTTTTTGTTTTACGTCGTGATTATGTCTCGTACTTGTCACGCTGACTAAAAATTACACTGAAAATCACGTATATGGTGCCAGCGATTGTCTACTGCAGTTGTAAACGCTGAATGTTAAATAGAACTAGATTAAACCGATGGGAAAAACTGCTTGGTGATAAAGGACAATCTTTATCTTTTATCTATGATGAAAAATCGTAATATTATTTTGTTATGTCGTTAGGTGAATTTCAACGAGCCTATATCTATGTTACAACGTCTAACAGAGGAGATGGAGTATTCAGATCTCTTGGATAAAGCTGCACAAGCAAAAAATAGTCTCGAGGAAATGTGTTATGTTGCTGCATTTACCATATCATCGTACTCGACGACAAGTGTACGCGTTGCTAAACCTTTCAATCCACTTCTTGGAGAGACATATGAAATGGACAGAAGTTGGGAAGAAGGATGGAGATGTCTTGCTGAACAGGTATATTTTCTATCATTCTCTGATGTATATATTACACATACACAAATACATTACATTCACAAGTAATATAATCCAAATTATTCTTAGCTATAAGAATGATTGGGATAATGAATGTTCTTTACACTATAAAAATATTGCAATGTTTGTATATTTAGGTTTCCCATCATCCACCAATCACGTGCTTCCATATCGAACATCCTGATTGGACGTATTGGCAAGATTTCACGGCAAACGGTAAATTTCGTGGTAACTATGTTCAGGTTGTTCCACTTGGCGTTGCTCATCTGACATTTTGTGCCAGCGGTAGTCATTATACTTGGCGTAAGGTCAACACAAATGTGCACAACATTATTGTTGGAAAACTTTGGGTCGATCAGGTAGGCAGTAGCGAAATTTGACTATGGCATACTGTACTCACTTTAATTGCAACAAAAGTTGGATGCCTTGTGCAGCTGTACTTGATAATTTTTCTAAACTCACATCTAATTATTTGATTTAATCGCTTTGTTTGAACTATCGACTTTCTTCAGTCAGGTGAAATGGAAATTACAAATCATACGACAGGAGATATATGTAAACTGAAATACAACGCATACACATATTTTTCACGAGAAACTCCGAGAAAGGTATGTTATATTAATAGACGATAAAAACCCATCTGTACATTGTGAAATCTACCATAGAGATACATAGAGTGAATGTGCACAATACAGATACCACATCTGTACATTGTGAAATCTACCAATACATAGAGAATATTGCACATACACAGTGAAAACCATACTCGTACTTATTGGTAAAACAAACAATACTTTGGAAAACACGTGTATACATAGTAAAACACATCTGTACACTGTGAAACCTTACCAATACATAGAGAATATTGCACATACACAGTGAAAACCATACTCGTACTTATTGGTAAAACAAACAATACTTTGGAAAACACATGTATACATAGTAAAACACATCTGTACATTGTGAAACCTACCAATACATAGAGAATAGGGCCTATTTACATATTTATTTCTACCAATGTTTCTGATTCCCGCGAGTCCACGATGAAACATGCCTGCAATAGATCGATAATGAATCATTTATTGTTTGTATACGTAGGTCACTGGTTATGTCATGGATAAATCCAAGGTAACACATTATATCTTGACGGGTACATGGGACAAAAAAATTGAATGTGCTGAAGTATTTTTTAACAACAATACTGCGGGTGGAATGCCGAAACAGACAGCCCAAACTAGGGCACCGTTTACTTTATGGAAGATGAACGCTCTTCCGTAAGTATGATGCCTAGAGTTTTTTCTTCATGAACTGTTAAGCTGTGAGATTTTGCTTGTTTATATATATTATAAAGTAAAAACATAGTCGATAATTCAATGCATATGTTCAACATTTTCTTTTCTGCGACTGTTTTAGTGCTGATCGTGAACTTCAGTATAATTTTTCTGATTTTGCGATGTCGTTGAACGAGCCAGATGATTCAGTGGCTTTAACAGACTCGCGCTTCAGACCTGATCAGCGGCTTATGGAGCTAGGTAAATGGGACGAAGCCAACTCGGCCAAAGGTAGACTTGAGGAAAAACAGCGTGCAAAACGCCGTGAGCGTGAGGCTGAGGCTGAGTTAGCAAAACGTGAAGGTCGCGTGTTTGAGGACTACAAACCTGTGTGGTTCGAGAAAGTTCATGATGAATTATCGGGGTTAGAAATACATGTTTATAAAGGTGGTTATTGGGAGGCAAAAGAGAAACAGGATTGGTCTATGTGTCCAGATATATTTTAGGAAATGATATGAAAATACTTACAATGAAATGTTGAAAAGTGAAGAAGGAATTGGCTGAGGAGATATAGTTAAAACGTCAAATGACGTATTTGGCAATGACGTCAAATGATGTATTTGACAAAAAATTACGCACTCGAGTTATACGCTCAAAAAAATACACTTGCAAAAACTGGAAGAGTCTTCGTGTTTCTCTTTAATCAGGAGCTTTTTCCTTCAAATAAAGTTAAATTCTTGTGAAGAATTCTAAATTATGCTGATATTTTTAAAAATGAAAAATTCCATTCTTTGTGTTCTGTTTGTACCATTGAGTTCTATAATAACTGGAGCGGCTAAGTGGACTGTTACCTGACGCCCAAAAAGTGCCGGCCAATGACGTATTTCCGTTGATATGATCGCTTTGGAGAAAAATTATATTCTCGACCTCCCCCTGATGTCTATAGCTAATTATACCGCATTTTTCAAAAACAAACACGATATCTTTTTTTGGCATTTCCTTTGAAATGCCAACACTTCAATCATTCAATTGTTGGATATCGTAGTGTCCAAAAAAAGGAACATGTCGCTTTTACAGGTGAGATATTTGTTTTGTTTATTCATCAAAAATTGAAAAGCAATTGAGCTTCGAAGAAACTGTTAAAGTTGCGAGCGAAGATGCACAATCACAGGTGCAATAAAAACATAAAAAATGGATTTTTTTTTCAATATGGTTTAGATACTTGAGTCCATAGTGGCTTTTATTGACTCAAGTTTTATGACACTCAAGGCATCTGAAGATAACTTATGATTCTACTATTCACATAGTTGTTTGTACACATTTCAAACGTAATGTTTGCGATTTCAACTTTAGATCAAAGCAGCTATGGAGACGCAGAGAAGTTTTGAAAGTTGACTAGAGGAAATACTGCCGACATTGATAGAAGAAAGAGGAAGACGAGTGACGATTTGGTGAGTACTTATGACTTTTTTTGATTTTTACTTCGTCATCTAAGTTGAATTTACTAAAATATTGATGATGTAAAAATTCTTACTATTCTAGAATGAGCTGATGTTGTCCAGAGACATTGCTCCAACCAAGGTAGTGATTTTATACGCGATAAAGATAATGATTGTTGCATCTAAAATGTTAATTTTAAAAAATTTAGAAAATAACAGAAATAATTTTTGTTCAATATTGAAGGTCTTTGGTTACTTTAAACATTTTAATTTATTTTGAAAGTTGCAATTCTTGGAAATATTTTTTGTTCATCCTCAATGCAACAAGATTTTTTTGGAAATGCATTTTATAAAGATAATATAGTTGTCATGGTGAAACATTCAAAGAAAACATTCCATATAAAAGTTGAAACATTTTCTTTGATTAATAAAATTTTTTCCTTTCTTGCTTATTTTCAGATTGATTTTTGCTTGTATCCTCGAAGGATGTAAAGCTGCAAAGACAATCATAAGAACTTTATCAAGCAGAGATTGAATCCTTGGGAAAGGAAATAGAAAGAGAAAATGATCGCGTCTTTCAATAATTGATCATTTGGTTCTTTCTTTAAAATTATTCAAGTGGTTTTAAAGGTCAACGTGAATCTGTTAAATTAATTGTATATATTGAATATTGTCTTCCAACTTTTTCTTTGACAATTTTTTGGAAGGCACGAAAATGGCCTATCGTGTTGTTCTTTTGGTCCAGCGTGCGTGCTGTTCACATGTAAATCACATGCTTTGTGATTTTAGCTGTGAATAAGTGAATGGAAATGGATTAAAACATAATGTCAAACTTAAATGAATAATCATTTCTAATTTTTCACATGGACCATCATCACATTGATAGCCAAGATAACACAGTATTTTGTTTCATTGTGCTTATTTAATTTCTACTAGGCTATAATGAAAAGGTCTATTTTCTCCTCCTGATTGAATTTTTTTAAATTTGATACTGTTCTCCCATTAGCAAACTTACTATTGAAGTTAGAGGACATTGGACGTCGTTTGCACTACTACTCCTGCCGAAAATAGTGGTTTTTTTCCAATTGAAGTGGATTTCTGAATTGCTAGGCTTGAATATTTATATATTCTAATTCGTAGCAGGGATGTGTATTTGTAAGTTGAATATCTTATGCCATTGGAAGCAGTGTATAATTCAAGACTTCAAAAAAAATATCCTTACCTAGAAACAAGGAAGTCCAAATCGTGCCATCGGGTTTGTGCGGGCTAGCAAGTGGCAAAATAAAAAAATGGCCGCTTTATGCCAATATATGTGAAGACTAAATTATCTAAAAGTTCTTAAAATGCAAGAAAATAAAGGAGCCTCTGATTTGTTCAGAGGATGGTTAATGAAATGGACAAACTACATTAAAGGTTATCAGAAACGATGGTTTGTTTTAAGTCATGGGCTTCTCTCCTACTACAGGTACTGACGTACTGCTGTCCCATATTGTTTTATCGAATTTTAACAACACGAATTGTTTGTTTCGTTTTTGCATTTATCATTTTTATTGTTCAGAAACCAAGCGGAAGTTGTTCATACATGTCGAGGAACGATAAATATGGCAAATGCATTTATTTCTACTGAAGATGACCCTTGTGGCTTTGTTGTGTCCAACGGGAGTACACACTACTTTCATCTTAGAGCGACGTCCGAAATTGAAAGACAAAAATGGGTGACTGCTTTGGAACTTGTCAAGGCAAAAGCTATAAAGACGCAAGAATCAGGTAAAGCTACATTAAGAAAACGAAAAATTATTTTGTTGTTTATCAGATAATTCACGTTTAGGTCGTATGACATGAAGATGACTTAAATACCGCTATCATCATTTGAAGTTGTTTTTTTAATAAAATTATCTTATTTAGATCAAAATTTGCTCCTGCAATACGTGCTAAAATTTAACTCGAATTAAAAGCTTTGTTACACGAATCTACTCCCAAAAACAAATGTTTGTTTTGTAAACGTGCTCCTATTGTCAGATGACGAACTCGCCATATTAAACATGTATATGTGATGGGCCGTTTTGAATTTCTGCTTAATAATGCATAAGTCTGAAAAATATCTTTATTTTTTGTATGGATTTTAAAATGATATGACCTAATTATGCTTCAAAATAATAATTTATATTTTATTATCTTCACTGGTTTCTTTATTTTATTACAATGATAATGTCGTATTATTATTATACATTTGAAATTTTGATTTCATTAGATAGGGAACTTGGGTCTGGCAGACAGAAATATATTTTATTAAAAATAAGATTGAATGGTAATCAGCAACAGCATTATTTGATTAAAAATATTAGAACAATAAAATGACTGTTTTTTTTACAATTAATTTAGACATACTTTATCAGAGAATTTAGTTTTGCCATATCTTTGGTAATTTATGTCAGTATTGAATTTAAGAAATAGATAACGTTTTCCTAGAAACATACAGAAAAGTTTAGGAGAAACAAGAAAGCAATTTTGTGTTTCTCCCAAACTTTTACGAGTGTTTCTGCAACTCAATAGGAACAAGTAAGTATGTTTTCTATGTTGTTTACAAAATAGCTTTTTAAAAACAATATTTAAAAGATAAATTTATTGATTTTAATGACAAATTGTTTATATTTTTGTCTTAAAAATTTCCTGCACAAACCATGCTACCTGCAAGACTTTGCAAAATTAAGATTCCTTGTTTGTACAGACTAGTAGCATTTAACCAATCAATGCTTGTATTTTTTAAAAGGATATTTTATAATAAAACTTCCTTCATTTCATTTTAATTTTGGTTTGATTTTATTATTTAAAAAATAATTATAAATACTTTCAGATGAAGATGAGGATGAAGACAAAAATGAAGGCTCCACAAAACCACTATCAAGTAAGATAGACGATCTTCAGACATGTAATGACCTAGTTACTAAACATGGGACAGCATTACAAAAAGCAATCAATGAGCTCCAGGATTTGGGCGAAGAGCTTATTGAAGGCGTGGAACTGGGCAAAAGATTGAAACTTGTAAATGAAAAAGCCACATTGTTTCGTATTACATCAAGTGCCATGATAAGTGTAAGTTGCTTTAACATTTTCTAATTTTTTGCTTAAATTTCATTACATTCTAAGCTGTGTTTTCAAATAATTTTCAATTGACTTAATATGCATTTTCATATTACCTTTCTAAGCATTGTGTATTGCTATTTTACAAATGGACTTGCAAAAGCACTGTGAAAATATAGGATAGGAATAAAGATTCAAACCCTTGTTATCCATGGGTATTTGTCTTTACAAAATTTAAATACATTTATGTTAAAGTTGTACTATTATATATTGGTGTGATTTCATTCAATTTCTGAAGTTTTTGCTGTGATATTCACAGAAAAACTTGTAAAATTCGCAAATACACTTTACTGACATGGACAGAGTTTGCAGACACATAGAAAAATTTGATGGATTTTTTTCGTCTTCGATTATTTTTTTTTGTGCCAACCGATGGTGTTGATCAAAATTTACCAAGCGTTGCTGGAATAAAATTACTCAGTGAAGAAAACGTTTTTGACCCCTTTAATTACTAAATTATTTATAGTTACTTGTAACATGATCTTATTCAAATATGCGACGATTTACAGACGAATAAACATTTGCGTCATGTTTGCGGAATAAAAACAAAAAAACTCTGATAGCTACGTTGATGTGATCCGTCGAAGTTCACTGAAGAATTTTATGTGTATGTACTCGTTTTACCTTTATTGAGACAAATTATTTCTGTGCGAGCTTCACTATAAATTCATGTAACAGATGCTGCACTCGTAAAGTAACAGTCGCGACTGCTTTCTTATTATAGACGCTAGTCTTTGTTTTGTACTTTAGAAATTTAGTCTTATGAACTATGATGAGTTTGTGTTTTTCTATCAAAGATAAGATTCATTTCCTAATAAGCAAAAAGCCTCTTGGTAATAGGAAAATTCATATTAACTACAGCGTTTTACGACAGGAAGAAGAAGAGAGTATTAAAATGACCTCAATAAACACAAATCTTAGCATATGTGTATTTTAAACAAACGTCTAAAGTGGCGATAAACTATCGTTTTGAAGGAATCCATGAAATTTTTCTGTTGGAACTTTGGGAGGATAATGTTAATCTCTTTCTTGTTCAGCTCGTTCTTGTAGATTCGTACACGTTTATTGTCTGCATATTATTTCATCAACTTAATGACAAATTTTTTATAGGTTCTTTTATTTAAAGTATTTAGAAATCTCATTTGTTTGACTATTCAACGAGATCTCTAGTTATAATTGGAGATTGTATGTAACGTGTCTACAAGACACTCTCCAGGCACTGCTTTCAGCATTGTGCAATATAGAAAGTCAAAGTTGAGATACTCTACGTCATAACTTTCATTCAAATGTGCAAGTGTATAAAGACTAAATGATTTAACTTGTTATTTATAAAATATGAAGTTCTTATAAAGCATATTTTTTTCAAACAAACTTTAACCAATAGTTTTGATTTTTATTTTGAGTACCCACTACGTACTATTTTAATATTGTTTTCGTATTTACTCGTAGCAAACGACATCTAAATATAATATTTTATGTTTTTGTACAATTTCTGTTCTCAAAATTTTAGGCATGTGGTGAATTTTATGATCTCGCTCAAAAGCAAGAGAAGAATTTCAAAAAGGTTTGTCTAAAGATAAAAAATAGGTGACGATATAAATATATGATGTTGCAGATTGGCTAAGTAAAGCATTCGGATACAATCTGTACTTTATCGTATTTGAAACCTCTCGTTAAAAACATTGTTCTATAAAAACATGCCATAATATCGTGATTAGAAATTGTCCTCTCTTCGTTTCTTATCGTTTGTTCTATAGTTATGGTTTCATTTTCATCATATATCATCATTTTTCTCAATTTTTGGAAAATGAAAAGATTCTATCAAAGTTTTTTTTATATTTATGAAATCTTTAAATGTTTTTATTCCTTCTTGGGCTCCAAACCCCTATTCAAACAAGCAGTAACCACTCTCAGGTTTCGTTGGGCTGTGTCCAAGCTAAACCCTTTCAAACCAGTCAGACATTTACCACTCTCAGGTCTTGTTGGGCTGTGTCCAAGCTAAACCCTTCAAACAAGTCAGACAGTTACCACTCTCAGGTCTTGTTGGGCTGTGTCCAAGCTAAACCCTTCAAACAAGTCAGACATTTACCACTCTCAGGTCTTGTTGGGCTGTTTCCAAGCTAAACCCTTCAAACAAGTCAGACAGTTACCACTCTCAGGTCTTGTTGGGCTGTGTCCAAGCTAAACCCTTCAAACAAGTCAGACAGTTACCACTCTCAGGTCTTGTTGGGCTGTGTCCAAGCTAAACCCTTCCAAACCAGCAGTAACCACTCTCAGGTCTTGTTGGGCTGTTTCCAAGCTAAACCCTTCAAACAAGTCAGATAGTTACCACTCATTGATAAACTAAAACACGCCATTTATCATGTTTTCAGTTCATCGAGCATGAACGCTCTCAAAAAATTCGTTTGGAACAAACGGTCGAAGAACTAGCGAAGCAATATAATTTCCTTGAAGAAGCGTGTCGTGAGGGAGTACCAAAGCAGAAAAAAAACGCTTTAGCAAAATCATCACGGCAGTCGTCGGCAATGACAGCTGGACAACCTTCCACTCAGACTGGTGTGGATTCTGGGAACATATCTAGTGATGATGATACAGAATTTTTCGATGCTGTAGATGTCACAGGTATTTGAGTGTTTTGTTAGATGTTGATTAATGGAATAAAGTATTCAACATATTATTTTCATACTAAACTAAAGTCTATATACTGGAAAACTTATTTATAAAACAATTACCAGCTATTATGAAAATATATATTTTCTTCAATGCTAGATTACATCACAAGCATTCGTTTGGTAATTATTACTCGAATGAAAAGTTTTTATGACTACACATCTGTATTATGAATGTGATGAAACCTATCAATACGTGTTAAAACGAGTTTGTTTTATATTTTCTGTGACGTAGCAAGCCTGCGTGTAAGCCCTTTGTTTTCACTTTCATGTGAAAAAAATAGATTTCTTAATAATTAAATAATGTTCTGAAATTTACACATGACTAATATTGAAATTCTTTATTTCCTCTGCTCCAGTTTAGTCATCTCTTGTGCTTGTAGGTAACATACCCTACTCGGCTGGCGAACTTTCTACGGCGAGTTCCGATATTAGCTTTCAGTCGGAAAAGAATGTGACTTCACATAAGAGGTCGTCATCAGACTATGCAGTTAGCGTTCCTGAAACAGCCGACAATCATCGTATGCACAGTGCTTCGGCTGGTGATTTGTCGAGCAGTTCAATATCTACAACATTAAAACTGGAAAAGGTAATAAATATATTGCTGGTTGTTTGTCCATCTGAAGCATTTAGAGCATATTGCAAAGAATATGGTTTTCTCACTAGTTAGTTGTTAAAAAGTTAAGTTTATTTTACATGTATTGCTTCTTGGTGATATCTTTTATCACTTTAAGATATTGCCCGCATTTGTTTTCGGTCAGTAATCCTATAAATCCCTAAAGATTAGATAATCAAGTAGATCATCTCATAATTTTTTATTAATTTATTAGCTGAATTCAGGTGATTAATAGGTTTTTATAGTTTTTAAAAAAGTAATAAAGATGCTTGTTGTTGGTGATTATTTTTATTATTGATAACATATGCATTTTGGTTGATCATACTTTACATCTACTTTCATTTTTTTGTTTGTCTGGTATAAAAATGTTCCATATGTGTGCCTCCTTGGCAAGAAAATTTTTTATTTTGTGTGCTTGCCTGGCAATGAATTATAGTCTTGTGTGCTTTCCTGTCGTAGAAATGTTACACATGTGTGCTTTCCTGTCGTAGAAATGTTACACATGTGTGTTTTCCTGTCGTAGAAATGTTACACATGTGTGCTTTCCTGTCGTAGAAATGTTACACATGTGTGCTCCCCTGTCATAGAAATGTTACACATGTGTGCTCCCCTGTCAAGGAACTTTTAATTTTGTATGCTTTCCTGGCAACGAAATTATGGTTTGGTGTATTTTTTACTAGTGAAATATATCTTGGGACGTATTTTGCGACACAGCTGCGTCAGCTGTCAATAATTAATTATTGGTTTTGTGGTTCGAACATTGTCAACGGTTGATCGTGATTCTGTATATTAAACAATATTTTCTGTTTCACCCACTTTTGCCGCTTGAGACAATACGTAGTCTGTTTATTCTATTAAACTATTCATTACGTGAAAAATTGTCATTAAACTTACGTCTTAATTTGCGAGGTAAATTTTTTCTTTATTGATGCTGAATAAGAAAAGTCTTTCAGAAAAAGACTACTTTAAGAAGAATGCAATTTCGTTTTAAAAAGTCCAAACATTGTAGTCAAAATTGCGCGGTGAGTAATTTGGTTCAAATATTCCTTAGATTTTATCAACATATTTTATTGTTTTTACGTTGAAACAAAGATGTTATGAATACAACTAGTTTTTGTTTTTATTTAAAACTTCACGAGATCTTAATTCATTCTGATTTAAACATTCTTACAGAAGGCTGACGTATCAAACGAGAAAGCAATGAAGGTAAAAACTCGACGAAAAACTTTACCGCCAAAACCATCGCAGAGTTTGAATCTTTGGAATATCTTGAAGAATTGTATTGGCAAGGACCTATCGAAGATACCAATGCCTGTTAGTATTGTTATTGTGTTTTGTTTTTTTTTTACTCTTTCACATGAATAACCAATTCTTTTATTATTTTTCAATCTCCATATTTTGTATTCCTTTCGTGTCCATGTCCATTTTCACGCCTTTGTATCCTCCTAATTAAGTTAATTAAGATCGTGTTTTGTTTTACGTCGTGATTATGTCTCGTACTTGTCACTCTGACTAAAAATTACACTGAAAATCACGTATATGGTGCCAGCGATTGTCTACTGCAGTTGTAAACGCTGATTGTTAAATAGAACTAGGTTAAACCGATGGGAAAAACTGCTTGGTGATAAAGGACAATCTTTATCTATGATGAAAAATCGTATTATTATTTTGTTATGTTGTTAGGTGAATTTCAACGAGCCTATATCTATGTTACAACGTCTAACAGAAGAGATGGAGTATTCAGATCTCTTGGATAAAGCTGCACAAGCAAAAAATAGTCTCGAGGAAATGTGTTATGTTGCTGCATTTACCATATCATCGTACTCGACGACAAGTGTACGCGTTGCTAAACCTTTCAATCCACTTCTTGGAGAGACATATGAAATGGACAGAAGTTGGGAAGAAGGATGGAGATGTCTTGCTGAACAGGTATATTTCTATCATTTTCTGATGTATATATTACACATACACAAATACATTACCATTCACACATAATATAATACAAATTATTCTTAGCCATAAGAATGATTGGGATAATGAAAGTTCTTTACACTATAAAAATATTGCAATGTTTGTATATTTAGGTTTCCCATCATCCACCAATCACGTGCTTCCATATCGAACATCCTGATTGGACGTATTGGCAAGATTTCACGGCAAACAGTAAATTTCGTGGTAACTATCTTCAGGTTGTTCCACTTGGCGTTGCTCATCTGACATTTTGTGCCAGCGGTAGTCATTATACTTGGCGTAAGGTCAACACAACTGTGCGCAACATTATTGTTGGAAAACTTTGGGTTGATCAGGTAGGCAGTAGCGAAATTTGACTATGGCATACTGTACTCACTTTAATTGCAACAAAAGTTGGATGCCTTGTGCAGCTGTACTTGATAATTTTTCTAAACTCACATCTAATTATTTGATTTAATCGCTTTGTTTGAACTATCGACTTTCTTCAGTCAGGTGAAATGGAAATTACAAATCATACGACAGGAGATATATGCAAACTGAAATACAACGCATACACATATTTTTCACGAGAAATTCCGAGAAAGGTATGTTATATTAATAGACGATAAAAACCCATCTGTACATTGTGAAATCTACCAATACATAGAGAATAGTGCAAATACACAGTGAAAACCATACTCGTACTTATTGGTAAAACAAACAATAATTTGGAAAACACATGTATACATAGTAAAACACATCTGTACACTGTGAAACCTACCAATACATAGAGAATATTCCACATACACAGCGAAAACCATACTCGTACTTATTGGTAAAACAAACAATACTTTGGAAAACACATGTATACATAGTAAAACACATCTGTACACTGTGAAACCTACCAATACATAGAGAATAGGGCCTATTTACATATTTATTTCTACCAATGTTTCTGATTCCCGCGAGTCGATGATGAATCATGCCTGCAATAGATCGATAATGAATCATTTATTGTTTGTATACGTAGGTCACTGGTTATGTCATGGATAAATCCAAGGTAACACATTATATCTTGACGGGTACATGGGACAAAAAAATTGAATGTGCTGAAGTATTTTATAACAACAATACTGAGGGTGGAATGCCGAAACAGACAGCCCAAACTAGGGCACCGTTTACTTTATGGAAGATGAACGCTCTTCCGTAAGTATGATGCCTAGAGTTTTTTCTTCATGAACTGTTAAGCTGTGAGATTTTGCTTGTTTATATATATTATAAAGTAAAAACATAGTCGATAATTCAATGCATATGTTCAACATTTTCTTTTTCTGCGACTGTTTTTAGTGCTGATCGTGAACTTCAGTATAATTTTTCTGATTTTGCGATGTCGTTGAACGAGCCAGATGATTCAGTGGCTTTAACAGACTCGCGCTTCAGACCTGATCAGCGGCTTATGGAGCTAGGTAAATGGGACGAAGCCAACTCGGCCAAAGGTAGACTTGAGGAAAAACAGCGTGCAAAACGCCGTGAGCGTGAGGCTGAGGCTGAGTTAGCAAAACGTGAAGGTCGCGTGTTTGAGGACTACAAACCTGTGTGGTTCGAGAAAGTTCATGATGAATTATCGGGGTTAGAAATACATGTTTATAAAGGTGGTTATTGGGAGGCGAAAGAGAAACAGGATTGGTCTATGTGTCCAGATATATTTTAGGAAATGATATGAAAATACTTACAATGAAATGTTGAAAAGTGAAGAAGGAATTGGCTGAGGAGATATAGTTAACAACGTCAAATGACGTATTTGGCAATGACGTCAAATGATGTATTTGACAAGAAATTACGCACTCGAGTTATACGCTCAAAAAAATACACTTACAAAAACTGGAAGAGTCTTCGTGTTTCCCTTTAATCAGGAGCTTTTTCCTTCGAATAAAGTTAAATTCTTGTGAAGAATTCTAAATTATGCTGATATTTTTAAAAATGAAAAATTCCATTCCTTGTGTTCTGTTTGTACTCTTGACTGCGATTTCATACCTTAGATGGAAACGAAGTTCTTCTCACTTACAGTAAAAAGTGCAAAGTGGGAAATATTTGTCGAATATTGCATTAAAACTTTATACTGTGTTATTTTTAGAAAAAGAGTGCGTCTTTCCTCTAATTTAATCTTCAATGGTTTTCTTCTACCTAAAGCAAAACTCCGCCATATTTATTACTGGCCAAAGCCAATCATGTGACTAAAATTTTACATCAAAAAATGGCGAACGAAAAGACTAAGAAGGTAGATGTGCAGTATGAGACTGAATATCGACTATAGTATACTATACTATGGGTAGAGCAAAGATTGGTAAATTGTGTTATACATACAATCTAAATGATTTTCGCATTTTGTTTTATTTCATCTCTTTTTGGGATAAAGCAAACACAACAAAGTCTCGTTTAAACAAAGACTATACAGTATAATTATATGTGCTACGACAATTTAACAATTATTTCATATAAATGATTAACTAATGTTGTATTGTTATGCAAACATTAATACAATCAAGACAAATACACATTAACATAATATCAGCGTTTCTGTGAACGTATAATATTAGTTCAGTATCATAATAAAAATGCATAACAACGAGAATACTATTTACATTTTTGTTTCCTTGTGGTCAGACTTGGATAACAATTTCCTTGTGGGATTACGACTGCTGCGCGAAGTTTTATCCGTGTTTCTGAAACGATGTCTATATAAATTTAGAGTTTTAGCGTTCAAAACAAAGGCCCATGCTACAAAAAAACCTAAGGATGTAAATATAACAAAAAGATAGTAAAACACAGATGTTGACGTCACCACTTGACCCAGGAGACCAAATAACCATGTAAAACCCATCAAGGTTGAAAGACGAATGTAAATGCTGAGATTTGAAGATCGTTTTCCACTTGCAGTTAGACCTGCTTGATTCTGGGCGTGCTTACGAAATTGTATAGCGGTTCTCACAAATTCCACGACATTAAACATCAGCATTAGTATCACAGGTATCGTTACAAAATAAACGTAGGAATTTGTTCCCGTTAACCAGCAAATATCCGTCTCTCCATAACCCAAATTTATTATTTCTTCGCTGTCGAGGACGACACAAATTGCCATAAACAAGGCAGGAATGATCCATACTAAGCACAAATACACGTAAAACAGCTTTCGTTTGTGTCCCGGCGACAATTTTGGTGCAGGTAGTTTTTTTCCAAACACCTTTCGAGTATGATGAGCAATGACAACCATGCTGAAGAAAGACGCCAGTAGAAAATAATGCTCGATGATTGCAAATGCTTTACAGATATTTTCGTTGTCAGTTACCTTGGTAAAGTTTGTGGGGAGCCAGAATATTTCAAACAATAACAAAGTAAAGGCGAAGTTCATTATGTTTTTACCTGGCAAAGTACGTAGTTCAGGGAATATGATGTAGGTGACGAGAAGAAATGTCAAGAAAACTATGGAGATAAGAAAAAAGACAAATGTGATATATCCAAGGGCTTCGTTGTGCACTTCACGAATTCTTTTGACAAACTTTACCACAAACGTTTGACAAGTTTTTACAGAATAGTTTGAAAGAATTTCATATTCTCCATAGTAATAGGTACGAAATATCTTGAATACGTAGACAGTAAGGTTATTCATCAAGTTATATTCTTGTGGTGAATAGATAACTTCAGTTCCATTACATTTTGTGGGAACATATTTTTTACATACTGTGATGTTTCCTTGTTTCGCACTAAGTTTTTCTTTCCTTTCTCGGTAGTATTCATAATGTTCAAAAGTTTCATTTGTGCTTCGTATCAAAACACGTTCATTCTGCTGTAAAATATATTCTTCAGGAGTGTATGTTACCTTTCCAACACAAGCAAGGGGTCGGGATGTTGTTTTGATGATGGTATAGTTTAGATTTTTGATTTGAAGAGAAAATTCTTCCCTAAAGTATATAAACTCACGAATTCGTTTGTCAAACTCAGTGGCAATTATCGTGTTGAATAGAAATTGCAAACTTTGTTGTGGTGTTAAGATGATCTTTGTTTCCACAATGTAGAACTGAATTATTACTGTTCGACGACCAGAAACTTTCCTTATATTGATGTCGAAGAATTGTTCGCGTGTCATGTTTAAGTATTTAGAAAGCGAGTTCTGAAAATCCATTGCTGTAAATGATATTTCAAACTGATTTTGTGATGGTTGTAGCCAAGACAAGACAAAAAATATTTCTCTTCCATTTTCTTCTGGTGAAGGTAACCAGTTAACACGACAGTCATGTAACTTATCGTCATAGACCAATCCTTTTCTTTCACATCTTTCATCGTATATGAGGACTGAACGAACAACTTCATTCTGTCCTTGCGTGTGTCCAAATACAATGGATAACGACCGAGGTCGAAATGTCATGGGGCATACTGCAACAATATTAGTTGGAAAACATCGAAGAACGCCCACCCTATCTTTGAATAAACCATTGCACACTGCACAACGTGTGTTAGTGTAAAGATCACTGCCGAATGAAACTAAATTAACATTTCCATAATCACACGATGGATCCTCTTTACCTGGTGGGCATTTATTGATAATGCTTCTCAAACAGTATCGGCTAGCTTGATCTGTTGCTGGTATAGGTCCCACGAAGTCATCGAACCGCGCGTTGTATTTTTCCAGGAAGCGAATGATTTTGGTTGTATTGTAAGTTTCCGGGGGTATTACTGCATATTCAAATTTAAGTGGCCAAGAATTGTACTCCATCTCATTATTACAAATTGCACAATACCTGTTACGAAATGTTGTATTATCCTTGGATATCACTGGAAGATAACCAAAGATATTTGTTAAGATATCCAATGATGATTGTGGGAGCTGTTCTATTGGTGTCTCACACTTGCTTCGCGTTGAATCGCGAGGCCATTCATATGAACATCCACTGACCATCCAAACTCCGTATGGGACGTAGCAAAATTTTGAATTATCTTTCTCAAAGTGAGAACATGTGTAGTTATATGTCTTCCTCGGTGTTTCTCCAGATGTTTGCGCTCCACAATACTTTGTGTAATCTGAACAACAATCTCCGAAAACTTTATGACAATCTTGATCACATGAGCATCTCATCCTGACAATGTTTCGCCATTCTGTCTTGTTACCGCAGCGACCTTTGCATGACACTCGAGTTGAACATGTTGGTGTGAAAGATTCTCTTGTTTTGCATAGTGAAATTAAGCCGTTAGAAACTTCATAGTTGCCGCGATCATAAAACATTCTAGTGTTCTTAACTTTCAAAGCCAAATTCTTGTATATGGTGACGTCATTCTTGGTGAGACCAACTTTGGTCAGCTGACAACCGTTTGCCATGTACTCCTCGCAAACCACAACATCATTTCCAATATCACCGTAGTACTGTGATCTCTCATAAGTTTTCCCAGTCGAGTTTATTTGAATTTTATCGTCGTCAATAACTGTATAACTGCGTTGATTGTAAATTTTTTTCCCAACACAAGATAACGGACGTGATGTAGTCTTAATTATAGTGTACGTGATGTTATTCCATGTTATTGCATTGGATTGCTTAAAATATATGAATTCTTGAAGATTTCTCGAACTTGAAGATGCATTATAGTATATATTAAAACTCTGTTCTGGAGTTAAAACAATTGTTGAATGAACTAAATGATATAATATTGGTGTTCCTGAGTAGGAAGGCAATCCAAATACCCTTAGAACTGTTTGTATACTGATGTTCTGTATCTGCGAGCTTTCAATACCATAATACTGATTCATTATACCTTTGAAGTCATTTTTATTGAAACTGTCGTTCGCTGATGGACTTAACCATGTTAAAATACGAAAAGAGTCCTTGTTTCCTGTTGGTATTGGCAATAATTGAACGCATTCTTCTAATCTTACGTCGTATCCGGAACATGAACGATGTAAAGTTAATTTTGACGTAATGTTTCCATAGTCTAAATTCAATGTAAACTTTTGTGGGGGTGTTACTTTTGTGGTGGTGTCATTCCTTTTGTCATTTTGACACGAGTTCACAATTTTCTTTAAACAGTATCGTCTGGTCTGGTTAGTTTTTGGTTTTTGTGGTCCACTCCTTGGGAACTCGGCTCCGTGCATCAATAAAAAATTGATTTTCTTTTCAAAACTATATCGATTAGGTGGTAGAATGCTAGTTTTGATTTTTAAAGGAAAATATTCAAAATCACCCTTGATTCTGTTACATAGCGCGCAAAAATGGTTTCGAAACACCAAATCATATTTAATCGCCGGTAGGTATCGAGCAATGCCCGAAGCATTCCTCAAAGTTGTGACCGGTTGTTCGCATTTGCTTCGGATTATGTCGTATGGCCAGTCATGCGCACATCGTGATATCATCCATAAACCATTACCCACTTGGCACTGTCCCCTTGCATCAAAATGACCCAACGACTCACATGTCCAGTTAAAATTTTTTAAAGGAATTTCCACGTTTTTTTGTTCTCCACAATATTTGACATAATCAGCACAACAATCATTAAAAATTTCATAACAAGCTACGTCACAGTAACATGAAAGGCCGTCATTGCTTCTCCAGTCAGTTTTATTTCCAGTACATCGACCTGAGCAGGATTTGTCTCTTTCACAAACCGGAGGTACGTTGAAAATAGGCAATGGAGGAGGAGGTGGTAGAGGTGGTAGTAGAGGTGGTGGTGAGATTGTCACATTGACGTTGGGGTTTGCATTTCGTTTAAAAATACGATGAGTGAAGTCGCCGTATGCCACTTGTTTATCTGAAAGGTCGTTGTACTTGAATGTGTTGTCACGCAAATTGGTCATATGTCTTGCTGGCGATTTACGAATGCTGCTTTGATCGCGAAACTTTTTTAAATTCGCGATATGCTTGTCTTCTTTGAATTTTTCAAGATTTTTTCTATTCACATTGCCGACAACGTTGTGATATGATTTCTCAATATTGTACCTCACGTCATGGTGTGCTTTCTCTTGCACAATGATTGCTGTACAAGTCACATGTAAACAAATCAAAAATTGCACAACCAATGTGCTTCGACCCAACATCTCTCTTTGACGTTTCATTTACTTACATTCAAGCTTGAATTGATAGGGCGACGCGAGTACTCCTTGAGCTTTACTTATTTCTTCTTGTCTGTTTAACAATATTTAAAAATAGGTATCAAAATAGCAAATACCATGGTGAATGGTGATAATAACAATGTAATAGTTCTTAAAAGAACTGTTTTAACCAAATATATACCAAACAATTCAAAGGAACTGTATTTACAGTTAGAAAGAGACAATATGCATTTCGGCAGACTACTCATCAGGTGTCAACGTCTGCTAAATGAGAACCTCCAAAGCATGCTATATTTATAACGTTAGAAAGGTCAATGTCATCCCTATTTTTAGAGATGACACTTAAAAACAAAGACAGGTTGAGCACGTAATCCTTTGTCGGCAAGGACAGTTATTCTCTCCTGTTTATTCACTTCACCCAGCTGAGAAGTCCTATTCCACATACATGGCAGGCATCACACTCACATTTAAACGCGTGCTCGCTATGTAGGTAGAACTTCTCAAAGGTTGATGAAAACAGATTATCTCTCAACTTTCTGTCCAGGAATAAAACTGTTTCTTTACGAAACTACCAAAACGTGGGTGTAAGTGAAAATCCGATTCTATGTGATTCAGCGATTGGGAAAACATCTTTGAGCAGCTTGCTCGCTGGTGCAATGCTTATTCTAATTAAAACTTTAGAATTATTAAAAAATTGTTCCATTACGCGTCATGGAGTCGGTATTAATTAAATTGGTAATCCTGTCCTTTGCCGACAAAAGGATTACGTGTTCAATCTGTCTCTGTTTTAGTATTCATCTCTAAAATAGGGATGACATTGACCTTTTCTAACTTGTTATAAATATAGCATGCTTTGGAGGTTCTCATTTAGCAGACGTTGACACCTGATGAGTAGTCTGCCGAAATGCATAGTGTCTCTTTCTAACTGTAAAGATCGGTTCCTTTGAATTGTTTAGAGTATTTTACAGGTGTAATTACTTTTTAAGGGCATTGACAACGAAAATTTTTTTTCATACGTTTATCATAGATAGCTATGGAATACTTAATTTCGTGTTTTCGTGTCTCTTTAAATTTTACTGTTGAGAAAATTTGACATAAAGTTGAATCCTTATCCGCCATTTTGGAAAAAACATGCTAAATTATGCCGGAATACATTACTGACGTCATTGGCTGGTATCCACGAATGACACAATACAAAATAATAGTATTATAATAATATATAGCACATTGTGTTCACTGGATTTTAAAACAAAACAACAGTCGGCGGTTGTTAAGATTAACAAAAAGTTGTGTAGTTTATCACGCATATACTTTTCCAATATTTAGCGTCGTTATATACGGTGGCTCACAAGGGCCACACAAAATCAAAAATATTAATACACACACAAAATAAAATACACACACAAAATACATTATACACACACAATATAAAAATCACACACAAAATAAAAATACACACACAAAATAAAAATGCACACCAAAATAAAAGAAACACACAGGAATATGATTGCGGGCGCTTGCAGTGTCGGATGGTCTGACTATCATATTATCAGTTTAATAATCAGATATGTAATTCACTAATTGTGATTTTAACATGTGGTCGACTTGTCGTCGTATTTAACTGTTTCAACTGCGAAACATTTGAAATTACATTTGGAAGGAATCGAAAACAAGCTCTTGCATAATCCTGGCATAATTATGTTTTGTGCCAACTGTGTGCACAATCACTTGACGAAGCTTCTTTTTGTCACAAATGCGGTGTGCGTTTGGGAAGATTAACTTCTTTGCCAAAATGTTCTGAAGCGTGTGACGGTAGCGTCTCTTCAAGCAGTTGCCTTCGAGCTCTGCAAGTCCGTTAACTTCAACTTCAGTACCCCAAAGCTATTTTATAACTGGTACAGGACAGGCTAGAGCAATAATGTCCTTTCAAAGGACAACACATTAACCTTAATTTTAACCAGAATACGGGGAGCATTATCGTAAGCAACTTTGAAATAATTGATCACAGTGAAATCCGTGAATTTTGTTATGTACTCTGGAAGTTGGAACCATTAGAACTTTGAAAACAAACGATCAATTACGAGCAATTCCAGTAAGCCGACACTGCAAGCGCGCAATCATATTTTGTGTGTGTTTTTTATTTTGCGTGTGTATTTTTATTTTGTGTATTATTTTATTTTGTGTGTGTATTTTTATTTTGTGTGTGTATTTTTATTTTGTGTGTGTATTTTTATTTTGTGTGTGTATTTTTATTTTGTGTGTGTATTAATATTTTTATTTTGTGTGGTGGCCCTTGTGAGCCACCGTAGTTATAAGACGTAGAAACGTTTATTTTAGCAGATCTTACAACTAGGCTTTGCCGACATACCAAGTGTAAGCTCAGACGACAACAAGCGCGTTTTATACACTGAACATTTCGTGCAATAGAAATATTTCATTTTCCCATATTACAAACCTGTGACCAACAAATGAGTTATACGTTTAATTTATTGTAGACATAAGAGTCTTTGAAAGATTATGTAGTTTTATATAGGTGATAAGCTCTAAGCCCTTTGAATGTCTTGTTCTTGACTGTAGAGTTTCATTTATCCGTAATGTTTTACGTGCGTGTTTGTGTGCACAATGTACAAGTACACTTTTCGATTAACTTTATAACTTATGAATGAATACAAGTTTTAAGGTGGATCACTCATGCATTTTGCTTTTGCGCAGTTCGTGACAATGATATGGCTTCGCAATTTGCAGATCATAACAAAGAACATGAAAGAGCGTCTGTCTAAGACTAAATTTACGGTCTTTCGTGATAACATGCGTATTTAAAATGTGTATAAAGTCCGTCTGGTGACGCGAAGCGTTTTCGCATGCTAGCATAAACACAAGCAGAAATGGTCTTCGATGTTTCTTCCCCAAATTTGAAAAATTTTGCGACTATCGATACAGCTTGTGTATTCTCTCTAGATCCTCTTCAGACGGGGGCCAGTTTTCTTCAAAGATGCCGACACAGATGCCGACACACATCTATCTTTAACACACTTTCGCATCTATGCGACTAATCAATACAGCTTGTGTATTCTCTCTAGATCCTCTTCAGACAGGGGCCAGTTTTCTTCAAGATGCCGACACAGATGCCGACACACATCTATCTTTAACACACTTTCGCATCTATGCGACTAATCGATACAGCTTGTGTATTCTCTCTAGATCCTCATCAGACAGGGGCCAGTTTTCTTCAAGATGCCGACACACATCTATCTTTAACACACTTTCTGAGAGCATATTGTCCCTAAATTCTTGGTGTGTTGTCAAACAATTTATCCTTGAGTTTCAGTTTGGCCTAGCAAAGCCTCATACTCATCGTATTCAAGTGCTTTTTCGTGGCAACAAAATTGATTGCCTTTTTTGACAAAGTACAATGTCCACACTTACACCAACTAAGAGTTTGAAGGCGCCAAGCATTTGCTTTATCAAATTCAGCATGTATTTCATCCTCCGACGAGGACAAGTCGCTCTGCTCACTCTCCTGTTCGGAACCGCTTTCTTCGCTTGTTTCGGCCTTCACTTCAGGTTCATATTGATAGGGCAGAACCTCACCCGGTTGATTTTCGTGTATGTCATCCATTGCAGCAAAAAAATCCCGTAAAATACGCTTTAAATGTGTTGTAACGCAGTCAATCACAAAGTATATTGTATTGTTGTTTTGACTGCTCACCAGCCAATGACGTCACTACCGCTCGAGATAATTTTTTCAAAATTTTATCCAAGATGGCACAATTTATAAAACTTTTGCTGCAAATATCTCAGCAACAAAAATATTTTAGATAAAAACTTTTTCTATTTTAGTTGTTAGACATCGCAAAGGTTCAAAAATATGTCATAAAAATTTTCGTTGCTAATGTCCTGTAAAGGAAACGAATTGTCGGCTTTGTATTTTTTTAATATTTCTTCTTTTGAGTGTGTAAAGCTGTTCTCATAAGTTCTGTGTTCAGAAAGAACCATCTTGTTATTTAATGAGAAAATTTCCTAATTTTTAACTGCAGATTTTTCCTTCAATTTGATATATTGCAATTAATCGTTTTAGGTTTACGTGACCAACATCAACATGAACTAAATATTTCAGCGACACGCACTACTATAATCGATTATTATTTGCTGAAAGCAGTCGTGTGACTGAGTAACATGGCGGGTAATACGAAGCACTATACGAAGTCAGACACATCTAATTTATATTTTCGAACTCCTTTATTACAAAGTACTTGTTTAAGCAACAAAGTTGGTTGTAATGTATACTTGAAGCTAGAGAATGTGCAGCCAGCGGGCTCTTTTAAAATTCGCGGTGTTGCAAACTGCTGCAAGAAGGTATCACAATCATTATTTTATGATTCAATAGGTTTCTTGTACTATTCCCAGATGGTATACTTCTTTAAAATATATGAGGGAAAGGGAACTTTGATATTTTATAATAATAATTGTTATATTTATCGTGGCGTGTATTTATGATTCTTAATCACTCTCTGTAATTTCTGTACTTAATTAGGCTTTAGAGAAAGGTTACACTAACATTGTATCATCCTCTGGTATGTGAACGCACAATTTACTGCTGTAGTATTTCCTTGTAAAACTTTTTGCCATTTTCTTTCATCAAATAATGCAAGTTATTGTTGCTCAATTGTTGTTACATCTTCTCAATATTTTTCTGTTAAAGGAGGCAATGCCGGCTTGGCTGCAGCCTATGCAGGGAGAAAGCTAAAAATGCCCACAACTGTTGTTGTACCAGAAATTACACCTGATTTTACCATCAAAAGAATCAAAGAAGAAGGAGCAAATGTTATTGTAAAAGGAAAGGTAGATTATGCACTTCTTTTCTTGTAAAAATGTTTTATTGTTGCACACAAATGTTGAAAAGTTAACTAAGTGCGGATGAGATAGGCTTGCCTAAATACTGATTTGTTGACAGCAGTTGTATTCTGAAGCTATACGGTTATGTGGGACTTTGTTAGGCAAGATGATGTTAATTTGATGTGCAGGGGGGGTGACTTGATCATCATGAACTTTGATGATTATTTATTTCACTGTAATATAATTTATTTCACTGTAATATAATTTATTTTGCTGTAATATAATTTATTTCGTTGTAATATAATTTATTTCGCTGTAATATGATTTATTTCACTGTAATATAATTCATTTCATTCATATGTTTTTCATTGTTTGTATCACCTAAATGATTTCAATTTAAATGATTTTTGTATTTTTCTTCATTAATTTCATATAGGTTTGGGATGAAGCAAACATTCATGCTATTGAACTTTCCAAAATTCCTGGTAATTTTTCTTGATTTACTTTTTTTATATTATTAAAGTAGGGCAATGCAACCAAAATCTTTGATATTTAAAGAAAAAATTAACTGTGATGTAGCTTGCTCTGAAAATTTTGTTTATTTTCATGTTTTATTTCAGGTCACTTTCTTGTTCATCCTTTTGACCATGACGACATTTGGTAAGTTGCATTTAAATAAATCACTTTTCTTGGGATAAATGTAAGTTATGAATTATGGGAAATTATGGATATTTAATGGTTATATTCAGTATTATAAATAGAAAATACACTACAGAAATAGAAAATACAGTTAAAAAATGATCCTCTACTTAAAATATTTTCGTCTTACTATTAACAGTAGAGTTCTTTCTACAATCATAAATAATCGTTAACTGGAGGGTTACAGGAGAATGTCATAGACAATAATTTGATATAATTGATTATGTACACATTATTAAATGCAAGCGTCACTTCCGGCAAAGTGGTGCGCTTTGATTGGCTCAAAAACATTTTTGCCGGTCCATTATTTTCCCGTAATCGACCACGGTCCGAAACGCGTAATTTTACTGTCAAACGTAAACAAACTTCGTAATGCAAACAGCAAAACGCAAACAAAAAACCATTTACGAATGTGAGTCGAAGGAAAAACACTTGGAAAGCAGTTTAACTATCCAGACGATACAATTTGAAACGATTTATTTTTTATGAACGAAAACTAGAAAAGTGAAAATGAACCCGTAAAAACAGCAAAGACGAGAAAGAAAGCAAGCTTCGTTTCAGGTCAAATAATGCCATATAATAATCCTTTTAATAACCTCGCTTTCTCGGTCTTTACTGAGAATTATCGGACCTCTGTCTTTTGTACAAACCTCACCGGTCTGTACAAAAGACATCGATCCGATATTTCTCCGTAAAGACCTCGAGCTCGGTTATTAAGGGCTTATTAATGCAATTAACACAAATATATATACACATAAACAACGTCAGTGTCTCTGTGAGCGTTGAATACTTGTTCATTATTATTATAATGACAATGGATTACGATTAGGATTTATATCAAGATTTATATCAGGATTTATATTATGTATAATCTGTAATGATGACAATGGATGATTACGATGTGGACAATATTTTACAGTTTTGTGTCGTTGTGATCAGATTTAGGCAACGATTTCTTTGCGGTAATATTACTGCTGCTCGAAGTTTCCGTGTTTCTGAAGCGATGTCTATATAAATTTAGAGTTTTAGCGTTCAAAACAAAGGCCCATGCTACAAAAAAACCTTCTAATGATGTAAATATAACAAAAAGATAGTAAAACACAGATGTTGACGTCACCACTTGACCCAGGAGACCAAATAACCATGTAAAACCCATCAAGGTTGAAAGACGAATGTATATGCTGAGATTTGAAGATCGTTTTCCACTTGCAGTTAGACCTGCTTGATTCTGGGCGTGTTTACGAAGTTGTATAGCGGTTCTCACAAATTCCACGACATTAAACATCAGCATTAGTATCACAGGTATCGTTACAAAATAAACGTAGGAATTTGTTCCCGTTAACCAGCAAATATCCGTCTCTCCATAACCCAAATTTATTATTTCTTCGCTGTCGAGGACGACACAAATTGCGATAAACAAGGCAGGAATGATCCATACTAAGCACAAATACGCGTAAAACAGCTTTCGTTCGTGTCCCGGCGACATTTTTGGTGCAGGGAGGTTTTTTCCAAACACCTTTCGAGTATGATGAGCAATGACAACCATGCTGAAGAAAGACGCCAGTAGAAAATAATGTTCGATGATTGCAAATGCTTTACAGATATTTTCGTTGTCAGTTACCTTGGTAAAGTTTGTGGGGAGCCAGAATATTTCAAACAATAGCAAAGTAAAGGCGAAGTTCATTATGTTTTTACCTGGCAAAGTACGTAGTTGAGGGAATATGATGTAGGTGACGAGAAGAAATGTCAAGAAAACTATGGAGATAAGAAAAAAGACAAATGTGATATATCCAAGGGCTTCGTTGTGCACTTCACGAATTCTTTTGACAAACTTTACCACAAACGTTTGACAAGTTTTACAGAATAGTTTGAAAAATTTCATATTCTCCATAGTAATAGGTACGAAATATCTTGAATACGTAGATAGTGAGGTTATTCATCAAGTTATATTCTTGTGGTGAATAGATAACTTCAGTTCCATTACATTTTGTGGGAACATATTTTTACATACTGTGATGTTTCCTTGTTTCGCACTAAGTTTTTCTTTCCTTTCTCGGTAGTATTCATAATGTTCAAAAGTTTCATTTGTGCTTCGTATCAAAACACGTTCATTCTGCTGTAAAATATATTCTTCAGGAGTGTATGTTACCTTTCCAACACAAGCAAGGGGTCGGGATGTTGTTTTGATGATGGTATAGTTTAGATTTTTGATTTGAAGAGAAAATTCTTCCCTAAAGTATATAAACTCACGAATTCGTTTGTCAAACTCAGTGGCAATTATCGTGTTGAATAGAAATTGCAAACTTTGTTGTGATGTTAAGATGATCTTTGTTTCCACAATGTAGAACTGAATTATTGGTGTTAGAGGATAATCAACTTTCTTTATATTGATGTCGAAGAATTTTTCACGTGTCATGTTTAAGTATTTAGAAAGCGAGTTCTGAAAATCCATTGCTGTAAATGATATTTCAAACTGAATCTGCGAAGGTTTTAGCCAAGACAAGACATAAAATATTTCTCTTCCATTTTCTTCTGGTGAAGGTAACCAGTTAACACGACAGTCATGTAACTTATCATCATAGACCAATCCTTTTTTTTCACATCTTTCATCGTATATGGGGACTGAACTAACAACTTCATTCTGTCCTTGCGTGTGTCCAAATACAATGGATAACGACCGAGGTTGAAAAATGACGGGGCATTCTCTAGTAATTTCATCTGGAAAACATCGAAGAACGCTCACCCTATCTTTGGATAAACCATTGCACACTGCACAACGTGTGTTAGTGTAATAATCATAGCGGTATGAAACTAAATTAACATTTCCATAATCACACGATGGATCCTCTTTACCTGGTGGGCATTTATTGATAATGCTTCTCAAACAGTATCGCCTAGCTTGATTTGCTGCTGGTATAGGTCCCACGTCGTCACCGAACCGCGCATTATATTTTTCCAGGAAGCGAATACTTTTGGTTATATTGGAAGTTTCCGGGGGTATTACTGCAGATTCAAATTTAAGCGGCCAATAATTGTACTCCATCTCATTATTACAAATTGCACAATACCTGTTACGAAATGTTGTATTATCTTTAGATATCACTGGAAGATAACCAAAGATATCTCTTAAGATATCCAATGATGATCATGGGAGCCGTTTTATTGGTATCTCACACTTGCTTCGCGTTGAATCGCGAGGCCATTCATATGTACATCCGCTGACCATCCAAACTCCGTCTGCGAGTCCGCAATAATATGTCCCAAAGTTCTCACATGTGTAGTTATATGTCTTCCTCGGTGTTTCTCCTGATGTTTGCGCTCCACAATACTTTATGTAATCTGAACAACAATCTCCGAAAACTTCATGACAATCTGGATCACATGAGCATGTCATCTCGTCAATGTTTCGCCATTCTGTCTTGTTACTGCAGCGACCTTTGCATGACATTCGAGTTGAACATGTTGGTGTGAATGATTTTCTTGTTTTGCATAGTGAAATTAAGCCGTTAGAAACTTCATAGTTGCCGCGATCATAAAACATTCTAGTGTTCTTCACTTTCAAAGCCAAATTCTTGTATATGGTGACGTCATTCTTGGTGAGACCAACTTTGGTCAGCTGACAACCGTTTGGCATGTACTCCTCGCAAACCACAACATCATTTCCAATATCACCGTAGTACTGTGATCTCTCATAGGTTTTCCCAGTCGAGTTTATTTGAATTTTATCGTCGTCAATAACTGTATAACTGCGTTGATTGTAAATTTTTTTCCCAACACAAGATAATGGACGTGATGTAGTTTTAATTATAGTGTACGTGATGTTATTCCAAGTTATTGCATTGGATTGCTTAAAATATATGAGTTCTTGAAGATTTCTCGAACTTGAAGATGTATTATAGTATATATTAAAACTCTGTTCTGGAGTTAAAACAATTTTTGAATGAACTAAATGATATAATATTGGTGTTCCTGAATAGGAAGGCAATCCAAATACCCTTAGAGCTGTTTGTATACTGATGTTCTGTATCTGCGAGCTTTCAATACCATAATACTGATTCATTATACCTTTGAAGTCATTTTTATTGAACCTGTCGTTCGCTGATGGACTTAACCATGTTAAAATACGAAAAGAGTCCTTGTTTCCTGTTGGTATTGGCAATAATTGAACGCATTCTTCTAATCTTACGTCGTATCCGGAACATGAAGAATGTAAAGTTAATTTTGACGTAATGTTTCCATAGTCTAAATTCAATGTAAACTTTTGTGGGGGTGTTACTTTTGTGGTGGTGTCATTCGTTTTGTCATTTTGACACGAGTTCACAATTGTCTTTAAACAGTATCGTCTGGTCTGGTTAGTTTTTGGTTTTTGTGGTCCACTCCTTGGGAACTCGGCTCCGTGCATCAATAAAAAATTGATTTTCTTTTCAAAACTATATCGATTAGGTGGTAGAATGCTAGTTTTGATTTTTAAAGGAAAATATTCAAAATCACCCTTGATTCTGTTACATAGCGCGCAAAAATGGTTTCGAAACACCAAATCATATTTAATCGCCGGTAGGTACCGAGCAATGCCCGAAGCATTCTTCAAAGTTGTGACCGGTTGTTCGCATTTGCTTCGGATTATGTCGTATGGCCAGTCATGCGCACATCGTGATATCATCCATAAACCATTACCCACTTGGCACTGTCCCCTTGCATCAAAATGACCCAACGACTCACATGTCCAGTTAAATTTTTTTAAAGGAATTTCCAGGTTTTTTTGTTCTCCACAATATTTGACATAATCAGCACAACAATCATTAAAAATTTCATAACAAGCTACGTCACAGTAACATGAAAGGCCGTCATTGCTTCTCCAGTCAGTTTTATTTCCAGTACATCGACCTGAGCAGGATTTGTCTCTTTCACAAACCGGAGGAGCGTTGAAAATAGGCAATGGAGGAGGAGGTGGTAGAGGTGGTAGTAGAGGTGGTGGTGAGTGTGTCACATTGACGTTGGGGTTTGCATTTCGTTTAAAAATACGATGAGTGAAGTCGCCGTATGCCACTTGTTTATCTGAAAGGTCGTTGTACTTGAATGTGTTGTCACGCAAATTGGTCATATGTCTTGCTGGCGATTTACGCATGCTGCTTTGATCGCGAAACTTTTTTAAATTCACAATATTCTTGTCTTCTTTGACTTTTTCAAGATTTTTTCTATTCACATTGTCGACAACGTTGTGATTTGATCTTTCAATATTGTACCTTACATCTGCTTTCTCTTGCACAATGATTGCTGTACAAGTCACATGCAAACAAATCAAAAATTGCACAACCAATGTGCTTCGACGCAACATCTCTCTTTCACGTTTCATTTACTTACATTCAAGCTTGAATTGATAGGGCGACGCGAGTACTCCTTGACCTTTGCTTATTTCTTATGTGATATGCAAATTGCGATAGAAAAGAGAACACGTGTTGTTATTATTCTTGTTGTTTTTTGTGACTGTGAAATAAAAATATCTTCATCAAACCTGTTGTTAAAATTAGTGAAGTGTTGGGAGAAACTTGGGAGGCGATCCCCAACAAGATAGTTGATTTTTCATATCTTGGCAAATAGATGCTCGTCGTTGAGTTTAATTGATTTGTGTTTGGTTTTGTTTAAACAGATGACCATCAAATGCTGGTTCAACTCGCCTGTGGGGCAACCTTATCTGCATTATATTCTGATGTTTTACTAAAGTTGCAAAAAAGGTCACCTTAAATATTTGAAAGACGTTGTTGTGATTGTGTGCGGAGGAAGTGGTGTATCGTTAAAGAAACTGAAAGAATGGAAAGAAACTTTTGATATTGTAGATTAAATTTTCTTATTTTGAATAGTAGTATAGGTAACTGTAGTATATGCATTTCAACGTCGACAGCACATTTCATATCTACATACCGGTGTTACTTGAAGTCCTCCCCCCTGTAATGTTGTAATGTCGTCAAAGGAGGGCGATAAATTTTCAGGGAAAGAGAGGGTGTGTTAATTTTGTCGCGACTTAAGTTACAAGCTTATTAGTATTTGCCATGGTATTTGCCGAAATTTGTTCAAAAGTTATGGCGTTCAGTTGCAGTTTGTCAAACTTTTTCTGGATCTAATCTGCATAAGCTGATATTGTGATAGGAGAAAAACCATTCATTTTTACTATTTTATAAAATTATTTGTGTCTCGGTTATTCTATAGTCCATACCCTGTGAAATTTTGGTTGCTTTATACTTTGTTATATCTATCAATGTCTATCCATTTCTATCAATATCTATCCATCATAAAATATCTATCAATATCTGTTCATATAAACACATGTAGTACATTAAATTAATGTCGATTATGATTCAAAACTCACATTTCTAGTTTTAAGAATTTTTTATCATTGAACATAGGCTCCTACTTATTTTACTCATATTCATTTTTACAAACACAACGCTGCGTTGTCATGGCTTTTGTGTCGACACCATTGCAAAAACAAACATTTAGTTCAACTTCTTATGTCTGAAGTCTCAAACTAAATGCTCTGTTTGCAAACGATTGATGTTTTATGTGATATTTTAGTTATAGCTAATAATTAATGTATAGGTAAAAGCTTTTTTATTCAATTATATTTTATATCATTAGACATTCATATTTTGCCTCTTTGCATTAACATAATTCACCAGCTGCTGATTTTGGTCCATATGGATTGCTAAAATGTCTTTAAAGGACATTGGCAACGAAAATTTTTTTTCATACGTTTATCATAGATAGCTATGGAATACTTAATTTCGTGTTTTCGTGTCTCTTTTGAATTTTGCTGTTGAGAAAATTAGACATAAAGTTGAATCCTTATCCGCCATTTTGAAAAAAAAGCTAAATTATGCGGGAAACATTACCGACGTCATTGGCTGGTATCCACTGAATGACACAATATAAAATAATAGTATTATAATAATATATAGCACATTTGTTCACTGGAATTTTAAAACAAAAACAACAGTCGGCGGTTGTTAAGATTAACAAAAGTTGTGTAGTTTATCACGCTTATATACTTTTCCAATATTTAGTCGTTATAAGACGTAGAAACGTTTATTTTAGCAGATCTTACAACTTGGTTTTGCCGACATACCAAGTGTAAGCCCAGACAACAACAAGCGCGTTTTATACACTAAACATTTCGTGCAATAGAAATATTTCATTTTCCCATATTACAAACCTGTGACCAACAAATGAGTTATACGTTTAATTTATTATTTGTATACATAAGAGTCTTTGAAAGATTATGTAGTTTTATATAGGTGATAAGCTATAAGCCGCTATGTTTTGTTCTTGACTGTAGAGTTTCGTTTATCCGTAATGTTTTATGTGCGTGTTTGCGTGCACAATGTACAAGTACACTTTTCGATTAACTTTATAACTTATGAATGAATACAAGTTTTGGGTGGATCACTCATGTATTTTGCTTTTGCGCAGTTCGTGACAATCCTTTGACAATGATATGGCATCGCAATTGCAGATCATAACAAAGAACATCAAAGAGCGTCTGTCTAAGACTAAATTTACGGTCTTTCGTGATAACATGCGTATTTAAAATGTGTATAAAGTCCGTCTGGTTACGCGAAGCGTTTTCGTATGTTAGCATAAACACAAGCAGGAAATGGTCTTCGATCTTTCTTCCCCAAAATTTGAAAAATCCACCTAGAACATCTTTGATAGGCAACTAATCGATACAGCTTGTGTATTCTCTCTAGATCCTCATCAGACAGGGGCCAGTTTTCTTCAAGATGCCGACACACGTCTATATTTAACACACTTTCTGAGAGCATATTGTCCCTAAATTCTTGGTGTGTTGTCAAGCAATTTACTCCTTGAGTTTCTGTTTGGCCTAGCAAAGCCTCATACTCATCGTATTCTAGCGCTTTTTCGTGGCAAAAAAAACAATCGATTGCCTTTTTTGACAAAGTACAATGTCCACACTTACACCAACTAAGAGACTGAAGGCGCTAAGCATTTGCTTTCTCAAAATCAGCATGTATTTCATCCTCCGACGAGGACAAGTCGCTCTGCTCACTCTCCTGTTCGGAACCGCTTTCTTCACTAGTTTCGGCCTTCAATTCAGGTTCATATTGATAGGGCAGAACCTCACCCGGTTGATTTTCGTGTATGTCATCCATTACAGCAAAAACCCGTAAAATACGCTTTAAATGTGTTGTAACGCAGTCAATCACAAAGTATATTGTATTGTTGTTTTGACTGCTCACCAGCCAATGACGTCACTACCGCTCGAGATAATTTTATCAAAATTTTATCCAAGATGGCACAATTTATAAAACTTTGCTGCAAATATCTCAGCAACAAAATATTTTAGAGAAAAATTTTCTATTTTAGTTGTTAGACATCGCAAAGGTTCAAAATATGCCATAAAATTTTCGTTGCCAATGTCCTTTAAGGAAACGAATTGTCGGCTTTGTATTTTTAATATTTCTTCTTTTGAGTGTGTAAAGCTGTTCTCATAAGTTCTGTGTTCAGAAAGAACCATCTTGTTATTTAATGAGAAAATTTCCTAATTTTTAACTGCAGATTTTTCCTTCAATTTGATATATTGCAATTAATCGTTTTAGGTTTACGTGACCAACATCAACATGAACTAAATATTTCAGCGACCACGCACTACTATAATCGATTATTCTTTGCTGGAAGCAGTCATGTGACTGACTAACATGGCGGGTAACACAAAGCACTATACGAAGTCATACACATCTAATTTATATTTTCGAACTCCTTTATTACAAAGTACTTGTTTAAGCAACAAAGTTGGTTGTAATGTATACTTGAAGCTAGAGAATGTGCAGCCAGCGGGCTCTTTTAAAATTCGCGGTATTGGAAACTGCTGTAAGAAGGTGTCACAATCATTATTTTATGATTCAATAGGTTTCTTGTACTATTCCCAGATGGTATACTTCTTTAAAATATATGAGGGAAAGGGAACTTTGATATTTTATAATAATAATTGTTATAATTATCGTGGCATATACTTATGATACTTATTCACTCTCTGTAATTTCTGTACTTAATTAGGCTTTAGAGAAAGGTTACACTAACATTGTATCATCGTCAGGTATGTGAACGCACAATTTACTGCTGTAGTATTTCCTTGTAAAACTGTTTGCCATTTTCTTCCATCAAATAATGCAAGTTATTGTTGCTCAATTGTTGTTACATGTTCTCAATATTTTTCTGTTAAAGGAGGCAATGCTGGCTTGGCTGCAGCCTATGCAGGGAAAGCTAAAATGCCCACAACTGTTGTTGTACCAGAAATTACACCTGATTTTACCATCAAAGAATCAAAGAAGAAGGAGCAAATGTTATTGTAAAGGAAAGGTAGATTATGCACAACTTGTTTTCTTGTAAAAAATGTTTTATTGTTGCACACAAATGTTGAAAAGTTAACTAAGTGCGGATGAGATGGGCTTGTCTAAATACTGATTTGTTGACAGCAGTTGTATTCTGAAGCTATACGGTCATGTGGGACTTTGTTAGGCAAGATGATGTTAATTTGATGTGCAGGGGGGTTGACTTGATCATCATGAACTTTGATGATTATTCATTTCACTGTAATATAATTTATTTCGCTGTAATATAATTTATTTCATTCATATGTTTTTCATTGTTTGTATCACCTAAATGATTTCAATCTAAATGATTTTTGTATTTTTCTTCATTAATTTCATCCAGGTTTGGGATGAAGCAAACATTCATGCTATTGAACTTTCCAAAATTCCTGGTAATTTTTCTTGATTTACTTTTTTATATTATTAAAGTAGGGCAATGCAACCAAAATCTTTAACATTTAAAGAAAAAATTAACTGTGATGTAGCTTGCTCTGAAATTTTTGTTTTTCATGTTTTATGTCAGGTCACTTTCTTGTTCATCCTTTTGACCATGACGACATTTGGTAAGTTGCATTTAAATAAGTCACTTTTCTTGGGATAAATGTAAGTTATGAATTATGGGAAATTATGGATATTTAATGGTTATATTGAGTATTATATAGAAAATAACTACAGAAATAGAAAATACAGTTAAAAAATGATCTGCTACTTAAAATATTTTCGTCTTACTATTAACAGTAGAGTTCTTTCTACAATCATAAATAATCGTTAACTGGAGGGTTACAGGAGAATGTCAAAGACAATAATTTGATATAATTGATTATGCACACATTATTATAAGGCAAGCGTCACTTCCGGCAAAATGGTGCGCTTTGATTGGCTCAGAAACATTTTTGCCGGTCCATTATTTTCCCGTAATCGACCACGGTCCAAAACGCGTAATTTTACTGTCAAACGTAAACAAACTTCGTAATGCAAACAGCAAAACGCAAACAAAAAAACATTTACGAATGTGAGTCGAACGAAAAACACTTGGAAAACAGTTTAACTTTCCAGATGATACAATTTGAAACGATTTATTTTTTATGAACGAAAACTAGAAAAGTGAAAACGTGCCCGTAAAAACAGCAAGGATGAGAAAGAAAGCAAGCTTCGTTTCAGGTCAAATAATGCCATATAATATTCCTTTTAATAACCTCGCTTTCTCGGTCTTTACTGAGAATTATCGGACCTCTGTCTTTTTGTACAAACCTCACCGGTCTGTACAAAAAGACATCGATCCGTTATTTCTCCGTAAAGACCTCGAGCTCGGTTATTAAGGGCTTATTAATGCAATTAACACAAATATATATGCACATAAACACAACGTCAGTGTCTCTGTGAGCGTTGAATACTTGTTCATTATTATTATAATGACAATGGATTACGATTAGGATTTATATCAAGATTTATATCAGGATTTATATTATGTATAATCTGTAATGATGACAATGGATGATTACGATGTGGACAATATTTTACAGTTTTGTGTCGTTGTGATCAGATTTGGGCAACGATTTCTTTGCGGTAATATTACTGCTGCTCGAAGTTTTATCCGTGTTTCTGAAGCGATGTCTATATAAATTTAGAGTTTTAGCGTTCAAAACAAAGGCCCATGCTACAAAAAAACCTTCTAAGGATGTAAATATAACAAAAAGATAGTAAAACACAGATGTTGACGTCACCACTTGACCCAGGAGACCAAATAACCATGTAAAACCCATCAAGGTTGAAAGACGAATGTAAATGCTGAGATTTGAAGATCGTTTTCCACTTGCGGTTAGACCTGCTTGATTCTGGGCGTGTTTACGAAGTTGTATAGCGGTTCTCACAAATTCCACGACATTAAACATCAACATGAGTATCACAGGTATCGTTACAAAATAAACGTAGGAATTTGTTCCCGTTAGCCAGCAAATATCCGTCTCTCCATAACCCAAATTTATTATTTCTTCGCTGTCGAGGACGACACAAATTGCGATAAACAAGGCAGGAATGATCCATACTAAGCACAAATACGCGTAAAACAGCTTTCGTTCGTGTCCCGGCGACATTTTTGGTGCAGGGAGGTTTTTTCCAAACACCTTTCGGGTATGATGAGCAATGACAACCATGCTGAAGAAAGACGCCAGTAGAAAATAATGTTCGATGATTGCAAATGCTTTACAGATATTTTCGTTGTCAGTTACCTTGGTAAAGTTTGTGGGAGCCAGAATATTTCAAACAATAGCAAAGTAAAGGCGAAGTTCATTATGTTTTTACCTGGCAAAGTACGTAGTTGAGGGAATATGATGTAGGTGACGAGAAGAAATGTCAAGAAAATTATGGAGATGAGAAAAAAGACAAATGTGATATATCCAAGGGCTTCGTTGTGCACTTCACGAATTCTTTTGACAAACTTTACCACAAACGTTTGACAAGTTTTACAGAATAGTTTGAAAGAATTTCATATTCTCCATAGTAATAGGTACGAAATGTCTTGAATACGTAGATAGTGAGGTTATTCATCAAGTTATATTCTTGTGGTGAATAGATAACTTCAGTTCCATTACATTTTGTGGGAACATATTTTTTACATACTGTGATGTTTCCTTGTTTCGCACTAAGTTTTTCTTTCCTTTCTCGGTAGTATTCATAATGTTCAAAAGTTTCATTTGTGCTTCGTATCAAAACACGTTCATTCTGCTGTAAAATATATTCTTCAGGAGTGTATGTTACCTTTCCAACACAAGCAAGGGGTCGGGATGTTGTTTTGATGATGGTATAGTTTAGATTTTTGATTTGAAGAGAAAATTCTTCCCTAAAGTATATAAACTCACGAATTCGTTTGTCAAACTCAGTGGCATTTATCGTGTTGAATAGAAATTGCAAACTTTGTTGTGATGTTAAGATGATCTTTGTTTCCACAATGTAGAACTGAATTATTGATGTTTGAGAATAAGAAACTTTCGTTATATTGATGTCGAAGAATTGTTCGCGTGTCATGTTTAAGTATTTAGAAAGCGAGTTCTGAAAATCCATTGCTGTAAATGATATTTCAAACTGAATCTGCGATGGTTGTAGCCAAGACAAGACATAAAATATTTCTCTTCCATTTTCTTCTGGTGAAGGTAACCAGTTAACACGACAGACATGTAACTTATCATCATAGACCAATCCGTTTCTTTCACATCTTTCATCGTATATGGGGACTGAACTAACAACTTCATTCTGTCCTTGCGTGTGTCCAAGTACAATGGATAACGACCTTGGTCGAAAACCGCCGTGGCATGCTTTAATAATTTCATATGGAAAACATTGAGGAACGCTCACTCTATCTTTGGATAAACCATTGCACACTGCACAACGTGTGTTAGTGTAATGATCACTGCCGAATGAAACTAAATTAACATTTCCATAATCACACGATGGATCCTCTTTACCTGGTGGACATTTATTGATAATGCTTCTCAAACAGTATCGCCTAGCTTGATCTGTTGCTGGTATAGGTCCCACGAAGTCATCGAACCGCGCATTGTATTTTTCCAGGAAGCGAATAATTTTGGTTATATTGGAAGTTTCCGGGGGTATTACTGCAGATTCAAATTTAAGCGGCCAATAATTGTACTCCATCTCATTATTACAAATTGCACAATACCTGTTACGAAATGTTGTATTATCCTTGGATATCACTGGAAGATAACCAAAGATATCTGTTAAGATATCCAATGATGATCGTGGGAGCCGTTTTATTGGTATCTCACACTTGCTTCGCGTTGAATCGCGAGGCCATTCATATGTACATCCGCTGACCATCCAAACTCCGTCTGCGACTGTGCAAAATGCTGAATCATATTTGCCAAAGTTCTCACATGTGTAGTTAAATGTCTTCCTCCGTGTTTCTCCAGTTGTTTGCGCTCCACAATACTTTGTGTAATCTGAACAACAATCTCCGAAAACTTCATGACAATCTGGATCACATGAGCATGTCATTTCGACAATGTTTCGCCATTCTGTCTTGTTACTGCAGCGACCTTTGCATGACATTTGAGTTGAACATGTTGGTGTGGAAGATCCTCTTGTTTTGCATAGTGAAATTAAGCCGTTAGAAACTTCATAGTTGCCGCGATCATAAAACATTCTAGTGTTCTTCACTTTCAAAGCTAAATTCTTGTATATGGTGACGTCATCCTTGGTGAGACCAACTTTTGTCAGCTGACAACCGTTTGGCATGTATTCCTCGCAAACCACAACATCATTTCCAATATCACCGTAGTACTGTGATCTTTCATAAGTTTTCCCAGTCGAGTTTATTTGAATTTTATCGTCGTCAATGACTGTATAACTGCGTTGATCGTAAATTTTTTTCCCAACACAAGATAATGGACGTGATGTAGTTTTAATTATAGTGTACGTGATGTTATTCCAAGTTATTGCATTGGATTGCTTAAAATATATGAGTTCTTGAAGATTTTTCGAACTTGAAGATGTATTATAGTATATATTAAAACTCTGTTCTGGAGTTAAAACAATTGTTGAAAGAACTAAATGATATAATATTGGTGTTCCTGAATAGGAAGGCAATCCAAATACCCTTAGAACTGTTTGTATACTGATGTTCTGTATCTGCGAGCTTTCAATACCATAATACTGATTCATTATACCTTTGAAGTCATTTTTATTGAACCTGTCGTTTTCTGATGGACTTAACCATGTTAAAATACGAAAAGAGTCCTTGTTTCCTGTTGGTATTGGCAATAATTGAACGCATTCTTCTAATCTTACGTCGTATCCGGAACATGAACGATGTAAAGTTAATTTTGACGTAATGTTTCCATAGTCTAAATTCAATGTAAACTTTTGTGGGGGTGTTGACATACAAATATGGCTAAAAAAGTCCGGAAAACATTGATAAGGTCCAAGGGGATTGTTACATAAAGCACATTCGTAGTTTTTATAATATCGTCCAAAAATTGAGATTATACTCACAGATCCATTCCTACAAGTATCATTCCTTTTGTCATTTTGACACGAGTTCACAATTGTCTTTAAACAGTATCGTCTGGTCTGGTTAGTTTTTGGTTTTTGTGGTCCACTCCTTGGGAACTCGGCTCCGTGCATCAATAAAAAATTGATTTTCTTTTCAAAACTATATCTATTAGGTGGTAGAATGCTAGTTTTGATTCTTAAAGGAAAATATTCAAAATCACCTTTGATTCTGTTACATAGCGCGCAAAAATGGTTTCGAAACACCAAATCATATTTAATCGCCGGTAGGTACCGAGCAATGCCCGAAGCATTCTTCAAAGTTGTGACCGGTTGTTCGCATTTGCTTCGGATTATGTCGTAAGGCCAGTCATGCGCACATCGTGATATCATCCATAAACCATTACCCACTTGGCACTGTCCCCTTGCATCATAATGACCCAACGACTCACATGTCCAGTTAAATTTTTTTAAAGGAATTTCCACGTTTTTTTGTTCTCCACAATATTTGACATAATCAGCACAACAATCATTAAAAATTTCATAACAAGCTACGTCACAGTAACATGAAAGGCCGTCATTGCTTCTCCAGTCAGTTTTATTTCCAGTACATCGACCTGAGCAGGATTTTTCTCTTTCACAAACCGGAGGAACGTTGAAAATAGGCAATGGAGGAGGAGGTGGTATTTTTGGTGGTAGAGGTGGTGGTATTTTTGGTGGTGGAGGTGGTGGTAGAGGTGGTGGCGAGATTGTCACATTGACGTTGGGGTTTGCATTTCGTTTAAAAATACGATGAGTGAAGTCGCCGTATGCCACTTGTTTATCTGAAAGGTCGTTGTACTTGAATGTGTTGTCACGCAAATTGGTAATATGTCTTGCTGGCGATTTACGTATGCTGCTTTGATCGCGAAACTTTTTTAAATTCGCAATATGCAATGTATGCTTGTCTTCTTTGAATTTTTCAAGATTTTTTCTATTCACATTGTTGACAACGTTGTGATATGAACTTTCAATATTGTACCTCACGTCATGGTCTGCTTTCTCTTCCACAGTGATTGCTGTACAAGTCACATGTAAACAAATCAAAAATTGCACAACCAATGTGCTTCGAGTTAACATCTGTCTTTGACGTTTCATTTACTTACATTCAAGCTTGAATTGATAGGGCGACGCGAGTACTCCTTGACCTTTTCTTATTTCTTCGTGTCTGTTTATCAATATTTGTGACGTTGCCAATTTGCCACCAACGTCACGTTTCCGTTTCCAATTGATCTTTATTCAATTCATCCTAATCGGCATTTTTTGGCATTTGCATGATTTTAACATTTGGCATTCATTGTTTTGCCTACGTTAGTTCAACAAAGAACATAAAGAACTTTTATTAATTTATGTATTTATAGATGCGTACAGCTCAGTGAGGATAGGCTAGCATTGATTATACGTATAAGTATTGATGAATAAAGCTCAATGTTGATTTACTTTTCTATACACCCTATATGTTTTCTGTTGTAGTAAATACTATCAAAACCAAATTTTGACCAATTTTTACCGATGAAATGTGTAGTTGGTAACATTGACATCATTTTCATTTATTAGCTTTACACTATATGAAAAATTCTGTTTGACTAGGAAAGCGTGCGGATTTTTTGTTATTTTGAGCTGAAATAAAGTGAATAAAAGCTGGAAATGACATGCAAAAAAATTTTGATGCGTATAGCTCAGTGATGTCATTCTTTTTAGGGAGGGTCATTCAACAATGATTGACGAAATAGCTGAAAGTTTAGCATTGAAACCATCTGTGGTGGTGTTATCAGTTGGGGGTGGTGGTCTTTTATGTGGAGTACTTCGTGGGATGAGTCGAGTGGGCTGGAACGACGTGCCTGTAGTTGCTATGGAAACTATGGGAGCTAATTGCCTGGCTGCTTCTGTGGAAGCTGGTCACCTAGTGACGATTCCTGCTATTACGAGGTGATGAAACTGATATGTCATAGTGGCTCACGCTCCAGTTGCTAACCCATTTGAAGTCAGTTTACACGACACTTGATGTGATTATCACTGAAATTTTTAATTTTTATTTCATTTTATTACAACTAAAATACCGTATTCTACACTCACGTCTTATAAACATGAATGAATATTAAATCTTACATAATTATAAACAAATAATCATACACACGATATCCGCGCAAATTACCGATGTAAGGTAACGTTAAATATTATCTTTTCATACTCTTCACCTAGTTATTTTTCTTTTAGCTTTAAATAACTTGAATTGCGAAATGACCGTTATGTATAATGTACCATAAAAATTACCATTATGTGTTATGTACGATAAAAAGTGACCGTTATGCTAAAATACCAAGTTTTTCTAGCATTGCAAAATGTCTAGGAGCGCAAAGAGCGTGCAATGAAGCCTACAGCTGGTTATCTCGTCATAAAGTTATTTCTTATGTTGTAAACGACAAGGATGCTGTCAACGCTTGTTTAAAATTTGCTGGTAATTAGAGAGTTGATTTTTCATATCTTGCCAAATAGATGCTCGTTGTTGAGTTGAATTGATTTGTGTTTGGTTTTGTTTAAACAGATGACCATCAAATGCTGGTTCAACCCGCCTGTGGGGCAACCTTATCTGCATTATATTCTGATGTTTTACTAAAGTTGCACAAGGAAGGTCACCTTAAATATTTGAAAGACGTTGTTGTGATTGTGTGCGGAGGAAGCGGTGTATCGTTAAAGAAACTGAAAGAATGGAAAGAAACTTTTGGTATTGTAGATTAAATTTTCTCATTTTGAATGGTAGTATAGGTAACTGTAGTATATGCATTTCAACGTCGACAGCACATTTCATATTTACATACCGGTGTTACTTGAAGTCCTCCCCCCTGTAATGTTGTAATGTCGTCAAAGGAGGGCGATAAATTTTCAGGGAAAGGGAGGGTGGGTTAATTTTGTCGCGACTTAAGTTACAAGCTTATTACTATTTGCCATGATATTTGTCGAAATTCGTTCAAAAGTTATGGCGTTCAGTTGCAGTTTGTCTAACGTTTTCTGGATCTAATCTGCATTAGCTGATATTGTGATAGGCGAGAAAAACCATTCATTTTTTACTATTTTATAAAAATTATTCGTATCTCGGCTATTCTACAGTCCATACCCTGTGCAATCTTGGTTGCTTTATACTTTGTCATATCTATCAATGTCTATCCGTCATAAAAATGTATTATTAAATATCTATCAATGTCTATCCATTTCTATCAATATCTATCCATCATAAAATATCTATCAATATCTGTTCATATAAACACATGTAGTACATTAAATTAATGTCGATTATGAATCGTAACTCACATTTCTAGTTTTAAAAATTTTTTATTATTGAACATAGGCTCCTACTTATTTTACTCATATTCATTTTTACAAACACAACACTGCATTGTCATGGCTTTTGTGTCGACACCATTGCAAAAACAAACATTTAGTTCAACTTCTTATGTCTGAAGTCTCAAACTTAATGCTCTGTTTGCAAACGATTGATGTTTTATGTGATATTTTAGTTATATCTAATATTTAATGTTTAGGTAAAAGCTTTTTTATTCAATTATATCTTATATCATTAGACATTCATATTTTGCCTCTTTGCATTAACATAATTCACCAGCTGCTGATTTTGGTCCATATGGATTGCTAAAATGTCTTTAAAGGAAAATGATACTCTCTGAAATTTTAGTGAAGTGTGTTATAATACACTCTATAAAATGTTTCAAAACTTATATCAATGATGGCTACAGCATACTGTTGTCTTTTCTCTCCCCCTTGTTTTGAAATGACAGGAGTTAAATGTAAAACAGATTAAAGCTGATTGATATTTTTTCGTTAAAAATATTCTGAAACGATCGTTTTTTGCTGATCCGCGATTCATTTATTTTCCCGATTCCTTCAAATGCTGCTTTGGTCTGTATATCCTCTTGTTCCGAGGTAAGATCTCATTTTCACAATCTATCTTACCAACGTTTGAGGCTGCGTTGTCCCTGCTTATAAATATAAAGTTGCTTTTTTTCATTTTTCAGTGTTTTAAAGTTTTCCTCCAAGTCGCCGTAAGGAAATATTGTTTAACATATTGTGTCCCTTTATATTAGTTTTCTTCATTGTAAGTTGTCATTAGTTAAAGGCACTTTGTCAGCACGTCAATCACAACAAGCTGTTACAAACTCATTTCCTTGTATTATTTTGAATATCTAATATAAGTTTGATTTTTGTTATTTTACTTTTTTGTTAACTTGTGACATATTCGGGCAATTGTTCAATGAAATGGGTTTTTTCCGTGTCAGTTTGGTTTTTCAGGGATAGCTAGTGTAAAAATTATTCTTTGTCACATTGTGAGCACATATTTCCCATTGTTTTGAGAGACGTACTTTTTAATTAAGTTGGCTGAAAATCTGCAAGACAGACATGTTTATATGGTTGGAAAGTGTTCTCTTGTTTTCTGTATTTACCTTTTAGGACACGTTTTTTTTAAACTAAGTTTGTAAACGGACACGGAAAATTGCAGACGGTCGGATTTGGTTAATGGTGATGATAATGGGAGATTGCCTTTTCACTGCGTCCAGCATTGCCTAATTCAGTGAAAGCTAGCGCACGTCGTTCCAGTAAAACCTTATTCCTGAAAACGTAGCTTCCCTTTCCCACGATAATTTGCTTTAGTTATGGATGACGACCAAATGCTTGTCCAATGCTTTGCCATTCGTCATATTCCTTTCTAAAGTATTGAGTCGTCTTAAAACTTTAACAGATGCTGTTGTTGTTTGCTGAGTGAGTAATGTATCGTTAAAGGAAATGCAAGAATGGTAACAAATTGGCGGTGGAATAAATTTCTATGAATTTTGCTGTGTTGCCCTAAAGATACGTCTTAACATGGCGTAATTTAACACACCTTGTCAACTAATATTTACTAAATATGGAATTTTCGCAATATAATTATCCATTTATGCTGTGAGCTCGGTTTCCCTTAAAAAGAATTCAAATTTGAATAGCTGCAAATGCAAGATTGGATTTGCTTATCTTTTCATCTGTAATGTTTATCGATTACACTTTTTCAACTTTCTATTTCAATTTAATTTTTGGAATATCAATAAAACACATTCAGGAAACCAGTAATACGAGAATTTAGTTTCAAACATTATCTATAGCACACAGTTTAGATTTTGAAAGTAATTTTTCTTTGTGAAACATTTTTATGTTTATGTGTTATTATTTGCGGCAACTTTTTTATTAAAACCCTGCTGACAAGGTTTTAATAAAGATTCAGTTGTACGACACAAAATAAGAACTACATGAAACCTTGAGCGCTCTATACAATAAGTTTGATTTCAAAATTTTAGTACATCTATAATCTAAATAAACCTGGCTTGTTGCCTACTTGAAAGGGAAAGTAGTGCTTACAAAGACACGTTAGAAATTAAATATGATATCGCATTTGATGCCTAGGCTATGTAATGTAATCCTAGCTGTGGCATCAATCATCAACTTATCGCGAAACTTTGCCATTTCACTTGAAATAAAGATGGTATCCATTGTTAAGTAAGCGCATCCTTGTCACTTTACAGCAAGGCAGAGCTAGATTAATAAACGTATAATGCAAAAAGTTCAATATCTGTGAGGAAAGTTTACTTAGCTGAATGCTCGGAACAATATTTAACATTAAACATGGTTATCACTTACTGGTCATAATACTTGCAAGAGAAGAATTACTTCCCCATTTGAAACTCAAAGGCAAATATCAAGGTGTGAAGAAGACATTGAACCGATGATATCTTGAATACTTATGGTAATTTGCTGTTTATCAATGTTCGTCATACAATTAGCAGTGAACCAAATCAACCTACTGTGAAATTTCAATCAATTGATTATATTTTATTATCGTCATGATTTCAAACTAAAACCTTTACATGGCCTTAGATCTCATGTTTGTAGCATTTTAGATATTGTTTACATAGTCTTGGACGATGTTAGATGTGTAGGCTTTATGTATGCACGTGAGTGTCAGTATAAGATTGCTTGTAAAATACGACGACTTATCTCTGTTGTGTTGTGACTATATGTTATAAATTTTATAAAGCTATTTAAATGCAATAATTGTGTCTATCATTTCCATTCTTGTGGATGCTGTCAAGAGCTCAAATTTCGAGAATTTTTAATGACATAATCCTTTATATTTAATTCAATCGTTAACTCGTTCACTTCTCTGCGGCTTTTCATTTATGATAATATTCTGTGGATAAAATTTTTTACAAATTAAATTAATACGATAAGAACATGTCAGGTGTTGGTTATCGGATGTTGCTTGCATGGGGACGTGTGTTTTATGCAATGAACTATTTTGTTTGCACGTCCGACTTCCTCGCTTTCAGTTGTTCATTTTGACTGTATTTGACTTATTGTTGATTTAAACTTTCGTTTTGCTCTCGGCAGGTGCTCTATACAACAGAAATTGAAGATTAAATTTGTTGAACAGTGTGTGTGAGGCTCAATTTTCTCGAATATTGACGTTGCGTGAATTTCCTACGAAGGCAACGAAAGGTAAGGAAATTTAATAGTTTGATTTAAAATGGTGAATGTTAGTTACACGTTTAATGGCTATTTATAGTGGGATATGTTTTTCTGAGGGGCAACAACATCTAAAACTGTTTTGATTTGTTCACCATTTAGCGAATGTTTCTGCGACTGAAAAAGAAAACAAGTCCTCATTATTTCATATGCGGTTATATGTGCATGCGATTTATTTGATGCTTGCGATGTTTGTAAACAAAATTAGAATTGTATTTGGACGATGACTATACCTCAGTGGGGAATGTTTCTTTTGGCAAATAAGCACAATTGCTCTAAATAAACGCTCTACAAACGATTGTGCATGTACTCGAGTTTGGAATGAGACTGCTTTGTGGAAAAGAATGAGTCATTAACGGAGAAATCATTAAAAAAAAGATTTATAAAGTACGAATGTAGGCTTATGGATAACTCCATTACCTTTATCATATACATGCATATTTAATTAACGTCATATTGATAACGCACGCATTGTGAACTTTTAAAATGGGAAAAAATTACTAGAAAAATTATCGTATCGTTCGAGCACAATTAATGGAAATCGGCAGTTCGGTCGGATCACTGCTAAATTTTTACTAGTCTAGTCGCCATTGACCACTTTCATTCAGCGTTGAAAACTGTGAAACTATTTACGTGTGCGAGTTGGCATTTTCGTGATAATTAATGAGAAAAACACTGGGAAGTGATGAACACACTTGATTATAGATGAATTTGCTTAAACAAACACTTCACATTTCGACAAGCGGAGATGTACCGACGTACCTATGTTTTATCACATTTCACGATCTGGTTGTTTGTTTTAATCGTTATTCAACATTATGGCTTCGTACGCTTTGTTTTAAAAATGCCAGTGGCTTGACGTTAGTGTCAATGTAACTATGCTTTCCTTGTCATACGTTGTTTGTTGAATATTCCACGTATAAGCGATATTATATAGCGAGAATTTGCCTGTATGTGTGTTGCTAAGTTCATCCTTTAACGAGATTACATTTTACATTGATTTTGCTGTAAACTTGTAAAGTATAATCATTTAAGCCCATTACAAACGAACTAATTTTTCGTGGAAAAATTTCTATGGCTGCCCCGGCCTTCTTCACATACCATTTTGGCATTTTTTCATGAGCACTGTTTATGTGCAAAAGCTAGAATATAATTAAGCAAAGGTTTTCATAAAACATTTGCCTCATAATCAATTTTATTCTGCAACTGTCAGAGACCTGATGATCATGATAAAAATGAGATAATATGTTCAGATTACAAAAAAAAATTGTGGCCTTACACAGAAGGATTTGCGAAACGTTAAATATATTATTAGGCTTTATATACACGATATTCTGCCGAAATACAGATTATGTTTAATGGTATACTAATGCCTTTACGCTCGATGAAGTTCATGCAGTTTGATTTTGCGCAACTCTAACGAAAATTATACGTTTTAACAATATGGGCTGAAAAACTGTGTTGTATGAACAATATTTGTTATTGTCGAAAATCTGACTTTGAATATTGTGTTTTTGTAATGCATCTGTGTAAACACCGAGGGGATGACATTCATCCGGTTGAACAAATTCATGTTTTCATGGGATGACATGGGCCGACTGAGTTTATAATTTGATGTAATTCGAAACAAGATTGATCGTGTGATCATGACGTACGTTTTCTTCTGTATTACAGCCAGATTACAGCTTAGGACTAAATGGATAACGTTAGTGACCCTCAAATTAACAGCAGAACCCGAAAGTCCCTGTTGTGGCCGTCACAATTGTTCTCATAATTCTCATTTTAATCTCTGTACTTGGAAACTTACTGGTATGCGTTGCATTCTACATTCAACCGCAACTTCGTAGACTTATGTACTTCCCAGTGCTCAGTTTAGCAATAGCTGACGTCATGTGTGGCCTGTTAGCTATGCCGGCGTATTTAGCGAAAAAACACGTTTTTGGTGGAGACAAAGAAATGATTGTTTGTGACATTTCGCGTTTTTCCTATTTTGTCACGGAATACGCATCAATTTTAGTCTTGCAATTGTTAGCGTAGATCGTTCTTTGGCTATCTTGAAACCTTTACATATGAAACATATGTTACATCAACGAGAATGAAATTAGCAATCTCAACTTCATGGTGTTGGGCGTTAATCGTCTCTCTTTTACCTTTTTTGGAAAACGGCTGAACAAGATGGCTGTAACTTTCGACCGACAAAGGAATGGAGCATTGCGGTTATTATGGGTAACGTCCTTTTGCCCTTTTTGTTCATATTTTTGTGTCAGATCTCCATTTATGTGATCGCCATTAAGCACTCGATAGTTATTAGACGTCAGAAAAAGTAGGATCTTTTCACCGAAGGAACAGCTCTGTTCGAACTGAGGCTTGGGCAATTGAACGTAAAGCTACTGTTGGTTTATTGATTGTGATTGGATTGTTTATAATTTGCTGGAGTCCTTCGTCATTATATTACTTTATGCAGAATGTAAACCCTGACTATTTTGCCGGAACATTTGGGGAGTATCAGGAGATTTATAATGCCGTGGTAAAGATCATGACGTTTGCGAACAGTTGTTTTAATCCACTGGTTTACTCTTGGATGAACCGAGATTTCAGGTGCGCCTTTTTGCGGGTTTTGAACAGGGAAAGATACAGAAAGGCTGTCGAAAGAAGTGCATTTAACACGGCTAGCCGTCACGAATTGGTTACTGTACATGTAAATTGTAAAGCAATAGAAGAATAATAACAAAGATTAACCTGCAAAGTTGGCTTACATATAAGTCTTTACCAACTTTACCTTTCCGTACGGGACTTTCTAAGATTTGGATGCAAGCTGGCGGCTTATTTCTATTTTTCATTTCTCATAACAGATATACCTTAACATCGCTTGTAACCTAACTAAGTTGAGTGAGCACGCACATCACGATAAAGCCAATCGCAGTTTCTGTACCAATATAACCAAAATTCCCGCATTTTATTGCTCTATATCGTTGTTTTTTTTATAAAAATTTAATGCTTTACTAAAAATGTTTCTGTTAACTTTTCCAATGGGTTGAATGGAAATATAAATGAAGAAATCACGTCACGCCGTCTATAAAGCTACTAAGAGACGCAGGCAGTGGACGGGAAAATGAAGTTTAAGTTGTAGCCTAAACTTATCATTTAAGGGGAAACTACTTGAGTCTACTTTTGAACGCAAGGAAATGCTTGCAATCGACAAATATGTAATGTTATTTGCGATCGTATACATCAATGCGTTTCCCAACTTAACTCTGAAGAATGTGAAAGATTGTGTATATATTATTAATTAACTACTGTAAGAAAAATTGTAGAGCAAGTTATTTTAGAGACTTACTACCATTGAAGAGCTTTAATAAAACGCAAACCATAAATAGCGAATATTACAGATGAAAAACCAGATGGAACTCTAAACCTCTGAACAGGACGTTAACATTATATGAATGCTATAGTCCATTCATGAAAGCCTTCTCATGTCTGAGCTTAAACCCTCTCTTAACACCCAAGGCAACTCTTTCCCCCTTCACCTTTTTAATATACCGCCCTTTTTATTTTATTCTATCATCTAAAATTCCTACTCCCCTCACATGTAATTTAACACCCTGTAATATATGCTTGTATCAGAAGATGTCTTAAGTTAAAGACGAAACGTAATTATTAAAAAAACCTTTTATCTTTCTTTCGTATTTTGTTGTTGTGTTTGCTTTTTTAAAAATCTTATGTTGCGCTATTATGTTCATATTGAAAATCCAGTTTATTTTATTTTCTTCTATTCCACTAAAATACAATACATATACTGCCTCTATTATTGAAACTATTTAATTACAATAACGAATTTACACATCATCTGAGCCTCAGACTGTCAACTCTGTGTGGGATGGGATTTATGAGAATTGCACCTTTTCCATGTAAAATTTCACAATTATAAAGTTGAGTTTCATACAGCACTAAGTCACAGATTTGCGATTCGTATTTTAATTACAATATGTAATTGGATAAGTTTTGTGCAAACTTCGAATGATAATCAGACTAAATACAAGCAACATGCAGATATTCCAAAATGATAATAAGAACCTCCCAAGAAATGTTGAAATTTACATAGTATAATGAAATGTTCGTTGTTAATGCAGAAGGGGCGTCAAGGCCAATTTATGCATGGTGTTGGAAAATAATGTAGTGCTTATTCGCCAATATACAGCTTGACGATTGTTAGACTGGTCAATGATGGAGAAAGATTTTGGGTATAATTTAGTGGTAAAATTAATACATTATTAAACAAATACGCAAAATCGAGGATATTGGCTTTGTTTACTAGTATTCAAACTTATTATTCCAAAGGTGTAAATGGTGTCCCAATAAAAAGTAGCACTATACTGTATCAGGTATGAGATTATTTTTCACTTTGTCACCATCAAATTATATCACGTATGCGCGCAACTATATTAGGACTGGGAAGAGGCTGTGTGATTACTACATACATTGACTCATTCTTGTTAGAGATGTAACCAGACATGGTTGAATAGAACAGGGGCGGATCTAGAGTATGTCAAATCCGTCGCGCGACTGATGTTTGAAATTCAAAAATTACCTATTCATATTAATTAAAAATTCATTAATTATTCTTACTTTATTATCGCATTTACTTCGTGATAAAATCAGCTTTATTTATTATTGAAAACTAATGACTAATGCAATGAATATCTCCTTGGTAACCAGATCAGTTGAATTTTAATTGACCTGGAATAACCGACTGATAAGCGGGGTGGCTTGACTGATGACTTATAAAGGAGTCTATGAACGCCAGAAACGCTATTTTATTGGTCAATGGCCAGATCAGTGGACAGTCTGGAATAATCTCGACCGATAATAAGGGTGGCCGGACCTATAAGGGAGTGCAATTGCTATCTTACAATTGGTTCATTTGAATTTTTGTCTTACTGTGATTGGTTTGACCGATTTCGACTGATAGCCAACTGAACTAACATAGTCAAGCTCAATGTCTGAATTGAATGTTTGATCGTTTCATAGTAATTTTTATAAGCATGATAGAAACTAAACTTCAATCAGATGGAATTTATGGAAATCTTTACAAATTCATATGTTGACATGAATGCTGCTTTCCAAACTGAATTTTTCAAGAGGGTGAAAAATTTATGGATGAATTGTAAATGCTTGGCAAAGACGATCTCGAGCGACATTTCAGTCATTGATGTTCAAAGAAAGCCAACATTGTTTTGAGTTTTATCAGCAGAAATTTACATCGAAAATCGTAAGTAAAGGACAAGTGAAGTGTATGCATGAATGCAATATATCAAAGTCAATTTATGCGAGTGTGTGATGCGATTTATGTTAATATGGCGTATGGTAAGCAGATTGATGCTTCTAAAATTGTTGTTGCCGAAGGACTTTTAGCTATGATTTCTTTAATGCTTGGGAATCGTGGCCGTTATATGGCATCGAAATCCTACATTTCTGCAAATATATTTCAATGGACAAAAATCTGTAGCCATAAGGCGCCATACTATTATTTACTTTATCATAAACAAATGTTTGGGGCTTTTCAGTTTATGATCATTGATCATTCAATCATTGGACAGTTATACTACATATTGTTTTTAGATTTGAGAAAACTAACATTGATTACATGAGAAGCTGTTTACTATAACCTGTGATTTTGAGTCTTATGATCCATGAAGCTTTTATTTTGACAATTTGACTGGAATGGTATTAAACCTGAGTATTTCACATACATGAAATGTTGTCCCATGTCACATATTGTCCCCTTTTCTAACTGACACCTCATGTAGAGATGTAAAGGTGTGTTAATCACGGCTCATACCAGATTGTTGCCATAAATTCCAAGGGCTATTGATGTATGAAAAGCATTTTCTATAAAGTAAAAATGCCTTCCTATGTATGCAGATAAACCTTGAAATTTGGCAAAACAGCAAAGTATTTTCATGATCACTAGGTAATTTTCTGATGATCATTATAATTTCTAAACTAAATTATTTTAGATTTACATTTAAACAAGCTTTGATCATATGAAAAGATATTTATCATAACCAGTAAGCATTACATAAACCATTTTTACATTAGGTAATTATATAATTAAAGACATGTTGGTTACATTCTGTTTGTATTTGATAATACAATGCTACTAGTGATTGCTATATAGCACACCTTGCAGAAGATAATAGTCTAGTGAAATGCCTAATAAACATTTATGGCATTAAGCTAACCTTAACTGCAAATTTTCACTCTGATAATTTTGCTTAATCTTTGGCAAAAAAATTTTGAGTTTTCTCAAAGGGTGAATTGCTGGCACTGATGTGGAGATGGGTAAAGAGTTACAATAAACTTGCATGGTTTGAAGTCTGAGCTTTTCTATATCTATGAACTGTCACTTGTAGTACCAAATTTCTAACTTAGCATTATTACATAGAGGTTTGAATGGGGGTCTCTAGGGGTCTATGCCTGACAACTTGGTAGAAATTTTAAAGAATATATCTGTTTTTGAATAGCATTATTGTAAAATAAATTTACGTTCCTAGACATGCTAATGAGCCATATATTTGGCATGATAATGAGCCTAAATATTTGGCAAAACATTCAAGTATTGTTCACTTTTTTTTTTGAAAAAAAACGTAAGAAAAATGTGTTGTTTTTACGCAAAAACGATGCCTACAAAATACATTTTGTATTGCTCTAAAACGCTGAAAATGGCATTTTCAAGACTCTGAAATTCAAAATTTCTCAGGGGAGAATGCCTCAGACCCCCCCCCCGGCGCGGAGCGCCTCCGACGTTTTATGACTGATGTTTGAAAAATCCTAGATCCGCCCCTGGAATAGAATGCAAATATTTTTGTTTTCATGACTGAAAAACAAATAGAATTCATTATCTAAAGAAACTAATAATTTTGTTGAGAAATTTGCATTTATATTATATAAGGTTCATCTGATAAGGGTGAATTGTGTTAAGCATTTTATTAAAATTGATATTCTGATGTTTGTAAAGGTAAACTTTATTGACATTTTATTTCAATTCCAACTGCTGCAAAATGTCATGTGGTATTTCTACTTCATGAAAGTTTGCCATGTGTTCTTCAGTTTCTTCTCCGATAAGCACTTGAACTACCTTCTCAATAACTTTACAAACACTTTCATTCATTTCAGATTTATGAAGTTCTCTGATGATGACATATGTGTTCTTATCTTTGATATATTTTCTGCAGGATTTGGTTGAACATAGCTGTAATGAGATTATACTATAATCATTCATCAGATTCAGATTTCAATGAACTGTATGATTATTTGGAAGAGCTCAGTCACACTGAGGGACAATATCTTCTGCATGCAAGCACAAAGTTCAAATATTTTGAAAGGTAAAGCTTTATATCCACATAAAAACCCTTCTTTTTCAGAGCTTTTACCATTAAGTTTTCTAAAATGGCTTACTTTACAAATTCAAGCATTACTTATTAACTTTAATGTGTTTGACTTAACAAAAACTTAACAAAAAATGCTTTGCCATACCATCAAAAGACATTCAAGTAACATCTTTCTAATATCAGGATCTATCTCACGTTTCTTGTCCTCATCGAGATATTGTAAATCAAGAGGTAGACTTTCATTCTCACTATCTGACAATTCTTCTGGACCAGCCAATGGTAACAACAATGCAGATAGTATATTGACATCATCACTAAGCAACCAATCATGGTGGTCTATAAGACAGAACACTTGTAGTAAGTGTCAAGGTAATTTTAACTCTCAAATTGCTGGTAAAATGAATTAAAATATTTAAGACCTATACAAGAATCAAAGTAACATGATTTGTGTTAAAAAAACAACAATTGCCCAACATAAAATTCCCGCCTGGAAAGTCTCTTGCTAAAGGAAAGTCTTTGTAAATTGCTATTATTCTGGAAAGTCTTTGTAAATTGCTATTATTCTGAACAAAGTAACATGTTTGTGGAATTATTAATAACATACCATACTCAAAGCAACAGTTTCGTATTATTCCAACAACAGCTCTTCTTCGCACAACAGATTTCTCGTAACCAATGTATGGTAACAAGTTTGATATAAAATTCCCAGATTTATCAAGAATAGAAAGTCGCACTTTTTTAATTCTGGTCATATTTAATATAAATGCAGCCAAATGATGTAAGTTGCAATCTTCGTTATAGTTCTCTGTAATGAGCGCATTGAGTAAGTTATTAAAGATCTTTTGAGGTGAGTTTTCCATGCTTTTTAAACATGTTTCACATCCCTTTTCAGTTAAAGTTAAATTGCTCAAAAGCATAGCAATAATATCTGAAAATTTGCATTGTTTATCAACAACGTGCCGTATCAAAAATTCAAAATAGTTCTTGTCCCCCAATTCGTGTGCGATTGTTTCCACGCCGGACGCATTCAAAACAAATAACCATGCATCTTTCTGCACTCTCTCAGATTTGTCTTTTGTCAATTCAACAATCTTGTCGACCAAATTCTGATTGCGTTCGAGCATTTCAAGGCCATCGTGGCTTTCAGTAAGGCCTAATAAATATTCTAACGCCAATACTTTGCAGTCTTCTTTACTGCTTAGCGTTAAGAAGCTCACAAGTTTGTTTAGTTGCTGTTCCAAGCATCGATGTTGTGCATTGTCCGCCATGGTCGACGACAACGAAATTTAGAACTGGAAGCCACACTAGAAGCCAAGAACGAATGAACGAAACAACTTACTGGATCAGATCACACTAGATTATGAGATCTGTGGATCAGATCAGGTCATGTGGCTCCATTGAGTGGGTGGTGTAGGTTCATTCAGGACCGGCAACGAAACGACATGTGATGTCGAAAGGTATGTATTCAGCGTTGTGAACGACATGGATATGATAAAACAAGGAAGAAATATTCCAAAAGAAATACTGAGTCATTAATTGAAGAAGCCCAAGATAATGCAGTCACTAAAAGTGAAGAATAACCATCTTTTAATGCAAGACAAAGAAACAGCTGGGATTATTTGCCATAACCAATCAATTGTATTTTTGACCCATTGCAACACTGAATTGGCTTACCACAGCCAACTGAATGAAGTGGTCTTAACCACACTTAACCCGAACCTTAACCCTTATCTTGGTCCTGCCAGGTCTTGACTTTACCAACTCCTTGAGATGCTAAATGTTCAAGTTTGAACGATTTTTCATGTCATTATTCTTTTAGTGCTGATTATATATATAGTCCCCATCTAATATCAATGGAAGATGGAAACAAAAAGCGCATAATTAAATTATAAGTTTTCATTATCGTGAAGAAAATATGACCACTGTCCAATGGATAACGCTATTAAATGTCTTTACGTAAAAATTTATGTACATGTTTAATGTATATAAAAAAATCCTTGGAAATATGACAAATTATGTCATATTACCAATTATGGTAATATGGTTGCAATTTTCGTTTGCAATTATGGTTGCAAATTCGTTGCAATTATGGTTGCAATTATGGTAATATGGTTGTAATATGGTAATATGGTTGCTCTTGCTTGGTTTTTAATGGCTGATTTACTTTGTTATTTTTACTATAAATTGTATTACGCATATTTGCAAAAACAGCATATTTCGTTAGTTTAGTAGATTTTTTTTTAATTCAATAAATTTTTGTATACATGTCAAACATGTATACAAAAATTATATACATTATAATTTATATATTATATACATATATTTATGTACATATTATATACATTACAAACATCCACAAATTAAAGACAAACCTAAAGCAAGAAACTGTAATTTATCAGCTAAAACAAGAAGGTTGAGTAATTATTTAGGGTGGGAGGGTTGGGAAATTCTAAATCACATGTAAAGACATTTATATCCATTCGTGCAACATGAGCCAATCGGAACATCGCACTTGAGAGAGACATATATTATATTTGAATAGCTTGAGAGAGTCAGGGAGACACATATTTTAATCTTAAATTATGTAATTACATGTTAGTGTGTAATTTCTATTTCCAATCGGCTGAACAAAGCGATTGCGACTCAAAATCAAGCACTGTCACACATACTTCCTGTTTTGTGATACACTCTATATAACAAGAACAACAACCTTGTGGTAACTGGTAACTAAACATTTTGAATGAAATGAGTTCACGTTCAAGAAATCCATTTGTACGCACAAACACAAAGACTTCGATATGGTCACAATGTAGTCCTGAAATTCTGCGACTTCAGGAAGACAAGGAGCGGAAACAGAATTGGAAGCGCTGGGGTCCTTATTTGTCAGAACGGCAATGGGGAACAGTTCGAGAAGACTATTCAGCAGATGGTGGATGGTAGGTTGATGAGGCTCAGCTTCTAATGATTGAAAATATTCGTTAAAAGTGCTCAGTACTGAAATCATTCATGCAAATTTTGAATGGTCGGTAAAATTTTGATCTATAGTTGAAAGAGATGTCAAAACTACGATGTTCGCTGGGTTCTATCTGAATTATTTTCCATTTTTCAACATGAAACGAAAGAACCATCAGACATACGTATATAAGTTGTCCATGAGTTACATAACTTGCTGCCATTTTTCACTAAACATGTCTTGTTTAGAAACTGTGCCAATGCCAATATGAATAATTAAAATTGTCTATAGATTCGTCTAGAATATGACCTTACCTATAGAAATCTAGTGTTCATCAATTAAAAATTGTATTTTATCAGATTTAAAACTTCTTCAAATTGTTATCATGTAGTTTCTTTATCATTTACTCGACAAAATTTAGTAATTTACTTGTAAATTTAGTTGGGACTATTTCTCCCATGACCAAGCACGATCTCGAGCATATCGTTGGGGTGAAGATGGATTGCTGGGTATAACGGACAGACAATGCCGACTTTGTTTTGCCCTTGCTTTGTGGAATGGAAGAGATCCTATTTTAAAAGAAAGATTGTTTGGCTTGACAGGACCTGAAGGTTTTGAGATTTAATTGTCTTCCACTATAAAGTATTGATTTCATATACAGTGCTTGATAAAACTGAGCAAAGCAACTAAAATTTTGGTGTTGAAAGAATTTCTGCAAATATGTAGATGCTGCTTAAACCATTGGCCAAGTAATCAATGCTCCTTTGAAATATCAAGTAATGAACTATTTTCTGCAAGCAGTATGTAAATTATTACACAACAATTTACTGGGTGCGAGATGCTAAATACACCAGCCAACTGGTGTGAAGTGCTAGGTACTTCAGCTAACTGGTAAGAAGCACCAGGTACCTCCAGCTAACTGGTGTGAAGTGCCAGGTACCTCAGGTAACTGGTGTGAAGTGCCAGGTACCCCAGCTAAATGGTGTGAAGTGCCAGGTACCTCCAGCTAACTGGTGTGAAGTGCCAGGTACCTCAGGTAAATGGTGTGAAGTGCCAGGTACCTCAGGTAACTGGTATGAAGTGCCAGGTATCTTAGCTCACCAGTCTGAAAGTGCCAGGTGCCTAAGCTTACTGGTGTTAAGTTGCAGCACAATGTTGTAAATTCTTATTCTTATTCTTTATCAGGTAACCATGGGGAAGATGTAAAAGAATGCTATTATTATCTTGATTCACTGCCAACTCACAGCTATATGAAAGCGTTGTACAAATACCCACAAAATGAGTTTCCATATGGCTGGCTTGTTGAAGAAAATAGGAAAAGGAGTGTTCATGATTTGGAATTTGAACTGTGTGATACTGGTAAGTATCTTTTTTATATATGAATTAGTAAACTGGCAAAAATTTTGCAAAACAAAAGCTGCAAAAGCTTCCGTGATTTTCTTAGTGATTTTGTCATATGTAAACAATAAAATACAATGTGAGTACATTGCTTTTGTCAAGTCACCCATTTTTTATTGCTTTCATTCACAGGTGTATTTGATGATAGTAGGTATTGGGATGTGATGGCAGAATATGCTAAGAATTCTCCTGACGATATCTTAATAAATATAACCATTAGCAACAGGGGATCAGAAGCAGCTACTATCCATGTGTTGCCCACACTTTGGTTCAGAAACACTTGGATATGGGGATGTAAACATGAAGGTTGTACAATGAAAGCAAAGATTAGTCAGGATGGTGAGGGACGTGTAAGGACAAAACATGATGTATTGCAAGAATTTGTGTGTGATTTTGAGGGATCAACAAAAGGGAAGGCACCTGTGTTGCTTTTCACGGAAAATGAAACAAATTCTGAGGTTAGTATTTGTATAATATTTAAGTGTCAATACGTATCATATGATGTCCCAGTCTAGTGAAAAGTCTCAATTCTTTTATAACTAAAAAAATTAAATGCTCTCAATGTGTACGATTCCTTGTAACATCAAAAACTAACTACTGTTTTACATTTCAATCATTTTAGAAACTCTTCAACATTGCTCAATACACTCCTTATACAAAAGATGCTTTTCATCGTTACATCATCAATGATGAAACAGAAGCTGTGTGTCCTTCAGGGAAAGGCACAAAGGTTGCTGCGCATCATGTGTTAGACATCCCAGGAGGAGAGGAACGTGTACTGCGATGTCGTCTTACGATTGCAAAGGAAGCTGGGCAGGAACCATTTGGTGCTGACTTTGAAAAGATTTTCCAAACTAGAAAGGATGATGCAGATGCATTTTATGATAAAGTCATTCCAGGTAAATAAGGTTTTCCCTTGTCAATAAAGGTCAAGTATATTAGTATAAGTGAAAAATCTCTTTGTTGTGTACAGGCGTATATCAACCTTTGTTATAAACCATTGGTACTAACCATTGGTACCCAACAATGGTCTATACCTGATAAGTATATAATTTATTAAGTATTATATATTTTATCAAAAATTCATATTGTTTAATTTTACTGATATGTTACCTCAAGTATCAGCTTTTTTACTGCCTCTCCTTCAAACGCAATTTTTTAGATTCACTGAACTCAGATGAAAGACTCGTAGCGAGACAATCATATGCTGGATTATTATGGACAAAGCAATTTTATCATTACATCATTAAAGATTGGTTAGAGGGTGATCCAGAACAACCTTCGCCCCCTGCAAGACGAGCAAGCGGGCGCAATTCTCAGACGGAGTGGAGAAATCTTTTCAACAGAGACATTATATCGATGCCAGACAAATGGGAATATCCTTGGGTATTTTACTTACTATTACGAATAATATCAAAACATTTCAACTATTGCCTATGCATCCTTTTGCAACCTTTCATTATTGTGATGAACATCGATAGAACTCTCGGCAAAATTCTCTTATCGCGACCGTCTTATTGTTTCTTCATTCTTATATATGTTGATTATTTTATAGTATGCTTCTTGGGATCTTGCCTTTCACATGATTCCAATGGCTAAAATCGACCCAGAGTTTGCAAAGTCTCAACTTCTTCTTTTTCTTCGGGAATGGTACATGTCCCCAAATGGTCAATTGCCTGCGTACGAGTTTGCTTTGAGTGATGTTAATCCTCCTGTTCACGCGTGGGCATGTCTCTCTGTATATAAAATGTCAGGGCCTAAAGGACAGCGAGACAACTTATTTCTAGCACGATGTTTTCAAAAACTTTTGTTGAATTTTACTTGGTAAGTGTATTCACATGAAACATGATATTTTCGAGAAGTTATTAGTTCTTCTGTACCTTGACTAGCTATATAAGCTCATACACTGGAGAAGTCAAATTGGAAAAAATATTTTTTGTAGGTGGGTGAATAGAAAAGACCCAAACGGTCAAAATATTTTTGGTGGTGGATTTTTGGGTCTTGATAACATCGGTAAGGTCATAGATTTGTACGTCCATCTAGTCGACTATGGATTTGTAGAAGCAAAATAATATTCATTAAAGATTTTAAAACATTTTATGATTATTTTTAGGTGTCTTTGATAGGTCTAAGCCGCTTCCTACTGGCGGTCATTTGGAACAGGTAATTTTTTATTGCTTTTATAATTAAAGATGTTGTTTTCACACCATACTGCATGATTGTCTCCATATGAATCCTGTGTTTTTCGTGATGTTAAAGTACTATGAGTTGAGAATTTAGAGTTGAGAAACTTTTTATTTTGAACAATCGATGTAAAACGTAAGGAATTACAAAATAAACATGAAAAGGGAAATCAATTTTTGTTCGTAGTTGCAGAATTGAATTATGTATATCATAAGTTTCGGGAAATCCGATGACAAATCATATCGCCGTTTTCTAAACAAAATTCATACGTTTTCTTATTTTATGAATATAATTTTAGGCGGATGGCACAGCGTGGATGGCATTCTATTGCATAATTATGTTGTCTATTGCCTTGGAACTAGCTGTGTGGAGCGATCCCAGCTATGAAGATATGGCTTCAAAATTTTTCGAACATTTTGTGGAAATTTCTGACGCGATGAACCACAAAGGATTGTGGGATGAGGAAGATGGATTCTACTATGATCAATTGCGGTATGTTGGTTGATATTGTAATTACTTAGTGGACGATCTGTTAGCGATTCTTTTCTCACACATGAGAAGAAATAGTTTATAAAAAAGATAACGCTTATCATTGTAAGTAGTGATGAATGAACAAAAGAGAGAAAGATAACGTCTTTACTTTATAAACTCTTCATAGACTTGATGATCATTGTGAAGCTCGACTACGCGTGAGATCCATGGTTGGTCTCATACCGTTGTACGCATGTCTTGTAATAAATGACGAATACGTGAATAAACTTCCTGGTTTCAAAAAGCGAATGGATTGGTTCTTAAAGAACAGGGAAGATTTAAAGGAGGAGGTTTGTTGTGATGACATTTAAACATGGTGATTTTCGAAGTATACACATTTTGCCTGGTCAAATTTCCTCTTTGATGTCGAAGAATGAGAAACGGACTAAAAATTCTTCACTTGTTCCGTCTTCTATTCATCAACTGATTATATTCATATATTCATCAACTGGTTATATTTTTAAACTGATTGTAGCTACTACTTATTTAAGGTATTTTAGTACAAAAATATTACGTTATAATACAAAACATAAATAAAATCGTTCTGAGTTAGATTTTATTTCCTTAGATCACCTTTGATGTCAGAGTGGACGGAGATTCAAGTTATCACCATTTACTCGCCATTCCTTCTCCAGATAAACTACGGTCGGTGCTCAAACATTTGCTTCATGAAGAAGAATTTCTTTCACCGTACGGAATACGTGCTTTATCTCGCTACCATAAGGATAATCCATTCGAAGTTAACGTGCAAGGTGAAGTACATCGTGTTGAGTATGTTTCAGGAGAGTCAAATACATACATGTTTGGTGGTAATAGTAATTGGAGAGGACCTATTTGGCTTTGTGGTATGTCACACTCATCTTTATACTACTTCCGAACGTTCAATGAGTTTGTTTATTTAATAATTGTGGTTTCTTGCAGTGAATTATCTTCTTGTGGAGTGTCTTGAGAGATACGACTATTATTTTGGCAAAGATTTTACCATAGAATGTCCGACTGGGTCTGGTAAACTCATGAGACTTCGTGAAGTGAGCATCGAAATTCGTAATCGTCTTGCGGGAATATTTTTAGCGGACGAGAAGGGACGCAGACCATGTCATGGGGATGACAAGAGATACGCCGAGGATGAACATTGGAAAAATCTTGTTCTTTTTTATGAATTTTTTGATGGTGATACCGGGCGAGGTTGTGGAGCAAGGTAAGCTACGTAAAACATGCTTTTCATTCTTTGTCAAATGGAATTAAGGTAAAGTATTCGTTGGTTTTTCAACATATCTATTATGAAGATTAGTATTGCTTGATTTATAAGAATATGCATGATAATTGAAGGGTTCACAAACAGATTTTCAATTTTTTATTGGTTGGTGCGATAAGCGGAAAATGATGTGACGTAAGACGTCACCAAACCAAGGAGTCGGGTTAAAATATTTATTGAAGCTGTGAAAAATTTCAGTAGGAGGATAAAACTAATTTTTCATGAGTTGTCACTCCCTGTACACTCCAAAAAGTCTACCTGCAAAGGCATTAAAAGGTTTAGTTGTTTATTGTTTTAGTCAGGTATCTAAATCCAATGTTGTTTAAATTTAGTCATCAAACTGGATGGACGGCTGTTATCACACGTTGTTTTGACAAAATTGCTGCTGATCGAGAAGAAAGTCAGCCTTAGCAGTTTTAATGTGGAGTGAAACTTTAGAGAATGGTTTATGCCAGCATGTTTGTAGTTTAATTTACATATGAATCAAGGCCATTATAGCCAATCCAGTTTTTCTTGAAAATAACTAGAGATGAATCAGATCATAAGAAAGTGAGTGTTAAAAAACATTGGGTGATCAACAGTAAATTTAATTTATCTATGAAGACAAATATTTTACTTTGATGTCACAGCATTGAAACAAGTTTAAAATTTGTTTTATGTAACATCTTTTGCAATAAAAAATATACATTCTTTGACAGCTGTACATTCATATGGTTTGTGTTTATAAGTGACGATGGAAAAATTTATTCATTGTTTTAGTCCCCATGAAGTCTACCATTTTCAGGAAGTTGAATTTGATGATAAATGCTCAACGTTAAGAGAAATCCATTAACAGCATATGTTGACACACACACAACACAAAAATCCTCCAATACAAAGTACAATATATATGCCAAGTACACACAACCAATGCATGAAAGGCCACATGATGCTGTTGACAACCAAGCAATTGTTTTTCCATTAAAAAATCCTGCAATGACAGATTATAGATATAATTACAATAAAATGAGTTCTTGCAAAATTCACATGTGAAGATAAGCGGATATTTGACATTATTGAGCTGGGTTTATGTGTTTGTTATTTCTTGTTTCACGGTTTAAATTATGGTGCAAGCATAGTTTAAATTATGGTGTGTGTATGGTTTAAATTATGGTGTGTGTATGGTTTAAATTATGGTACGTGTATGGTTTAAATTATGGTGTGTGTATGGTTTAAATTATGGTGTGTGTATGGTTTAAATTATGGTGTGTGTATGGTTTAAATTATGGTACGTGTATGGTTTAAATTATGGTGTGTGTATGGTTTAAATTATGGTGCGTGTATGGTTTAAATTATGGTGTGTGTATGGTTTAAATTATGGTGTGTGTATGGTTTAAATTATGGTGTGTGTATGGTTTAAATTATGGTACGTGTATGGTTTAAATTATGGTGTGTGTATGGTTTAAATTATGGTACATGTATGGTTTAAATTATGGTACGTGTATGGTTTAAATTATGGTGTGTGTATGGTTTAAATTATGGTGCGTGTATGGTTTAAATTATGGTGTGTGTATGGTTTAAATTATGGTGTGTGTATGGTTTAAATTATGGTGTGTGTATGGTTTAAATTATGGTACATGTATGGTTTAAATTATGGTGTGTGTATGGTTTAAATTAAGGTGTGTGTATGGTTTAAATTATGGTGTGTGTATGGTTTAAATTATGGTGCGTGTATGGTTTAAATTATGGCGTGTATGGTTTAAATTATGGTGTGTGTATGGTTTAAATTATGGTGTGTGTATGGTTTAAATTATGGTACATGTATGGTTTAAATTATGGTGTGTGTATGGTTTAAATTATGGTACATGTATGGTTTAAATTATGGTGTGTGTATGGTTTAAATTAAGGTGTGTGTATGGTTTAAATTATGGTGTGTGTATGGTTTAAATTATGGTACGTGTATGGTTTAAATTATGGTGCGTGTATGGTTTAAATTATGGTGTGTGTATGGTTTAAATTATGGTGTGTGTATGGTTTAAATTATGGTACATGTATGGTTTAAATTATGGTGTGTGTATGGTTTAAATTAAGGTGTGTGTATGGTTTAAATTATGGTGTGTGTATGGTTTAAATTATGGTGTGTGTATGGTTTAAATTATGGTACATGTATGGTTTAAATTATGGTGCACTCAATATTTGCCTCCAAAATAAGAACTCTGACAAGTGAAAGTGAATATTTCAATGCTTCTGACTGTGAATAGATAAAATTGCCAGGGCTTACCAAGAATGAATATCAATGCATAGAAGGTAATTCCATAAATACTGTTGGGAACATTGAACATCGAGTCTTTTCCAAACAATGGCTCAACTAGTCCAAATCCAGTACCATATCTAAAAGTTAATACCATGCATGGTACAGTGAGCTTTTGATTTTGGTCACTAAACTGTCACAGAGTTCTATTTGATGCTACTTTTTAAGGTGACTTACAGGAAAAGTTCTCAGGTGAAAATAACACATAAATTACCTCTGTTCAGAAAGTGCATTGTTTTTACTTGCATTGCTGGTTTGGACTTCCTTTTTGTCTCATACATTTATTTTCTAACTATTTGATAAAATTAATATAAGACATACTTGGAGGAAAACACTTTAGAACAGCTCATTTTGGAGTTGATGTCGCATAAAGCCGTGAATGACTTATCATTTTTCTTCTTTAATTCCACATAAAGCGCATAAAAAGACAGGATAACTCCGATAAAACATAAAAATATTCGAAAGTCCCTTACAAAGTAGAACTTGGGATAGATCGAAGTCATGATTTGTATGCACACCTAGATCATCCGCGTCCTTTCTCTTAGTATTGAATGGTTTGTTGTGTTGTCTTTGTCATTGACACTTATTGTGTCACACAAACAGCTGATACAGAATTTATGAATGGCAAAATGCGAAATTGTGTGATGTAAAATTTGTAATTTTAATTTTTAAGATGGTGGACTCAAAAACTTTTGCAATTATTTATTAATTAAGCAACAAATGAAAAAAATGTGTAAAAATGGAACAATTTATAAAAATTATGTTGGTTTTATAATATAATTAAAAAATTAGTTTTTGGACTCCCCCGTCCATGATGTATGCTCCTCACCCCCCGGCTCGTGGTGTAAGATGGCGCTTTAATTCGAAGCACGATGATTTGATAAAACGACATGACAGCTGTAAAGATGAAATAAAGAATTGAGATGCTTGAATAATAGTAAATGCAAGTCTCCTGATGTGAAGTACTTTACCTATGGCTAAACGTTTTTTGTACTATCTTTTGTGTAGAATTCAGAATTGAGAGCATCTTGCAAACGTTTGCAATCAAAATGCCACCAAAAAAACGAACAGGAAACAGTTCAAGTTCAAATAATATATTTCAATACAATAATACAGTTGAATTGACGTTTAAGCCTGATTCAAATAAGAAGTTACTAGTAAAAACTAAAACTGTTGGGGATAGTTCAGACGAGGACGACGCTCCTATTCTGAAAAAGAAGAAAGGACGACGAAGAGGAAAAAAAGACACATGTAGCAGTAGCAGTTCGTCAGATACATCATCTTCTTCAAGCGACAGTGAGAATGGAAAGCAAGGAGATGCGTTAAAGTAATTCATGCCTAGTGTTTTTTAGTGTTCATACTAAATTGTATTATCATTCTCTCACATTTTTGCAATTTTTCAATATTCCAAGATAGACTCCATGCATCTCGCCAAGAAGGAAGTCAATAGTACTTTCTTCCATTCTGGTAACAATCTTTGTGGACAAAATCAGCCCTTGTTCGAATCCCATCTTTCATTGTTTATGATGTTTACAACAGTCAACAATTAATGTAAAACTGTAAAAGATAAAAAAAATTTTGTTCGAATTTACAAATATTTCTTTTGATTTTCTATACAATACATGTGTTGTCTTGAAATGTGTGTAGGAAATATGATATACATGAAATATGTGATGACGATTTTGATGAACTTCCAAGGCCTTTGACACCTCCTCCTTCGAATACAAATGCTCCTACATCAGGACCAAGTCGGCAAGCAAAAATTATCAAGGTAGCAAATAATAAAAAATTGCTCTGTAAAAAGATTATTGGGTTTGGTGTAATATGAAATTATGCTTTATACATGTTTTTGCCTAATGTTCTGGTTTATTTTAGATGTTTCATGTAATATCATTACATGTTGTTTTATATTATTACCATTTAATATAGTTCATGTTTCTTTTATTTAATGTGCCTTAGAACTGTTGGTGAAAAAATGCGATACCTGCAATTTTTACAGAAACAAGATGTAGCATCACCAGTTGCTGCTACACCTAATGTTTTTGATGTTGGTGACAACGATGGTAGTCCAAATAACTTCCAACATAAGATGACAGTTCGCATAAGAACTCGAAATGGTGTACGACGATTCCAATTGAAAATGGTGACTTTCTATCTTTTCCATCTTATCAGCATTTCAGTTTAGTGATGTTTAAATGCATGTCTTGTTATATTGCAATGTAGCATCTTCATCATCTAGGAATGCATGTGTAATGTTAAAAATTTAGTTTTGATGTAGATATCAGCTTTATTCAGGTGTGGTTTGATTTTAAAATTCAAGTCTTAAATGTTCTTGAAAATTTTGAATAGTTTACATTTATAGTGATATCAGATCTTATTAAATCAATATTTTTTTCTGACTTTAGAATGAAACATTTGAAGAAATATTCAATAATTTGGCAGCAATGCACGAAGTGACTACAGATGTGATTTCGCTCTCCTTTACTGATGGACTTGGAAATTTGCAGATGCTAAAATTCACTGATACACCAAGTAAAGTTAATTTGAGTGTTGCTGACATTATAGGTGAGGTGATATTTTATTACATTCAAGCATTGAGAAATCAACTAAGGTTTCACCTCTTAAATTTCAATTTAAAATTACTTTCTGAAGTAAACAAAGTGGTCTATTAGATGCAATTATTAGATAACTTCTGATGAAGAAATTGCACTAATGTCTATAAGTACTCAAGTTTTATCATAAGATCACTTTTAATGAAATCACTAGACTGAAGTACATAAGGACTCAAGTTTTATCATAAGATCACTTTTAATGAAATCACTAGACTGAAGTACATAAGGACTCAAGTTTTATCATAAGATCACTTTTAATGAAATCACTAGACTGAAGTACATAAGGACTCAAGTTCGAAGTTTCAGTATTCAATCACTCCAGATAAAGATACTAAACGTGAATATAAATACTTAAGTTTGACATACACCTTACTAAGACTATGATGGAACATATAAATACCTTCCAATTTATTAATGGGTGAAAAAGTTAGTTACTAAAGGGTTTCAACTGTTTTTAATCAGATTGCGTTGTCGTTAATCGTGCAACGATAGATGACCCGTTGAAATGAGTGAGAATATTGTAAATATCAAAATACAAGGATCGGAGAGCAAATCAGTGAAGCATTTCAAAGCGTTAAAGGTTAGTTGTTTGAAATATAAGAACGAGGTATCAATGTTGAGAATTAACTGCCCGTTGTTGAATATTTGATGTTTTTCTCTGTGTTCCCAGCTATCATGATTTCCGTTAAATTTAATCTGTTTAAATCAACTCAGTAGGAGCATAAAGAAGTATCTACAATCATCTTTATCCTATAAACAGTTTTTCAATGATAAACTTTGGTTATTTGGCTTATAGAACAAATCTCTCGGGAGAATAATGCAACTCTACGCTGAGTTTCGTCAATTGCCTTTATCCAAGTTGAAATTCTTCTTTGATGGCGAAAAAATTATGCCAGAACAGACCCCGAATGATCTTGATATGGATGATGAAAATGCTGTAGATGTCAAGTTGATATAGGAACAATTGATTTTCTACCTGCATATTGCACTTCTGGATTAATCTCTCGTGTTTTGGAGTAATAGTTTTAAATACAACATAATTTCTTTTCTTTCCAAGACAATTTAAAGAGACGAGAATGGTGATAGAGGAATTAATCTAGTAAAATAGTTTAGATCAAAAATTATGGCGATCATTTCTTCGAATGCAAAAATTTCTACGAGACCAAAATTTCTTTAATTCTTTTCGGAAAGAATTTTTTCTTTTCGTTATCGAATTGAAAGCAAGGAGGGCGGGGATTATGTACATACCATATTTTAATATAATAAAGTTATATTGCAATTTCAGCGTTTATTTTTAGTGTATTCCAAAATCTTTATACTTTTTAGGTAATCATTACTTAGTAATACATCATGGAAGTTTCCTTGTGAAAACTTTTGATTTGATTTGATTTGATTTGTGTTTTCTGACTGAATATTAGTTGATTCAGTCGTTCTGGTGCAAAAGTATTTTGGTTGAATTGTAAGTTTGTGTACAAAGAGCATTTAAAAACGCAGTTGGACAAAAACTGACTCTCTGCATTTCACAGGGGGGACAAGTGTGGAGAATGTGGAAGTGACTTCTCTTGCTTTTTTGAAATATGTAGGTTTAGAAACTGATACAGGACAGAAGTAGGTGTTGTAAAACTTGTATGCTTTTCTGTCTTATATCGACACTTAAAAAGTCAATCTAAAGGCACGTAGAACCTCGAGTTTTTTTAGGGAGAGAGGGAGAAGGTTTGCTTCTTCAAAATTTATGTGTATGTAATTTTATATTTTACAGGAAGTCGCCATCGTAAACATTTTACATGTGTGAATCGTAGTGCGCAAGCGCTGTGCTTCGAAAAATTTTCTATTGTGGTGCTAAACTGGACATACGACTTTGCAGTTTGAATTTCTGTATTATTTTCAAGGCAGTCTTTTTGTTTTTAACTGCTTGGAGTATAAATGAGCGGCACGGATCAAGCAGCTTTGCTGTTAAAGAAGCAATTAAAAGGTTTTTTACGAATATGGTTTTATTAACGTTAAAAATTTTTGTTGGTACAATGGGCAACAAGAAAGTTGACCCTTGAGCTTTTTCTATTTAACCTAATTTTTCTACGTTTTTAGAATTGAACAGAAAAGGTACAGAAGGATTCTCAGCTGGCCTTATTGACGATGAAGATTTGTTCAAATGGGAAGTGACGATATTCGGACCTCCAGATACTTTCTAGTAAGAATAATTTTATTTTGATTTATTCTACCTGTCGAATTACATTTAAATATCAAAAGAGCTTCATTTTTACCCATAGCAAAATTCCCCTCGTATTTCTTTAAAATGCCAACTTCGTGCATTTTAAACTTATTAAAATCCTTCAATTAATATTCACATCATCACGATCCGTGTTTTAAACAGGTTTAACGTAATTCTAACATCGTCTAACATCGGTGTAATGATAATTTCAACAGTAAAACCACGTTTCCTTATGAAAACTATTTACGTCTTGCCTGAATAACCATCTTCTGGCACTTTAATATATTTTGATGTGTTTACAAAAGAAATATTAAAAACGAGTGAAAATTTGGGACAGCAAAATTTTGTTATATTTTCATTGTTTATCTTAAACAATGACAATTATCGTACTGGTTTTGATTTTAAAATTTTAGTCAAATATTCATCCAGGAAACTAATTATATATTTTATAAATATACTTATTATTCACTGTATAAACAAATTTGGTTTCGATTGGTTAGCCACCTATGAATATTTCCTGGTTGTTGGTGTTACCTGCATTGACCCACAGCTTTGGCTGATAATGCCAGCCTCTGCCTGGATAGTTTTGGGTATCATGCTCAACCTCATTTGATAATTTTTTATCGCTCTTTTAATATCACTCTGCTAAGCATTTGTGTTAAGTATTAAGAATAAATTTATAGTTTTTATAGTTATTTACTCTTGCTTGTTTCAGTGAAGGAGGTTTTTTCAGAGCAGAATTGCACTTTCCTAAGGAATATCCACAAAAACCACCAAAAATGAAATTTACTTCCGAAATTTGGCATCCAAATGGTACGTATGTTGTTTTTTGCTTGCATTTGATTCATCTTATCAAATATGGGCAGTCTAATAAAGGAAGTTTTGGCTTTTACAGTTCACAAGAATGGTGATGTTTGTATTTCCATCTTACATGAACCTGGAGAGGATAAATTTGGTTATGAAACTGCATCAGAGAGATGGTTACCTGTACATACAGTTGAATCAATATTGATGAGTGTCATATCGATGATCACTGATCCTAATGATGAATCTCCAGCAAATGTTGATGCAGCGGTAAGTACTTATAATTAATTTCTATACAAATGTATGATTGATTTATTGGGTTTGTTTGGCATGTGTCTTTGACAAATGATATTAGTTATTGGGTATAAGTTGTGATGTGGTTGTTGTTTTGACATAATTGACACTTCACAATTGTGGATATACTATGGGTTTTCAACAACTTATTGCAAAAAATTTTAATTTGTTTGTTAAGTGTCAAGAATTGATTTCAAATATTCAGAATTAAGCACTTAAATTGCATATTTAATGCAATTTAAATCTAATGACATAAATTCTAGCCTCCAACTTCATTGGTTGGCAAGCAGATTCAAAATTTTGAATATATACTATATGAGACTTTAAGCTCTTTACAAGACCTTACGTTTTGACTGTCCAAAACTTTGACATTGGGTTTAACTTCAGCTAGATGATGAAACAGCATCTTGCTTATTTAAAATAACTAAAACTATCCAGGCACCCTGTCAATTTATTTATTACATAAATATTTTATTTAATACTTTTTTAATTGTTTTTCATGCTAATGGTTACGTCAAATGCAGCAAATGGAAATTAGTTTCTTCTTTTTTTCACAAAACTTTCTTTTTGACGTTTTTCGTTCGCCAGTTTGACCATGAAGCCATGAAGATAACAATTGAGTAAAAGATAAAAATGTACTTAAAATTTCCAGTAATTGCGTTTTCAGTTTGAAGCATTACGAACTTGCTTCCTTTCTTCTTGACAGAAAGAATGGCGAGAGGACTATAATGGCGCTTTTAGGAAACGCGTTCAACGTTGCGTAAGACGGAGTCAAGAAAATTTATAATGTAGAAAAATAGGGATGTGATTGATAAGGTCTGAAGACGACGATGTACCTTGGGGCTGCAAAGGGAAATGCATTTAAATGTTTGTGAAATCTATGAGAAATCTAAAGATTATAATGTTCTCTTTTTATTTATACGTGAAATTACTTAATTCTTTATGAAAGGACAAAGAAGTGTTTTTATAATTTCCTCATTTAAACTTGCGTATATATACATCAATTGTAGCATTGAAATTTTGCTGAAATTTTGCTGTGTGTATGTTTAGAAATTTTGCTGTGTGTATGTTTATAGATGGTGGTATTTTGACATTGGGTTAAGATAAGTTTTCCCTCATAGTTGGTTAGTAACCTAGATCGTTTTGTATGAAATATGTTGTGAAGTATGTGCCAAACTGATGTCAAGCAACTATTTGTTTAAAACTTTGAACACTTGCTCTCTATTGCAATTTTATTCAAAGTCGAGCATTTTTGTGAAAGATACAAAGTCAGAGAGTATTTTTAAGTCTCAGGGTTGGATGCATACGGCATGAAAATTTAAGTAATTAGTAATTTGTCGACCACGTACTGGGAAACATTGGTTACATTTTTTATAACTTTTATTTGTAACACAAATTTTTTCATGAAGATTTAGAAACGGTCTTTTGGCTAGTTAAATATGCAACAACATATTATAAGACTTCTTGTAAACTTAAACATAGTCTGGAAGGAGGGTTAGAGCGGTACCTGTGTACAAACCTTTTGTTTGCTCAGATGATTTTGATATTACAAAATATACATTCTAGCTTTGTTTAAAATATTAAACATAGAATGTTTCATGTACACGGCCATTCATACGAACAAAATAATTCATGGTCATGTTGAACTCTAATTCTTTGAACGAAAGAGTTGCTCCGTTCCTTGAAAAATTAATTTATGTAAAAGTATTTGGAAAAATGTTTAATAATTATTAGAATAACGTTTTGAAAGAAGCTGTTCTGCTCATGGTTAATGGTTTTGTCGTTGTATACTTTGATTACTCGTAGTCCCCTTTTTATTTTTGCTCTGCCCGCTTTAGGTATTTAAGTACTTTTGAGATACCTGTACAATTGTATGAAAATGTTACTGTTTGTAATGAAACATAAAGTACAACATTATTTCTTCTTCCCTCATGTTAGCTTGTAACGGAAACAAGCTAAGACTTTATATAGTCACAAACAAAACATTTTTTGTTCGTATGAATGTATCGTACCTTCCAGCGGTGTGCTGCATCTTTCCCTCCCCATCACATACATACTGATAGTAAAATGACTAGTGAATGAATGTTTGACGTGTTTATATTGTAATGCATTTAGCACCAGTAAACTCTTGTACATTTGTTATGAATAAAATAGGTATTTTCTCTTGTGTTTTTTTGTCATATGTGGTTTTGTTTACTCTACTCAAAGAAAATCACGATTCCTACATTGTCTCACCAATTAATAAGTGATTCTAAGTGACAATCATCTTCCTTTGAAGGCCACAATCAGTTTTAACAATTCATTTAATTTTATTGACAATTTTTTTGAGCTACTTATGTCACAATAACTTTAATGTACAACTTGCAAAACTCTACAATGACTTCGAGACACCTGGAACGAAAACTTATGTTTTTGTGGATAAAGACGGCTATAATTTGTCGCATTAATCCTTGAACACAAAAACGCGAGCGAAAAAGTGTTTGTTGGTTTCTTTAGATAGTTTGCTTTTATCTTTTATAATTTAAAGAACAAGAAACCATTCGACAAAAATAAGCTATTTCTTCAATTCGTGACAAGCAATGGCAGCGATCACGTGACTTCAAATATGGCGTAGAAATCATCGTTTCAGATATTTTCGAGTAATACCTCTGATGGTATGATGTCATGATGTATAATATATAATCTTTCCTAACTATTTTTAACGTGTAATGATTTTAAATATTGCAGTATTTTTTAATAAACATAAACGTCTACCCATCCAAATTATTTTGCGTTTCTTTGAATATGTGTGATGAAGACCTTTTGTTTCCCATTTTCCTCGGTGGAGTCCAGGAATCTTCCGTGCTTTCTGATTCGCTATCAAATGGAAACTTAATTTTCTTGTGTTTTCGCTTCTTTGCAACAACCGGTTCTTCTGATGATAAAACTTTTTCTGGTGTTAAAGATACATTGTTTTCTTTCAGCATCACTGCAAGTCTTGTTGAACGCGATGAATTTTTTGTAGACCTTGTTGCATTTTGTGTCGACATACTTGTGGAAGCGTTGCCATTCTGTGTCAAATTTTTACCATTTCGCGTGGACATTCGTTGATTTCGTACGAATAATGATGCGTTTTCTTTTGATTGCGTTGATTTTCGTGTTGACAGCGATCGGTTTCGCGTTGTCTTTTCTCTGTTCTCCCTTGACCCGTTTCTCGTTATGGCACATCTTAATCCCCTTTGAGTGTCGTTTTCATGTTGAGATTTCCATTCACTTCTTATCTTTCCTTTCTTTTTTGATAATCTGCTTTCTTCGTCTACATCCATTTTATGTAACTCGTCATCACTAAAGATTTAAAAAGAACAATTAAAGTAAAATAAAGAAACATTGACTAAACAATTCATCACAACTTAGGAAATTGAAGTTTAGCAGACTGCCAGTGTGACAATCATGAAACACCCCCAGCTTTCATCGCGTTGTATAAATTTTAACTTCTCTCAACGATTACATGCATGAATGTTGTGTTTGTGTAAAGTCTTTGGATCGTTGCACTGTCTTACAATTTCTATTATTCTTTTTAAATAAATTTTGGCATTCACAAATTTATTTAATTTGCGCTTGTTCCAGTAGGAGCAATCGTAAAACAAGCTTAACCACAAACACTTGTTGCGAATTCTGCTGCATATTTTAAATGTATGAGACTTTAGTTATTTTTATCCAAAAAAGTACCTGATGTTTTCTATTTCAAACGTATCTTGTTGATTGTTAAAAGCTATACTTGGACCGTTCCTTGTTACACCATGAAATGTTGATGTGCATGTTGAGTTAGAACTAAGCCATTTGCCTTTCACACCGTTTGACGTATTTCTTAAGTTATAATTCTTTTTGTCTGCAGTATTTATTGTATTGAATGTGGCAGTTGTTTTTCTTCTCTGTTGTTTTTTGTCACGAGAATTGGTGGACGAGGTTCCTCTCAAACTTCTTTCACGATTATCAGATTCTTTTCTTTTATCTCCTGCGTTAAAATATTCTTGTGTAAATTAGATATTTTCATTGGTTAATCAGCAGTAGAACACGATGTATTGACGGACATAGTTTAGCAGGTTATTTATTAATAATCGAGAATTATTATTTTATCGTAAACGAAACACACCTTTTGATTCCTTCATAGTTTCTTGCTTATTTTCATATGGTTCACCATTAGAACGCGTATCCGTGAGAATAATATTCTTCCTAAAATGGCATCAGGTTAAATCATAGATACTGACTTGATACAAATAAGGCATACTATAAGATTTAGTTTTCATGTATTGTTTTTATTCACAAGTTGCTGCTGTAGAAAGTATTAATGTTAGAACATCTTTGTTAGCAAGATCAGATATCTGCTGATACTCTGAGTTTGACTATCAAGAATATTTTCTTACTCCAGCCTAGTATCTTCCTTGTGAATGATCTAATGTTAAAATTTGAGTCATTGTATACTCCAGTCTAGTCTCTTTAAAAGGAGTTGCAAATATTGAAACTGAAGTCCTTATGTTTTCCTGTCTTGTGTCTTTATCAGAAATCATCTGATGTAAAAACTACTTTCAAGAAATATCTTAATTTGGACTAGTGAAAATCAAAAATATGTATAAGTTAAACCTTGAAGAATTTCTTTGATGAAAATTGAGCAAACAATTGTAATCATGATCATCATAGCTTGATGAATGAGTTTGATGAAAATCCTCCTCAGATTCTGATATTTTGTTATCGTTCCTCTTGAAATAGCTCATGTGATAATCATTCAACTTCTCTTGATTTTTATTCTTCCACAAGCTACACATGTCAGCATCAGACTCTGCATCATCATCATGATCTGTATCATCAGATGTACTATCATCAGATGTACTATAAAATGTACTATCATCAGATGTATCATCGGATGTACCAACATAAGATACAATATCACCAGATGTACTATCATCATCATCGTCGTCATCATCGTCATCATATGTCTCCTCGGAGGATGCTGACTGTTGGGTTTGAATTTCCATTGGTATGTTAAATGTATCATCATACATGTTCTAGCATATTTCAAATTAAAAATAATAAATCTTCAAAACCCCATAAAATATTGATGCAAAAACAGACAAATTTTAAGCAGTACAGAACAACTTAAGAATATCTTACCTCATAAGTGAAATTTTCATTTACATCAGAAGATTCAAAGTCCTGCCACGCAAATTCATCATCATTTACAGAAACATTTTGCTCTACATCTTTCACTCGAACTTTCAATATTGGAGATTTTCCTGGATTCAAATGCGTCTGTAGATTATTAAGTTTCACTTCTTAGCTGAGAATTGAAGTTTGCTCAAGAGTCGTCAAATTTTTCAAAGAGCATGCTCACTCACTGACAACTGACAAGTGACAAACATTACCTTCGTAATACATCTGAATTTCTTTTTACATATAGGACATGTATTTGTGTTCTGAATAAAAATGTTATTATGTAAATTGCAAATAAATTTTTTGCTCGTTTAAACTAAAGAGAATAGAGAATTCAAATATAGTATCTCGTAAGGTCGTCTATCTCGGTAGTCCGATACTTACTTTGGACCATTCGTAAATACAATCAAAACAAAACCAATGTTGACATGAGCCGAGTTTTCCTCGACAAGAAATTTTATCCAAGCATATCACGCACATTTGTGATTCATCTTCTGTCTCTGGTGTAAATTTCGAACAATTTTTTGACTTTCTACAGTGTCTTAAAGACATCTTCGTACTACTTCTCGTGCCAGCCATATTTATTATTTTTTTAATTTAACTTTCCCTCGTAAATTATACCGCTGACAACAAATACTGCTGCCAACTATGCGCAATTTATGCAAAGTAAACGCGTAAGCAATCAAAATCGTGTTTCCACCGTCTTATTCATTGCATTGCGAAAAAGTGTGATAAATCAAACCAAAACAACCAAGTAAAATTTACGATAAAATAATTTAATCAAGAAAATAGGAACTTCAAGCGAAAGGGATGGATTGATCATCAGAGGAAAAACAACGGCAATGATGCTGTGCAAAAATACAACTGCTCAAAAGAGAGGAAGATCGTCGTTCAAAGTTTTCTGAGTTTGAAGAAAGAGCAAAAAGGATGGGAGTTTCTGATGTAGCGAAGGCCCAATCTGTTGACATGGAATCGGACAGTAGTTATTTATGCCGAGAATATACGAAAATATGTTCGTTTCGCATGTTGCTCATGGCGAAGATTTTAAAGATGTGAACAAAAGATTGGTGGACATGTCTGCCAACCAAGATCATTTTCTATTTAGAGATAATAGACATTTCATGTTCTCAAGCATTGAATTATTGCATTCCTTGTTATGTTGCTTCAGTTCCACAATCAACAAATCATTTTAACACGACACATCCATCGACATTCAACGTCATAAAACCTCAACTGTCAATGAACAAAATGACTGCTACTCAAGTTTCTACGCATTACATAACTAACACAAGTGCAACGACCATCGAAGTTACCAGAAGTGACGTTTCTCGTATATCGACAGATAACCTTGCAAACACTCAATCATCTACGGATAACGTTATCAACAATGTATCATTTATGGATAACGTCATCAATGTTCAACCATCTGCGAGTGACGTTACCCGAATTGAATTATGGGCAGATGTTAATAACACTCAGTCATTGGTTGGTAATGTCACCAACACTCTAGAATCGGAGGGTAACGTCACTGTTATTCAAGAAATGACAGTTAATGACGGGTGTGTGAGTGATGCAAGCCAAATCTCAATACGCAGCGATTATGAAACCCTTTTACCAACAAGTAATGTCTTTGTACCATCAGAAAACGACGTTGCAAACCTAGGACAATTATGTTCTAACGCTCCTGTGGTTTATGTAAAATAGTGCAACATGGCTGAAACCAAACTATCATCGATTAATAAGGATGCTGCAGATAAACTTACAACACATAACTTTTCAGGAACTTATGAACGTTCATGTAATATTTCTACAAATGAAGTAACTTTACCTGTGAGTTCGGCAGACATTGGCCGATATTCAATCCATCATGAGAGGTTTTCAGCGTTGTGTAAGGATGTCTTGATAGGAATAGATGAAGTTATTCCATTTGATCCTCATGAAAATCTTGTTCTCATGCGTGAAAATAGGGAAAATATTATTGATCGTATTACAGCACAGCCATGCAACTTAAAGCAGCCAGTTCGGCTTGCTTATGAAAAAATGACACACGTTAAATCAGTAGAAGAGAAAACGACAAAACCAATTGTACAAGTTTTGCCTGTAAAACCTGTTTATGTTGACGCATGTACGTTCACTGTAAATTCGACCATATCGACACTACTATGGTTGACGTTACCGTTCAATTTGGCGAAGATAGTCGAGTAGATGACGAAGAAGAGTGTTTACTTGTGAGAAGGGCCTGGGATACAGAACGTGTTATGAAAATGCAAGTTCTTCTAGACGAACAAAATATTTTAATTGGTCAACTGGAAAGTGATCTACGTAAACAGAGGGGTGAATTAAATTCATCAATGAAGTGTCGTTTGGAATTAGAAGCCATCTTGAAAGATATTGAAATGCAGGAAAAGGCACAACTTACTGCTCAGGTTGATGATTTGACAAAGATAAAGGACGAACTAATTGAAGAGATAACCAATCTGTCTGTTGAACTTGAAAAACAACGCACTAATGTGGAAAGCTTAAGCACAGAGCTTGCTGGACTTAAGGCACAATTGATGACCATGCGTAGAAAAGGTCTTAATCAACAGGATCGCTTTTAACCAATCGTCAACGAGGCTTGAACGAGCAATGTAATTTGAAGTACAATCCAATAAAATTAATTTTTGAGTTTTTCGATTAATTTGACTGTTCCATCTCAATAAAATGCTTGTTTGTCAATTTACTTGTTTGTTGCCTAAACAGAAAATTTATAATTTCGTAAAAGCATTATTGCCAATACACATTTAATATAAACGACAACTTTTTTGAAAACAGACATGTTTCGACATCTCATGATGCCATCTTCAGAAAATTTATCTTATTAATTGTTGTGAAAGCTTACTTGTAGACTTTATCATTTAAGACGAACTTGCTCTTGAGACTTTCATTATATCCCTTCTCTCATTGCAAATTAATGGTTCGTGAATCATTATGGATTTGGTAACTTAAAGCATATTTTGTAAATATATTTGTTTCTTTTCCCCTTGATTTATTCTGATGAAATTTGTGTTCATCATTCATGCTGAGTATCTAATTGTAGATTTTTTGGTTCCGATGAAATTCAAAGTCATCAGTTTTTGAAACATTGTATGGTTTATTAATATTTATTAGTTTTGGATATCTTTGGAAAACCAATTTGACCAAAATTATTAAACTGTGGCTTCAGAAAATATTAATCTGGATGTGGTCATGCAAAATTAAAACGCGGTTTTTGAGTTACTTGCGAAAATTGTCTACAATTAGCAGCCAATTGGAGAGCGTTTTCTGTCGAAATAGACATCAAAATGCGTTGTTATTGGATGCATTGCGACATCTCAGCTTTCCAATTGGTTAAAACAAAATTCCGTAGAATTTATTTTCTGGGCCTGCGAGACATCCAGCTGACCAACTAAAAGTCAGTTGAGTCAGCGTAAATGTTCAGATTATTTTCGACCGTCTGAAATGAGCACGTTGGAGGCGTCCGCTATGTTACCATCAATCGCGTCTCCTCATAAAAAGGCAAAAATGGAAGGCCAACAGATAGTGGATTTCTCTGAATCGAAGTTTGTGAAATACTACAAGGCTGGCTCAAAACAGACAGGAAATTTCGCAGACGTCGAAGCAGGCGCTGTTAGCTTATCGCAAAGCCCCCCAGTTGAGACGCAAATCATAACAGCAGTGGATGGTTCAAATGCTAAGCAGTGTTTTGTTGAAAAACATCCTCGTATTGAAGTTTCTTTAAACTTCTCGAATGTTGTTGACAGCAATCCTCGATTTACGACAAAATTTGACGCCGAAAATAAAGAGAATTTCATGACAGAAATTCTAGGTAAGTTCTTGTTGATCAAATGAGTATGCACACATTTGAGGTTTTTTCTCCGCATCACGCAGTACAAGCGTATTATAAATATTTAACGTCCTTCTTGTGTATTTTGCCATAAAAGCGATCGTATTTGTATGATGAATTCAAGTTGGAATCCTTGTGTTGTTTAAATGTCTTGAATTTCAAAGGAATGTCATATCTCAAAGGTCGTCTAGCGTGTATGTCTGCGCTTATTGTCAAAATATTGTAACACAGAGATAATTTTTCCAACAAAACACGAGGATTTGTTTCTGTTTATAATGTAAATGAGTTTCACTCAGACACATCAATTAATCAGTATTACTGATTTTTTCTGCGTCGTACAAGCTCCGAATTATGCATGAGTTGTCCCAAAAAGGACGCTACAATTTTTGGACCTTTTTAATCATTGGTTGTTTATTAGCGCTTTTATGCACTCTAAAGAAAAACAAGTCATGCATGCTAAAATAGTTCAATCTTTTTTATCGCCTGGCCAGACCAGAGAAATTGTTTCATGCTCGTAAATGTAGGTCATTAAATATCTCAATTAGTTTGAACTTAATTCGATATTTCCTTGCTTGTCAGTGCTTTCTTTGTGCTGTGTAACATCTACATTTTGTCTCTTCTTTCCGTAACTTGGATAAGTTTTTTGTAACAAGTTTTATCAAAATACTTAGCGTTCCCATCCTAAGCAACTTAGTTTTGTTTCTTTGTTTTGAAAATGATACCGACTGTGATCATTGTACTACAAAGTTTGATAGAAGATACCCCCTCCCCCGTCATTCAATTTGTAACGTTTTATTTCTTTAAAAATTTAGTAAGGCTTTGGAGCAATAAGTCATCTCGTTTTGCAAAATTTTTGCTGGAAATGATTTCATAGTGCTATTCCGATATTTGTTGTGATTTCATCGTAATTATCACTGGCAGATGTGCATAAGATAACGGGGTTAAGTCAGGCCAAATACCGCTTGACCCCAGAATACAATATTTAATGCATTTTGCGAAAAATCATGCCAAATTAAAGAGCTTCGAACATATTTATTTCTTATAAGCCACAGATAGTTTGAGTTCGCTGTACAATTTTATGTCGCTTCCTTCCCGTCCAAACACTTTGCGAAGTGGACAAATGCAATTTTCTTTCGTCAGAATCTTTATATTTGTTATCGGCATTCCCGAATCAATGCGTTACTATTGTCTATGCATACAGTTCAATTTATGATATTGTTCTTGTATTTTTTCTGTGCTTATTTTGTTGCGGTCTTTGTTGCACAAAATGAAGGACTTACTTAATATTGTATGTACGCTGTGTAGACTGTAGTTTTTCGGGTCTCTGTCTGTGCTTGTTTTGGTTTGAAAATTAAGTGTTGTCCAACAATTTTTTTTTCTCTAAGAAACGAGGCCACAGAAAACGAAATATTTATTGACATTAGACATTTCGCGTGGAAATTTTTTACTTCAGTTCATTGCGCAATCGTGAAAGTGATGGTTTTTCTGACAGATTTTTTGAGAAATGGTTAATTTAAGCCAAAAGCTGAAACTACACAGTAATCCATTAATTATCGGGCTTTAGTGAATTGCCGAAGACAGTTCTGCAAAGTCGTCAAAAAATTTTTTGTAATGTGGATGGATAAATAGCCTATTTATTTCAAATTTGTCGTTAGCAAATTTTGCCACAAGAAAAACCATTCCATTTATCACGAATTTATATATTTTTGTTTAAACCTTTTCGCAGCGTCTTAACTTCAATGTGTCTACTTCTACAATTGTACAAGTTGCTAAGAGCAGATGTTTTGATCTGGAGTGTAAACACTTCAGTTTTAAAGATATATTTCTTCGGATATTTTTGCATAGAAACTGCGATTTTGCTTGTCTCGATTTTGCAAGATTTGCTTATTCATAACAATATATATCGAAAGAACAAAAGTTTAAAGTACTGCAAATTTGTCACAAACGAAACTAAGATAGAATCTTCTACATTCGGAACCATTAATTTTAGAATAAGATTCTTTGATTCTGATGGTTTGTATGAGCGAACTTTTTCGTGTTAAATTTTATGTAATGACTACATAATTCAAGGATGGATGTCGATAAATGCATGTTTTTGAAAACCTCTGAACAACCGTACAATATTTTCATTAATGGATGCATGATTGGTTTAGTGTGATGAACCGAGTCATTTTTGCCCTGTATGTATGTTTGATGGGATTAATTACTTGTAAATTGTGGTTTCTAAATATGGGATTGTTGATAACGAATGATGTCCACTCACAGAATACAAAATGCAAATATGGTGTTTACAACTGCTGTAAATTATTGATTATTTCAGCCGTTCATAAGATTGGAAAACATGAAAATCAACATTGACTTTTTTCTGGCTTTTTTAATTATCTTTTAGAATACACAGGCTATGTAACTAAAAGCGAGTGAAAACAGTTTTTGACATCTCAGAATATGCCAAAGGCGTGACCGGGAGGGAGGTTTACTTGTGGGTTGGGGGGGGGGATCATTCGCCATAACATGTCGACTGGTCAAGAAGTTTTTCAATTACTGAGCGAAACGGTTGTTGAATATAAGAAACGGATGAACATAGTTATAGTTTATGCATTAAAACGAACGTTAAACTATTCAATAAATACGTTAAGTGCAAACTCCGAAGCCGCAGGCTACGTTCCCTCCTGAAACCGACATACCTCAAATATAAAAAAGCTCGCTAACATTGTATTATGACTTTTCGGCAGTTCTTTTCTGTTCCCGGTGTTCTGCTAAGGTGTGCATATTCGTTCTAACTTCATTCGTATATTTAAACAATTGTAACTGTAGTGAAATAGAAAATGGTCCATTGTTTATAGCCGTGACGCGAGCACTTGAAAAATGATCATCTTTGATTTGTCTCTGTGAAAGAGGATAAAACCCGGAAATTACTGGAATATTTATCGTCTTATATTCTATTCTAAGCTATAATGTCATCAACAACGGTACGATATTTCCAAAATGGGAAAGAATCGGCCTTAGTGAAGCCGTGTCTTAAATTATTGAAACAATTATGTTTAACAATCACTAAGGAGATTAATTATGCACTGAATTTTCTTGTTATTTAATTAATTTTTGTTAATTATTTGGAGAAAACTTGTCAATTTGTCCTGTGACATACGTTAATTTGCAATGAAAATATTCCAATTAATCATTGATTTGGTTAAATGTGGCAAATAAATTGTACGCCTCCGTATGTCTTTACAAAAAATAACGATGAATTGGCTGCAAGTGCATGAGCTATTCAAAATTATGACTTGAATCATTCTGCTTTCTACTTTGATTGCTCTAGCTGCTTTTGTGAGGTATTGATCCACAGGATCTGCTTGTAATTATGTCACAGCTAGAATGGTCTAGAAGAAATCAATGTACTTGATCGCTACAGTATGTGAAGATGGTAGATGTCGAAAACCAATTTTACATCTCAGTAAACTTGTCACTATTTGGGGCTCTTTTTGATGGAAAATTTTTATTGTGTGTAAATAAATACGGCCGAGGTGAGGGGGTCAATATTAACTAGACCTGAAACGGTTTGTTTGCCTGACCTTCAAATATAGTGCTGGTTATATAGTCGGGGACGATAAAAAGGATACGTGCTTTTGTTATCCATACATTTGCTTGATATTTTGCAGTTGTTTTGATCGGACGTAAAACAAATGCTATTTTATTTTAAAATTGTAATTGAATGAAATGAATTCGCGTAGCAGAGGTAAGCGCTGTGTGTTTAATCCAAAGGAACATATAAAACAATACCGTTTTAATTAAGCTAGTTGGAATTCAAAGATCATAAAGAATGTTCCTTGTTTTCCGTTCAAAATGCGTTTTTCTTGGTTTTTTTATCATCTTTAACGAAACTAATTAGGGTGTGGACTGTGCTTTTTGTAATTTTCAATATATTTCTCTTTGGAAGACCATTCTTATATCTGAGCATTTTAAAACTATGCGTTTAGGACCTGTTCGTGTTGATGTGTTTGTTTAATAAAAAATAGATTTTTTCATGTGGGTCTATTGTTGACTTTGTATGAAAATGAAAGGCCCATGCTGTCCGTGTGAGAAACACATCTGTGTCCGATGCGTATTCTTATGAAGACCAATAACATACAATGTTGTATGGACAAAGATATCTCTGTATACATTACAGTTTGCTAAAAAATTCTCGTTCTTAAATCTGTTTGCATCAATATGAAACATGAAATGGATAGTCATGGTTATTTTGTTTTGTTTGAATTCAAATCACAAACATATTTTCATTTAAAAGATCATTGCTGCTCTACAAAGATATGTTTCTCCAAGAATATATTTAAAAGTAAATGATTGTTGTTGGCGTTCTTATAACCAAATTCCATTGAATTATTTTTGAGATATCTTGAATTTACCCTTTTAGAGTCTGGTAACATCCCAAATCCTTTGCACGATACACCGCCATCCAGAGTAATCCATTGTCGCGCGGTGGCCGATGGGACGAAGGAAACAGATCTAATTAGTGTTCTTCAACCGTTTGGGAAAATAACGTTAGTGGATTTTTCTGTTTTCGTCTGGTTAAATTTGTCTCCTGTTTAAATGGAATTTTACCTTGTTAACTTTCTAAGATTCAAATGTTTTATGTCAAATAACATTTACACAATAACACGAGTTCATTAACACATGGATGGTTAGAGATTTTAGCACAAGAAAGATGACCAAGGTTTTTGTGTACAAAATAAAATCATTTGCATTCTAAACTTGAGTCCCTGACCACGAACCATCACATAGTTTGAATTTTATAGTCTAATCTTTTCTATATTAGATGTTAATGGTGTTATTTTTATATGTTAGTGTACAAATTGCAAGCGAGATGTATTTAAAAACTCATTTCAACTCAGAAAGAGGATTGTTTTATTCATTCAGATACGTAGCTCTACTTCCAAAGATACGCCAGGCACTTGTAGAGTTTGAAGATATTGATAATGCTGTGTCGCTCGTATGTTTTGCACAGGTAGGCATCTATGGTCAAGTTTTTCTGCTGAACAATAATCAACATGACTAAGGAGGCTGCGGCCATTTTAGTGATAAAAAATTATTTAAATTCTTTTCAATATCGAACGCTCTATATTCTTCAAACAGCAAAAGTCTCTTTGATCTTTTTAGGGCAATCCTATTATTCTACTTGGTCGTCAAATGTACGTAAACTTTTCGAAAAGTCAAGAAATTAAACGGTTTGTCATTTGTAATATGTGTCAGTTCGATAGTTTCGTGTATTATTAACTCAATGTTAAGAAGCCTGAACTCAGCAGTTGTGCAGTAATTTATGTTTTAGTTGTTAATTTCAGGGACAAGATTCCTAATGGTCATTATCCTGTGTCTGTTTCTCCTCAAAGTCCCGGAGATCAGGAAATGTGCGGCCATATTCTACTATTGACAATCATGAATGCATTGTACTCCATTGATGTAGTGAGTAACGTTTTTTTGCAAGTAAAACTTTCCCCGGTTAAATAGGATGTTTAAAATCACGTAAACTCGACTTTAAATCGTTTTATTCGAGAAGCATCGAAGAAAAACATGTTTTGGAATTTTAGAACATGAATAGTTAGAAATAAGTACGAAAAGAGAGAACTTTATGTTTCTCTACGTAATGGAAGTCGTAATGAATTAATAGATAATCGATATGTGGGTTTGTTAAGATTTCTTTTACTTTTAGAATGTCATATCTCAAGTGTGTAATCCATATGGTAATGTCTTGAAAATTGTCATATTTCACAAAAATGGTTTACAGTGTCTAGTCGAATATCCTTTGAAAATAGTAAATTCATGTTTCTATTGTAGTTTAATTGTCGATTAACATAGTGACGTAACAACCACGTGACTTACAATAAAACGAAATACAAATATAATGTATTTCATGCAACATTAAATTTTAGATTTGTTTTTACACATCAGCAAAAACCACTCTAATTATTTTTCTCGAATTTGTAATAACAGCTCTAAGATGATTGAGTTGTTGATACAGGACTAAAATTTCCTGTGTGTTTATATCCAACTGCTTTGTTTTGAAATCTTCAAAATTACGGAAATTTTTAAGAAAGCCGACTTTAAATGGATTCGATTTGCCGACATTTTTTTACAGCCTTGGGTTAAAGTAACTATAGTCGAGTAACAAAACTCTTGACTGAGCAGTCATTGTTGACATGTTGACATCAAATTAAGGATAGATTATGTTATTTATTTACCTCAATAAATATATTTCAATATCATTTTGTTCATGTTTGATTTCGACGTATTCTTTAACGCAAACTAAATTTGACAGTATTCAGTCTGCTGAACAGGCTAGGATGTATCTTAATGGTAAAGATATTTATCCTGGTTGTTGCACATTAAAAGTCGAGTATTCAAGGGTACGTTTTATTGTTTACCTTATTAACATTTACTTTCATGTAACTTGTCATGGCTGATTTACAGGCAAAAAAATTAAATGTGTATAAAAATGATGACGAGACTTGGGACTTTACAGTACAAGACAAGAGCGAACAATGTGTCAATGGTATGAATTTATTAAATAAAATATGTTTGGCTTATTTGCATGGTATGTCGTTTGGTGGATGCAACAGCATTCAACTTTGCTGTATACTTCAGTCGCGATAGTGTGGGAAATTATATTTCAATAGAATGAACGGGTTTTCTAATTTGAGAGAATCTTCAGTTTTTAATTTGCGGGAAATTTTCATGACCCTTACCTTTATGCAAACTTTTTTGTTGCACAAAACTTCAAAATCCACATCTTGCTGTTGATGTTTGTTGCACGTTTTATTCTAATATATGAAAATATGTAAAATTTATATCAACTATATAAAAAAACAATAAATTTTTTACATTATTATTGCGAGAATATTCGAAAAATTGCGTCAAAAGAGTTGACTGTCAAGATAAAAATATTCTTTTGTCCAGCTCACGATAAAGAAACACCGAAATTCATACCAGTTCCTTTTTTCTTCTAGACGAATGTTGTAGTACAAATATTATAAGTCAGTTAAGTCCAACAGGTAGAAATTTATATTATGTATTTTGTGTATTTGAGGGTCAGTTGCTCTTCTATTAAAAAATATCTCCATTGTAGAGATGTTTAAATGAGTAGTAAAACTGTTGTATCAACGTACACGTCCTCAATATTGATTTTTCAACTGAGGTTATCAAATGACATTCTGTTCTATATCCATCATCAATGAGGTGGTGAATTCTAGAATTCACTGTGTAATACATTTAACAAAGCTTTCAGTGCAAACTTGTGAGAGATGCATTGGTCTGGAAGAAGCATGTTCATCAGATTTTTTTGAAAATCGAGACTCGTAAAATTCAACTGTTTTTACAAAATAGCACCATCTTCTGGTTAATTCTTGGATTATCAGCAAAACCGTAGCGATAATACAACCTTTTTACTCTATTTAGGAATGTCTGGCAGCCAGTTACCAATCACTAATGAAACCTTGGCAAATATATCAGCATTTCCCACCGTTCATAGTAAGAATATATAGCGACTAATATTTGGCTTGAATGTCAGGAACAGTTACTTGCTGTTCTGTGGGGGTTCTGGTTCAAATCGTGAGAAAATTAGTTGCAATGTCTGTGATTTAATGATGAAATATCATGTTTGAATAGATCTTCTACTAATCATCAGTATCCAAGTGAAAAAAGTGCTTATATAGTTTTTACCAAAGATGAATGTGAAGATATTTTGCAATTCCTGTGCTGAGCATTTTATTAGAAAAATTGTTTTAATTTTCACAGATGGATTTATCTGTTTTGAGTTCATAAAGTTTTTTGTAGAGTTTGTTTTTTACTTCAAAAATCTTTATGTTTACCAAAAGAACTGCAGCTTATGTCTAAATAACGTTTTATATGTTTATATCAGGTATACTGTCCAAGCTGAGTGTTTTACCAGGTAAGAGTCTATAAAATACTACTGACATAAAGTTGGTTTGTTGGAGTTTGACTCTACCATTACAAAAACAATTTATGTCAAAGAAGCTTTTTTTATAAAAGCGTTAACGTCAACCTTGTCGTCTTTTATATACATTGAAGTTATTTCGTAAAATCCGTGCAAATTCATTTTCTATTTTTGTATCTAAAGCAGGTGGCACCAGTGAAACATCTGCTTGTGATGCTATGTCTTCCTCCATTACCTCGAGTTCAGATGGCTCAGAGATTATGGGTTTGTATCCCAGTGTCCCCAACAGTCCCGGTGGACTCTCGCCATTACCTTTAACCAGCCAAAATGTTATCGGTGTTGGGCAACATTTACTCAACCCAGGTGAAGTTTTGTATTGTGACGTAAATAATGACGTCAAAAACTAAAATGTCCGTTGCATTCTGCGACTTTGTTAGACGGTGGTGTTGGATGTGTTCTTATGGTGTACGGATTAAATCCAGAAAAACTAAACTGTGACCGTCTTTTTAACTTGTTTTGTCTTTATGGCAATGTTATTAAGGTACATTAGACTGTAATCTGGTGATTTCTTGAAACGTTGGCTGCCAACAATTGAAACCTGAAAAGAAATTTTGTGAAATTTTAGATAAAATTTTTAACGAACAAACCAGGCGTTGCTATGATTCAGATGTCAGATAAAATGGCGTCCGAAATGATTATAAAGAATTTAAATGGTCTGGAACTATTTGAATGCAAGCTTGTTATAGCGTAAGCAGATTACCAAATAAACGTGTTTTTTTTGTGCATTATAACGCCAATTTTAAGACTTGTGAGAAAGAATTCACGTTGCGTACTTACTGTCAAAAATATTTTTGCCCTTCATTTTCATTTCATATATCTTTGTAACCATTGTTTGTTTTTTGCGCCCATAATGCTTTCATTTTTATTTTAGTTTTTCCAAGCACCCTTACATAGCGGGCTCATCAACCGTGAATACGTTGAATGATGGCACACCAGCCACTGTAACATATACAGAGAATAGAAACAACAGATTTAAATAGTAAGCTCATTAAAGCTTTTCAATGTTTCTAGACATTCAAAACTTTCACGAGAGCCTGCGTTCGTGTGGCATTCTTCTCAAAATTAGAATGGCTTCTAATGTTAATTACCAGGGCTTTTCCACCGAGAGGCAATTGTACAAACTTTAATGTCGTATATGTAATTTACGATGCTATGTATCATTGCTTAAATATTCCAGATATTAGAAAAGACAGTCTTTACGATACAATTTTTAATTTTTACTGAACATTTAATTAATGTATTTTAGCATACCTGAAGGGCAAAGCCTGAAAAATAGTATCCTTTGTATTGCTATCTTTTTATCATTGCTATCGATTTTAAATAGCATTACGAATCTTAGAAAATATTCTTGACTTTGTGATTTCCATGACATTACACTACAGGATATCAACCTCCTACTCGCATGCTCCATTTCTTCAACGCACCACGCAATTGTACACTAGATCAACTTAAAGACGTAAGTTGAGCTTGAATTGAAATGCATTTCATGAAAATAGTAGTTTTAGACTTCTCTTAATCGTGAAAATTTTAGTTGACAAAGTTTGCTAAATCGATTAACTTACACTGTTAACTGCCAAACATTCTTCAAAATAAAGAGATTTGATGGCTTATGTAAGCTTGAAAAGTAAAACCGTTTTTGATAACATTAATGTGAAAGATACCAATGTTGTGTTTACAATGCAAAAGTCTTTGTTATTTATCATTATTCGTTCATTAAGATGGGAATTTTTATTTTTTGACAGGTATTTATTACATCTGGAGCTGATTCACCCATCCGTGGAACTTTCTTTTCAAAAGGTAAATAATTTAGTGGTTTTTTAATTACATCAAATAAAAATAGTACATTTATTGAAAATCGTAAAAGAACGAGCAATGATCGTTTCCTGCATGCATCCTTTGGCAACATACTATTTTTTCATCTATGTTTAGGAAGTGCTAAATCCTCCAGTGGTTTACTCGAAATGCCTCGGGTTCAATCCGCTGCTGAAGCGGTCGTGCTTGTGAATCACGTGACTATTAATCCGGAAGGTAAAAGGTTGAATTTTATTGTTTTTTGAATTTTTTTTGAAAAGAAATGCATTGACATATTAACATAGACTGAGAGCGATTAGAATTACAATTCAACTCTCACCTACAGGTTGGCTTCACTTTGGCTTGGTTTAGCTTCAGAAATATGTGTTTTTCTTCACTAAGTTTGTTTAACATAACTTCACGCTATTTTACCATGCAAATAACCAGTTTAATTTCACCAGTTTAGCTTTCAACCTCAATTTCTCTTTTTACTTGGAGATGTTTTTCGTAATTGTGAACTTTTACATGGTAACACTGAATCGTAGCTGTATTTCTATTGTGTGTAATATCAATGTTAAGGAGTATTGTTTAAATTCAACCATCTCAAAGCAGATGTCAGTTTAATGTTTGAAGATACAGATTTTATCGGTATATTCAGGTGGTGGATCATACACGTTGAAATTGGCATTTTCACCAAGCTCCACAATCACACCTTCTGCACCTACTGTCGCACCTGCAGTCGCTGCTGCTGCTGGAATTGCATTTGGAAATCGCTCTCCGCGAAGGGAAACTTTTCCGAGTCATGAAAATCTCGTATCGCGACTTGGTCCCATCGGAAGTAGACCTCCAGGGAATCCGTCTTTACTGTTGGTTTCGTAAGCTGGAAGTATATGCTGGTAATTTATTTTATTGTTCATGTTTAACTGACCCTTTTCATCGAATCCATAAATCAAGGCCCACCTTTTCAAGAAAGAATAATTTAGTAAAATGCTTTATGTATTTCTAAGTACAAGCAGGAAATATCCAACATATATAGTTTGCAATCAGAGCTAAAGTTTTTTATTGTTTGTAAAAAAACACGTGTGTCATGTAAATTCTCTCTGTCCTTTAGTGACAAGGTGGCCAAGTCACTTGCTCGAGGTATAACTCTATTTCCATCACAATTTTACATTCGTAAATATAATAGATGACATAACAACAAAGTATATAATGTCTTGAATAAGTACAAATGTATTAATTTTTATATAAAGTGAATAAGTTTCGAAACGATTTAACATATCCATAACTACACCTCAAATGAGCTTTTTTGTCAACAAGCCTTTTAAAATCCTCTTTTTGACCTAAACCTACGGTTCTGCTGCATTTAGGAGGGGGAAGACAATTATAGCGGGAGCTTTAATATTGTACTTAAACTTGTTAAAACACTAACGTTCACAATAATTCTAATATCGAATCAGTCTTTTGATTTGCTTATGCTGTGTTTTTTTTTAATTTTCCATTATTAATCTAAAATATGCTTTGTATCATTCATATTTCTCCAAGGTTTTTGACACAAAGCTCATATTGAGACAAAAAGTATTTAACATCTAAATATATTTATGTGTTTTTCTCCTTCACGCAAGCTTATTTCGCTTAGAAGACATTTAGTCTAATTGATGTTAGTTTCTTGAATTTTTGTGCTGTGGAGAAAGTAATGCCAGGTGTCAACAAGTTGTTATTAGTTGGGCTGCTTTTTGTTCATCCACTGCTTAGTAATACAATTGCAACTACAAAAAATCATTTACGAAAGGGAGTGCTTGAGATAAGCAATAAATGTTTTTTACTTTCTACTTGTATTTAATGTTAAATGGTTTCCACTGCATGTATCTTCTGTTTAGTCTATTTAACTTACTATACAGCCCGCAAAATGAGCTTGTTGGCACATGGCTGTTTTAAATTATCGTTCTTAACTAGCCTTTCATGTTGTTGGCCGCTGCCATATACTTTGCTCAAAATCGAATGATAATATTGATGTCATTGCCCCAGATACGTACAAATCTTGTTCGTGCCAGTTCTTTCACTTACTAGGTTTATAAACTAGTATGGTACGATTATGGAGGGTATTTTGGACCTCGTTAAATATACAATAATTAATAATGTACCATTGTTTTTATTTAGCTTTTTAAGATGATATATATTTGTGTTACTTTGTCGTAATGCTTAAACGTTGTATTGTAGAAAAAATATCATCAAAATTGTACTTATATGTTAACACATAGTGCACTCGCAATGTTTACATACAGATTTATCAATATATTAATAGCATTGTAAACGACACTTTTAATTTGAAAAATTAAAGTGAAATTCACATACGTCCACTGCTTTACAAATGTTGTCTATGGCCCTGGTTTTAATTCCCTCCCTCATTTGAAAGTTGATTGGGGTCGAGGTGAGGGCCCTGGAGGTGAGATCTCATTATATAATATTCTGCTTTGTTAATTTAGGTTGTTGTAAAATGAAGTTCTACTCTGTTTAAAATATGAATAAAGAAATGCCGTACTCCAGTTACTGCTTACCATTCCATCTAGTGGTGTTAATTGACTTTCTTGCTCTTTCTTCGCCACATACCGCCATGTTTTAGATTACTTCCATAGATTATTTTAATTGTCCATCGCCGACGGCCGACCTTTATATTATTTTGACTACAATGGCCTGTCCACAGCTTCCAAAGCGTGATTGTAAATTTAGTGTGACCAGGGAGAAAATAAATTCAAAATCTTTGAGAATATTTCGTCATATATCGCGGACTGTCAGTGGCGAGTCTTTGGAACCTGCACTCAGTGACATTATATTATTTGGCAGGACGTTATCTTTTACTAAAAACAGCAATGGTGCGTTTTGCTTTGTCATTTCTTTTATTCGTACGGTTGTAAACATTTTATGTCACTTTTACAACTTTTTGCATTTATTACAGATGTTGTGGGTGTCTGTTGTGGTCGTCCACAGAAGATGTACTTTGCAGATGATGTGAATGATGAAGAGCTATTTCATTGGATTAATTTTCTATTTGTTCTTAAAGAATATCAGGTATTTTTAGAGCCAGCCATTGTTTCATCAATATAAGTGTATTCAGTCCCAACTGCTAAAACAATAGCTGTAAATGTCAGAATCTCTGCTGAAAACTATTGAAAGTTATACCACTTACTAGTAAAAGGAACTTTTGCAAGCATATCAGAATCTTGGCTGATGATTTTCACCTTTTTTTGCCATGTATCATTCTTAAAACTTTTTGAAATGAACATACTTTTATCCATATGAAAGAGTATGGATAAATCATCAGTAAGAACACTTCAAAATCTTTATACTGCTGGTGTTATAATAAGACAAGGACTTATCACATTTCTTTTTTAATCAGGGCAATAATCTGGGAAAGCTAATGTTAGAGGAAATGGAGAATGCTCTTTGGTTTGGATCACCTGCAAACATAAGGGTCAAGAGTGCAACCAAGGCTGTTGGTTTCTTTCAAAAAATAGGTTATAGCAAAGTGGGTCCACCTATTGACTGTTGGCATTCAGGGAGTGCTTTGTTTAAAACTTTGCATGTAATGGAGAAAGAGTTTGTACAATCTGAATAGGAAAGCATTATGTCATCTCACAAATGCTGTCAGCTGCTAAGTGCGGGTTTTTGTCATTGTCTACTTAGTTTCAATTTTGAGAACTGTGATACTTTTTTATAATTCAGGCATACTTTTTCATACATGTCTGTATAAAAATCTATTGTGTTTGACATTGATTGACTTGATTGCCAGTGTAGTCTGTACAACAAGACGTGCCAGCAAGAATATATCGTGGAAGGGCAAAACACAACATATATGTTTAACATTTTTGCGTGGGAAGTATTGGGTGGGGGTGACTTCAACCTTTAATGGATGGGTTCTGTCACAGGCAAAAGACGACAGTCACGACATAACATGATTGAGATAGAGGATAGAAAAATTGGGCCTTACATAACGACATGACTATTGATCACCTTTCGAATATGAACACCAGCTACAGCTAGTGTTGGTTTGCTTTCTGTGAACGTTCTTTCAGTTCGGGGGCATCAATGCGTAATTTCCGCGCACTTGCTGCTTGAGAACATCCGGTGGGTGGCCGACTAGGACTAGGACTAGTCGTTTATGGCAATATGGCTGCCGAAATGAACTTTTGTAGATAGTCTTTCATTTCTTTCTACAGTCGGACATGGGAAGGAAGGATAGATTAATCAGTGATGACGAGTTAAAAGGTATTAGAATATGTTATGTTTTCTGTTTAATTTGGATTGAAATTAAAATGGTTTTATGTTATTGTGTTGGGATGGCTTAATAATTCTATTTACGCTTTTGATACAAGTTATGGAGTCGACAGATGGGTCAAGTTCACCCAAGAAAAAACACAAACACAAGCACAAGAAGCACAAGCGAAAACGAGAGACCACAGAGAGTGAGCAGAGCATTGCTGACTCCCCTAAAAGAAAGAAACATAAGAAAAGAGAAAAAGAAAAGGAGGATGCTCAGGAAGGGAGATCGTTAAAATTAAAGATTAAACTAGGTGGACAGACATTAACCACCAAACAGTGAGTTTGAATTTAGTTGAATGCTTTGTTTGATTAGGACATAATTTGACCTACAAACAATTTAACCATACGGTGGCAAATACTGTACAATGTCATGTTGATAATTGATATTGTGTATGGTATACGAAATGTCGAATTTCTTGTTTTTCAAATTTTGAATTCAGTGCATTTCTGGCACAGCCAAAGATCAATAAAATGAGCATTTAATATTATAATGGTTATCATTTTAGGGTTCCATCAGTAAGTCCAGTGGTAACACCTACAGGTGAAAAAGAAAGTTATGAAGGACATGGTTTGACAGCAACATGGGTAAATGAACCATGGAAAGAAGATTTGGCTGGTATTCAAGATCAAGAGAAATCTAATGTTGAAGAGTAAAATGAGATTACATTTGATTTTATTATCCATTTAATATTTTTTATTAACATTTAAGTGCAAGCCTTTGGTTTTTACCAAAGTTTGATTTTTGTACCCCCAAGATATGTGAGGGTACAGGCATATGATGTAAAAGAAAAATATTTATTGTTTGGTGAGCTTGGATTAAAACATTGTAGCAAACCATGTCATTAAATTTTTTCATCTTTAGACAAGAAGAAGAAGACAAATGGCTTGATGCACTTGAAGCTGGTGAACTGGATGATTTTGGTTGTTTAAAACAAGAGAAAGATACAAGCACGATGACTGCAAGACAGGTTGGTGATTTAAATCACTTAGTCATTTTAGGGATGAACCAATTGATTGACATTGAGAATTAACTGATATTTGGCAATCGGCTGATTATTTATATAGAATCGGCTTGTTTTTAGAAATCTAAAATCTGCATATTTGAATGTGCCCATGCTTCAATCTTGATATATACTAATTATTGCATTACTACTCTGTGGTATCTGTAAGAATTTTCTTTTTATTTTCCTTCCTTATTTCTCATATATTGAAATTAAAAACTACAGTGAAAAACAGTTTACTTTCCAAAACTTTTTCATTAACTTAGAAGGTCAAATGAAAGCCATGCCTTGTTTTGCCTACTGTATCATGTTGTGTAATTGACTTGTTGTTTTACATTTATTAATTGGATTTTGCAAATTAATCAGCTGATTCATCAAATCAGCTAATCGATTTTTTATAGAGATCAACTCATCTCTAGATTATCAGCAACAACAACAACAACAAACAACATTTGTATACCGGCCAGTATTTATCCCCGCCCGGGGGGTTGACCGGTCCATGAACTTTTCTACGCCAAACGTCTCTAGATTATCAGCAAGAGGCTCAAGTATTGAATTAGTTGTTAGGCTACGTAAATTTGCAGAAAGAATTAAGAAAGCTCTTATAACATAGAATTTATGCCTAGTGTATTGGTATTGTAATATCTTATGGACCATCTTCACAATGACATAAGTGATAATGTACTATATTGACTTTTGATTTATACTAAGTTTTATATAATTTAGAGAGCAATGTTAGGTCATGAAATTGAGGGTGAAAATGAGCTTGTTGAATTGCCCACAGGTTAGAATTTTATATTCTTGATATCCATGTAATATCCTTAATTAAATGAATATGTTTAAATGCTCAACAATTGTTGGCTTGGTTGCAGCTCGGAAGAAGGATGAAAATTCTGAAGAAGCAGCAAAAAGACGCAAGCAAAGGGCCAGAAAAAGAAAACAACAAATGGAAAAACAGATCGAGGAAAATAAAGTATGATTGTAGCAATTCAATTGGATCTTAATCAAAATATATTATAACAATCATCTCTGTTGCTCATGATAGATAATCAAGATAGCGATAATTGAACATTTGAAAATGTTTCTTCGTATCAACAATGATGTTTAAGTTTATTGGTTATTGTTTAGGTACAAACTATTGAAAGACTTTTAAAAAAACAAGTGAAGTCAAGGAAGGAAGTTGAAAAACAAAAACGCATCCAGAAAGCAGACATACCCCGTGTAACATATATTAATAATACAAATGGCATCTCGATATCTTTTCCTGTTAACATGGATGTACCTTTCAAGAAAAGAGAACAGAAAAGGTGTTTTTAGTTTGTGTATAGATTCTTACTTCCATGCTTTTTTTACCACATAAGATAATTTATGATTTGTCATTGATACGCAAATCTCAGTTTCTTACTTACCAAACTTTCTGTATTTTCAAAATGTTATTTTTAGTTTATTGTCAGCGCCAGTGAAGTGTGCTGTCAAAGGTTGTGCAAACATCAAACGTTATTCATGTTCACAAACCAAACTACCACTGTGCAGTTTGGAATGTTATAAGAAAATTGAAAGGTCGAACATTCATGCCATTGGAGTTGCTTGAATACACAAGTTAGCAAAACTATTTAATATTAATGCAACTTATACTTATCGTAACTATTTTCATTAAGTTGCAAGTGGGACGACATTGTTTTTTTTGCCATGGAATACACAAAACATTTCAAGTAAAAAATTATATTGTATTGTAAGCTAACTATTTGTTTTAAGGTGATTCCTTTACATTGCATAATCCAGTTGGAGCATATACAGCTCATAAAATCTACTTATTGTTTGGTTTACAACCACAATATTTTTCATTAAAAATTTGTTTTAATTTTTCATCAAAAAATTTGTTTTAAAATTTTTTAGAATTTAATCCATGTCCAAAAGGTGATCCATGGTCAGTCCATTTACTCGTCCATCTGACTGGTTTGCTTAAAAATTCAGAAGACTTTAGTACAGATCTTCTTCATGCCAGATGCTGCAGGGAAAAAAGTGAAATGTTATATTGAGTTTCATGATCATCATGAAAATTCTTGCTTTGTACATACCATTCTGTGTACCTTGTATCATTTTCGTGTGATTCTATGATTTCTTTAACTTGAATTGGTGGATTCAAACCATGATATTTGGCTCTTTTCCATCTTTCCAATCTTGTTATTCCTTGCAAACATGAGATCATACATTGTATGCACATAAACTTGTACAGTATGCCATTGACTTTAGAGAGATCCATAGAGGAAAGTACATTTATGGTGATAAGAACAAAAATTTTGTCAGCCTGATTGGAGTTTTGCTATTGATAATAATGTGCTGGTTTTACTAGCAAATAGCGATTGCATAAAATTGTCAAGATTAAAGTTCAACTTTTGAACATTTGTAAACTGATTGCTGATATACTAATTTTCAATTGGCAATTTTCTGCAATTCAATATTTTTGATCTGGTAAATTTACTTGCTGAAACAACAATCTTTATTGATATTACAATGTTGTTTCATAAATGGATGTGAATGGTAAAGTTTTCAACAATCAAAATATTTAATTGGAAAATTTTAACATACCAATGCAGGGACCATATTCACATCTTAAATCAAAGTCTTTCAGCAAACTGAAATCATACTCCTCTTTAGCAGAAGGATACACTAAGGATTGCAATAACAGGTCTATTTTGTAAGTTACATTTTCATTTTGTGGAAGTAGAAGTAATGATAAAAATGTGATAACATATCTGGTGGGAGGGGGGTGGTGTGTGTCTAATTGTAATGCTTACGATCACTGTTTTTAATTTCTTTGTACTTTAATTTGAAAGATTTGACAGTGAAAACTTTTGAAACAATCTTATTTGGTGATTCTGAAAAGATGTAAAGTTCATATATATATGAATCAATCTGATCGCTATATATTGTTTTTTCCACTAACGTCCATTACCTTCCTGCTGTATATCAGGTTTAACTTTTAAAGTATCATTAGCTTTTCTTGGTAAATGTTTCTTTGCAAGGACATCACTTTTCTTCACAACCGGATAAAAATTGTGTATTTTTTCAGACATTATTCGATTTTTTCATTCGTGAAAATCGTAGTTGTTGATTGAACAATTTGCAATTAAGATATTGTTTTGAATGCTTCGTTTAAAGAGACATATGCTGCCTTTTCATTGGATAAAAGTCTAGGAAAGGTGCGTTTAACGAACCAATCACATCACACCATACACACTGTGGCATTTCTGTATCCATGGTGATGAGGCAATAGAAAGTTAATATTAAATTTGAAAATGGTGATGTTTCTCAATCATGAATTGAACAATGTTCGGAGAAAGAGAAGAATATGGACGAAACAAGCAAGGTGGGGAGAATTTGGTTGGGAAAAATGATGAAATAAGCTTCTTGCCAAAAACTGCAGATGAATGGCTTGAAAAATTGGGTTTTGGAACATGGCCGATAAAATTAAAGGAAGAGAATAGTCTTAACCTAACACCGGAGGATGTTGGAACTGGTACTCTTGAAGATATCATAAAGGCCTTAGCAGAATACGCGCCTATTGATTTTGATTGCCTTGACGAAGTACTGCAGGAAGTTGAACAGGTAGAGAAGAAAGTACACTTTTATGCTTCAAAGATTTTAAATGTACAGGTATGTAACTTTGTGTATGAACCTTTTATAGTAATTATGTGGTAATGAAGGCATCATAGAACTTTACCTTTCTACCTTCAAATGTATTGTATTTACCAGGATCATGATGGCAAAAGTGGTAAAGAAGGTGAAACAATGTCAGTAACACCAGCATTAGTGTCTAAATTTTGGAACAGTGAGGTGTCAAATGTTCTACAGTCAGGAAAGAAATCCAAAGTTAAGGAAACTTTGAATTGTAAAGCAAAAACAATTGAGAACACTTCCTACTATGGTTTCATTCCAAATAAACTGACTCCTTTACCAGGAAACATAGAATCTTTACAACATTTGAACAAAGTCACAGTGATTCAAAATTTTCAGCAGCCATTTAAAAATGTTTGGAAGAGATTGATATTATCCGAAGCATCTGTTGCTGTCTTTCAAGATGCATTCTGGTGGATTTTTTGCCATCTTTTTGAGCCAAAAGAGCCCAAGGATATGATATTCTCTCGAATTGCACATAGCTTTGTTGCACTGTTTTTTGACATTCCTTTAAAACACAAAGACAAATTCTTTTTCCATTATCCCAATTGTCTTTCCCAAGCTCTATATTCTGGATTTTGTGAAGCTTTTCCAGATTCTTATGAAGTTTTTGGGAAGGACTTTAAAAGCACGTTGATAAACATTATTTATGAATGGATTTCTGGTGTGAGGCCTATTCCTATGTTGTGCGAGAGCTGGCATCTGGATAAACTAGAGCCAGCTGGATTACAAAAAACAGAAGAGCCACGAAAGTCACTTGCTCCCTGTACATTGTCATTTGATATTGAAGCAGTCTTGAATTTGGGAAGAATTTCATCTTCTTTTAGCAAATGTAGATCCCCACCTCCAGTTGTTCATGACAAGAAGTCACACCCAGCTGGGAGGGGACCAGATTTTCAGAGAGTTCAGTTTGATATTCTTGGCAATAGTCCATTGGTTTGGCACTTTTTGTATGTTAAAGGTATTAAAGATGTAAATGTAGATCGGCTAAGGACAGTAGTTGGCCGAACAGAAATAGCTCAGTTACCAGAACCCAGACCGACATACCAAGAAATCGTAACCCAATGCAAGAAAAACTCGCTATTGCTTAGACAGCAGTATAACACAGTTCTTCAGCTGTCTGCTGAGGAAAGTCGCCGAATACAAAAACAGAAGCGTGAGGTGATAGCAAAGATTGACAAGATGCAAAATGAACTTGCAAAAACACACAGTGACTTCAAGATTTTCAGTGAAAAAATTTACAGTTTAGTTTCCCACTCAGATTACACTGCTTGATTCTGCATAAATTATTTTAAAAGAAACTATTTACATTGCATTTTCCATGTCTTACAGTATTTAATATGCCAATTGAAAATCTTGATCTAAACGATAACTTTTACTCTAGCTTTAGTTCAATGGACAACTTATTAATCAAAAATGCCTCTCAATTTATCTTTATATGCTTTGTTATGTTCTTGCTCCTTTCTTTCAAGTTCTTTCAGTTCTTCTCTAACCGTCTTCACAAGACTTTTATCAAGTTCCATGACACGTTGAAAGTCTTCTCTAGCTTCGTTTGGATTCCAACAACCAACATGCGCTTTAGCTCTACGATATATTGCTTTAACGTTTTGAGGATCAATGCTATCTAATACTGTCGTTGTATGTCGTATAACGTCGTAGTAATCTTTTAAAACGAGCTTACATTGAGCATAGTTTAACAGAAACGGAAGTTTTTTTGCATTCAGCTCATTCCATGCATCGTCTTTCGGCTTTTCGCGTAGGCAAAGTTGCTCAAGACAGCCCAACGCTTCACTATATTTCGCAGCGGCGTCCTCGTACCTTTTCTCCATGTATAATCTGTTACCTTCCGCTTTGTATTTCGGTAATATTGCAAGCTTTTCCTTTTCATCCATTTGCCAAGTTTCTTTCTCGTATTCGCCAGATTTTTCATACTTCTCAAGATGAATTTCAAAAATCAAGTCTGGTTTATGTTTCACCAACTCATCTAGATCATCATAGCCTGAAAGCAAAGTAAAGATTGATGTGCAAGCAAATCTTGTATCAAATATTCATTTGTGAAATATTTTTTTTAGATTTCACCTTCAAGTGTCTATTCAGTAAAACCCGAAATGATTGGATCATTCAATATCTTATGAATGTATTTTAAATTACAAGGTTCACAATTGGTGGTTTTCATGTTTGCTTTGTTGGTGGAATAAAAAGAAAAGAATAGCATTAAGTTTTTTGGTTTCCAGCCCACTTGGTAGAAGTGTTTTCCTTTTTGATAATGAAATAACAAAGAAGAATAAAAAATCATTTGTGTCAGACCTGTTCCTTGCTGTTGAAAGGCAGCCATACTACAATGATGTTTGCCATGGTGGTCATGATGACTATGTTCATGGTGATCATGATGACTATGACCATTCTGCTGTTGTGAGTATTCACGTAAACTCTTCGATACAAATGGATAGCTTTCAACCAACTATAATATAACAGATAATGAATAAAAAAACTTCCATCTATAATAGACTAGATTAGATGTTGAAAAATTGGTTGAGTCTCTATATACAGTAGTCTAGTGTCTTTATTGAAGTAATGTGATGTTCGTACAACAGGCTTTAGATACTTAGGTAGTTTGCCTTCTTTATGAATGAACAGTACAATGTTCTATCTGAACATTGTATGCATGCATGAAAGTTTAATAAATTCATGAAAAGATTCCTTAACAATATCCAAAGACGTGACTTAGTAACTTGAAGACATGAAAAGTGCAATAATCATGTTACCTCACTCTTCACAAAAAATTCTGCAATTTCACCAACTTTCATGGAACGCACCAATTCTTCCCATACAACAAGTTTGAACTTCTTACCAATAAGAAGCTCAAAAGGTTTTCCCAATTTCTTACTACAATCTACTTCTTGTTTTTCATTTTTATTAAACAAAGCGTATGTTTTAAAGTGAAATGTTGCCTAAAGTTAACATAAAAATGTTGGAGATATAGTTCAGGTATTAAATGATGGGTAAAAACATTAGGGAAGAACTAGGAATGCAATACATTTTAGGACACAGCACTTTCACCAGCTACATTCCCAATACTTGCTATAAAAAACAAGAGGTCCGTTTTATAACAGAAAGGTTCAACAAAGCTATGTGTCCTGTTTCTTTGATGATTATATTTTTTGTAAATGCAAAAATACTTCCAAAAACAATTGAATCCAGAGTTATCGTGTTTATCACAATAATACTAGTTTAATAGACAGCTTATTTCAGCTAAAACAACCGCAAATATTACAAAAATAATGATTCTCAAAGCAAAGTTATCAATACTTTTCGGAACCTTAGATCCTGGTGTAAACTCTAGTTGTTCACCAGTACCAGGATAGAGAATCTTCTTTGTGATATTTGGATTATAGTCGCTCATTTTCCTAATACTTCAACGTTCTTTTATCACTAAATCTTTCTTTTCATTACTCCGTATATCACTGTCGTTTGCCTTTGTTTCTTTTCGTTGAATACTCATGGATCTATGATGGGATGTGGATGGGATTAACAAGTGGAGCCCACGGACAATCACTTATTCAGCGGTGTATTATTGTATCTGATCATCTGATCCATATCTGATCCATCTGATCACGGAATTTATGTTTCTAAATTATACTTAATAGCCCTTTAAGGCTTTTAAAATGTAAAACTGAGTCCATGTATATGTGTAATGTACTAAGCCCACTCCATTACTCTCAACAACTTCAATCGCGGTTTGCACAATAATCAAGCATACTACATTTAGTAAATAAAACAATAAAACCGGTGGTGAAGTCATAAATTAATTTTGAGCCTGTCATTCAGTACATCAGCGGCTAGCTATAGTGCTGACGTGTTTCCAATATGGCTGAAGAAGAAACACTTGGAATTGTACAGTTAGTCGTAATTTTAGTAGTCACAGTGTTGTTTGGAGGAATCTTGATTGCTTTTGTGTTCTTTTTGGGAAGAAAGGAGAGATATACATCGGAAAATGATAAATCTAGCTCCAATATTAAAGTTGAAGAGCTAAAACCCCCCAAAGAACAATACAATAAAGTTGACATTTCAAAAAGAACTTCCTCGAAAAGCTCTAAGCGGACAAATGCAGTTGTTGACCACCCCAAGCAGTTTTGTGTATTGAAAGGACACACTTCTGATGTTCATCACATCGAGTTTTCATCAAATGGAAAACATTTAGGTTCTACTTCTTCAGGTACACACAAGTGACGGTTTAACACAAATTGAAGGAAGCAATAGCCATTAGCGGATATTTTTAATATATTTTATTTTTTTAGACAGAACAATAAGACTGTGGAGTGTAAAAAGCTTTAATGACAAAGAGCACAAGTTAGTAAAAATTTAAATCTTTGAGGATTTTATGTAAAAAATGGAACGAGTAAAACGATAATCTATTTATTTATGTTCAAAGAAAAATTGACCTTTTACCAATGCATGTTTCAATGGAAAGACATTTAGCAATATGAGTTTGTTAGTCACCAAAGCTTGCTATTTTTAAGGCCCACTCTAAATATACAGTTTGTGGACCTATGAGTTCCTATGACAAAAAGCATCTTTTGGAAATCATCTGCGATGTTTATTTTAGGTACATACGTTGTAATGTTGATGGGGATCATGCCACTAAAATCAACCTTACTCAAGATGCAAGGTAAATTCATCAATAATTTTTTCAAAAAGCTGATAATAGGCACTGTACTTAATAATGTTGACTGAGATTAAATGACCTATTATACCATACACAATGTATTTATTTTTAACTTCTCCAATCCAGCAAATGCTACACATGTACAGTCTGTTTGAATATAGAACCTTTCTTACATAAAATGTATTTAAAATATTTTGTAGAGCGTTTATCTCCGCTCTGTCAAATGGCAATAAAATAAGGGTTTTCAAGGTTCAGAAAAAGACAGATGGTACAGGAAATATTGTGAGTGGTGATTTTGACTTTCCTCAAGAACATAAAGCCGATATAATTAATGTTGGTGTCTCAGCTACTGGGAAATTCATCATGTCCTGTTCAAATGATACAACCATTATTATATGGACCTTAAAAGGTATTGTATTGATAATGGTATGCTTAAACTCAAGGGAAATGGACTGTGTTGGGGAGAATCAAGTGTAGTTTTCATATCAACATTGATTGCTATAACCAACTGCATTTTAATGACACGTGATGGCTGTTGCACATTAGTAAGTTACAGGTTATTGTATTTTAACTATATATAAATATATTGTTTATGAAAATTAGTGATAAGAATGAAACAATAGTTTATATTGCTGTGATATGTTTTATCGTTTGATCTTTTGATCTTGATCAAGGAAAATGTAGCTTTTGACTAAAGCTATTACTTCATTTCACAATGAAAGTGCACTTTTTCATTATTAAGGTGAAGTTTTGAACATAATAAACACGAACCAGGTGAACAACAGTTTTGCTTGTATTTCTCCGTGTGGGCGTTTTGTTTCCTCTGCAGGTAAATTTTTGTATTGACTGATTCAAGGTGTGATTTATTTGTAATGGAATTAAATGTGTTGATAAGGTATAGCTTACTATCAATACACACAGTAAAAACCCACTTTGTTGTCAAACTACAAAATTTAGTGGCTTTTATGCATTTTATATGAAACAATTCAATCAATTGCAGGATTCACATCCGACGTGAGATTGTATGAAATTGAATTTAGTAAAGGCGGAGAATTTATACAAGTATGTATTGTTTGTACATCTTTGCTCAAGGTTATAGGACTTACGTTGCATGTTACAAGTTACATGTTGCAAGTTACATGTTACAAGTTACATGTTACAAGTTACATGTTACGAGTTATAATTTACGATCTTTGAGACAATTGAAAAGTATTGTATTTTCAAATCTTATTTTGTAGATTGATAAACGCGTGTTTACATTTTAGAATTTTGAATTTGTTGTATTTGTGTTCAAGGTATCTCGAGCTATGGATCTTAAAGGACACAGCGCTGGTGTTTATCATTTTAGCTTCTCTGCAGATTGTACAAGGTTTTTGTCTTGTGTATATGTTGATGCGCTCACAGCGTATTCGCTGTTCAGTAATTTGGAGAAAATTTTTAAAGCTAGAGCCTGGAGACTTGAGAACTGAATTGTTGTCGTTTTATTTCCTTAGAATGGCTACAGTATCCAAAGATGGAACGTGGAAAATTTGGAATATTGATGGTCAGTATGTAACGTTCATGTAATGTAGAGATACAAGTTTTACGAGTATTCACTGTTACGGGATCCCGTTGAGTCACCTGAATTTTTCAGGTTCATGAGACAATTGCTTAAATTGTCCAGCAAAGTGCGAAGATCATATCTTCATTCAATTTCAAACACCGCACACTGCATATAACAATCTTTCATATTCACTGTTATATTCGGCAAATTGAGCAATTTCCTTCAAACCAGTGATGCAGATCAAAAGAAAAACAGGATGACCGTTAAATTTTGCCTGACTTTAAAGGATGTGCTTTAAGGGAAATTCATAAATTTTATTGTTTCACGATTTTTAATGATTTTCAAATGATTTCACACGTTCTGTAGTCTTTATGTTATGTTAAAGAAAAACAGTCCTCTGTGTGTCTATAGTCTGTCGTACAATTTATTTAAGTTGCATTATATGACACTGATGGTAAATGCTGCTATGTTTAGTGGAGTACAAGAAAGGTGAAGATCCAGTGTTATTATCAACTGGCTACTTTTCTGGACATCATAACGAAATGTTAATAGCGATCTCTCCTGACGCTTACATCGTTGCTATAAGCATGAGTCGCTCTATCGGAGTGTTTGACACAGTTACGGGAGAGCTTGTGGAGCTATTGGAGAATATACATTCTGGTATGTTATAACGTGAATAAGTTTGGCTTACAGTCGCATGACGTAAACATAAGACAAATGAAGACAAATGCACGAATGTAATCATGTCAATCCATGAAAATTATAAATGTTTATAGCATCAACTGTATTTACTATTTGACGATTGACGGTATATATCATTTGTGCTGTTTTAGATAACATTAGCTCACTTTCGTGGCATCCGTCATCACATTTCTTTGCTTCTGCTGGAGGCACGGATAGACACATTCGCGTGTGGCATAATACCGCTGGCATGAAGGCTCAGATTCGGGATTTAGAAACGCAGTTGAAGAAAGCAAAGACGGAAAGTGTTAAGGTAAATTATGTAGTCCGATTTAACGGATTATGTTGCACGATTATTAAAGAAACCTGGAATGAGTTTATAGCAAGTATCAGGGATTGGCGATTAGGAATAAAATAGCCCAAGAAATTGGCCTGCCAAAACAAAGTTAAGCATCTTTGTAAACTACATGGAAATCATGGCTGAAATATAAATAACAGTCAGTAGTTTCATGTTTGTAGATGTAGATCGTCAAATTTAGTAGAGTCCTGAGAAGGACTGTTGTTGTTGATGTTGACTGACGTTTTAACAACCTTAGCGGTAGTCTTGAATCTGAAGATGACTACCGCTAAGGTTGTCGAAACGTCAGTCAACATCAACAACAACAGTCCTTCTCAGGACTACACTAACCTGGACGATCTACATGTACAAACATTTAACAATACTCCCGGGTTCAAACCATTTACTTTAGTCAGTAGTTTATGAACGAATTACTGCACCTACTGTATATAAAAACACATGATATGAAAGAATGTTTTATGCAGTGCGGTGTTTGAAATTAAATGAAGATATGATCTTCGCACTTTGCTGGACAATTTAAGCAATTGTTCATGAATTTAAGCAATTGTCTCATCCCGTTTAGTCACCTGAATTTTTCAGGTTCATGAGACAATTGCTTAAATTGTCCAGCAAAGTGCGAAGATCATATCTTCATTTAAAACACATCATGATGGGTATTGTTGAGTTAAAGTTGCTCGTAGCACATTTAAACATTGTGCAAGCTTCATGTCTATTTTCGCATTTCCTCCTGTTTCGTTCTGATGGAATTTTCTCATTTTTCTACAGGTGCGTCTTGAACGTAGAATTTTAGAAGCAAGGTAAGAATCAAACTTATGGTGAACTGTATAAATTCGTTGGTAATTGAACGTAATTCGACTTCTGTCAATGCCACCCCCCGTGTGTGGAACATAAAGTGTTTGACGCAGGGGGGGTGGAATTTTTACAGTTGCTGCCTTAAAATGTGATCAGGATAGGTTGCACGAAACATTGGTTTGGGTGGATTAAGGAATTGATATTTTGACGCGTTATAGTACAACGTCTGTTTTGAACATTCGTTGAAATTCTATTGTTTTTTTTTAGAACAACATTGGAGAAAATGTCTTCTTAATTTGGCAAACTGCCCCATATCATACATTAAACTAGGGAAATAAAATTTAAATTATTCAAGAATATGAAGTCAAATTATAATTTTATTCGTAAAGGACGATAGGAATATTTTTCACTCAATACGTGATAATGTAAAGATGTTAAAGAGAACGATGATGGTGCATCTGATCCTAACGTCCTAGACACATAAAAACAACTCTTCTTATGAAAATGGATGTAACTTTGACAGGCTAACTGTAAATAGTTACAAAAATTGTAAAGCAACTTAGTAACGGTAAATAGTTACTTTTTACTAACTGTTACTTGTAACGGTAACTAGTTACTTTTTACTGTAACAACTTGTAACGGTAACTAGTTACCTTTTACTGTAACAACTTGTAACGATAAATAGTTACTTTTTACTGTAACAACTTGTAATGGTAACTAGTTACTTTTTACTGTAACAACTTGTAACGGTAAATAATTACTTTTTACTGTAACAACTTGTAATGGTAACTAGTTACTTTTTACTGTAACAACTTGTAACGGTAAATAGTTACTTTTTACTGTAACAACTTGTAACGATAAATAGTTACTTTTTACTGTAACAACTTGTAACGGTAACTAGTTACTTTTTACTGTAACAACTTGTAACGGTAAATAGTTACTTTTTACTGTAACAACTTGTAATGGTAAATAGTTACTTTTTACTGTAACAACTTGTAACGGTAAATAGTTACTTTTTACTGTAACAACTTGTAATGGTAACCAGTTACTTTTTACTGTAACGACTTGTAACGGTAAATAGTTACTTTTTACTGTAACAACTTGTAATGGTAACTAGTTACTTTTTACTGTAACAACTTGTAACGGTAAATAGTTACTTTTTACTGTAACAACTTGTAATGGTAACTAGTTACTTTTTACTGTAACAACTTGTAATGGTAAATAGTTACTTTTTACTGTAACAACTTGTAATGGTAACTAGTTACTTTTTATTGTAACAACTTGTAACGGTAAATAGTTACTTTTTACTAACAGTAGCTTGCAACGGTAACTGTAACTAGTTCCTTTTCAGATGATGTAACTGTAACTGTAGCTAGTTATGAAAAATAAGTAACTTTCACAGCACTTTGTTCAGCCCATAGAAATGTAACATGTATATGTATATGTTAAAGAAAATGTTTTTCAAAAAATTTCAGTCAATGGGTAATTCACTGGACATGGACACATGATCATTGTGATCGTTGGTGGTTCTTTTTCATCATTTTTGTCTTCAATATTCATTGTTTTATAATTCAAGATGGCTGCCATACGACGGTCTTTTATTTTGTCCAAGTCTTATCTTTCAAGTGCAATAACTGGTCGACTGAATGGTCATATCTATTTTTCATCAAATTCAAATTTTTTTACGGCTTTAAGTTTTCGTTCAAGAAGTTTCACTTCATTGTTCAAATTGGATGCCAAATTAAAGCTGTTGAATTTATCAAGTGCAAGCAACTCACCAAATACATATTCAATTCTTAGATCAAACTACGTACAAAAAGCAAAGAGGTACTGTACAAACCAAGGTAAATATGAGTACCAATGTAATTATGTTGAACTCAATCAACTCAAGATGTATTAACTTGTCATGATGTTCTTAATGAGTGAGACATTTTCACCACCAGAATTGATTCAAACATTTCTTCTTTGAATAGTTCTATTGAAAAAATGTTTTATTTTATGCCCAGTGGTTTTGCTACCTTTTAATTACATCATAATAATATCACATGTTTAATGTTTTAGGTTTTTACGAAGGCCTCAAAGAAAAAGTTCAGCATATTTTGTCAAAGTCTCCTGGTGGAACACAGGAAAAGCTGGATCAACAACTAAATTTACTTAAGCTCTTGAATGATAACTATCTTGGCAATATGTCAATGCCAGAATTTACAGAAGCAGCTCAAAAAGGTTTCTATATTAAAGAGAAATAAAAGAAGTTTCTATAATCAGAGAAACAACAATTGTGGCTGTAACTTGAGAAATGACGACTGTAAGACTTAACAAATGTGATGAAAATTCTCTTTATGTGGAGGCTTTCACGTGGCTTAGGAAAGAGAAAGTAACAATCCTAAATGAGATTGCTGGTGGACTTAATCCTTGCATAACTGAGTCAAAGAATATGAATCATTAACTTAAATATAACTTAATTGTTATGATCATATTTGTTTCAGTGCATGCAGATGTAATTTATGAACTGGCTTTAGTGGTTTACACCTTAAGAGAAAAAGGTAAATTTGTTTTTGAGTCAGCTTCTTGTTTTACATACATTAGAAGAGTATGTGTTGTTGTTACAACAGTCAGAAAGGTGTAATATTTCATGCACCACAATGATCTATATATTTGGTGTATACGCTTATTTTTACATTTTTACTGAATAGGCTGTTAAAGTATATCAAAATATCAATAAATATCTTTTAAATATCATTTTTTTTGTAATAATCAGATATTGCCTTTGGCATGCGCACTGCTATCTTCTAAAGTATTGTGGTTATGGTGATGATTTTAAACTCATTGGAAAGAGCTCAATGGAAGCTTTCAGATGAGCTGGACATCATCGTTGTATCTTCACTACTTTCGGAGATAGCACTGCGCACTGCTATCACGTTTTTTAATACTGCAACTTATTAGCATTTTGATGTTAAACACATGCTTTATTCTGTATCACTATAGTTGGTGAAAAGTCTGATGATTTTTGGGCTCCTTTATTCCGACTGTCTTCACTCAAGGGCAACCAAGATGCAAAGTACACTTATGCACAAATGCTTCGATCTGGTAAGCTAGCTAATCTAACAGTTTTGAACAAAACAATAGTCTCAATGACATTTATCTAACAGTATATATTTATCTTTGACATAACTTTTGTTTTATACATACGCACAAGTCTTGATGTAGATCCATTAAGTATGTACTGGTGTTAATCCAAGTCCACATTGATGTTAATCCAAATCAATCTTAAATGTGATTTTAGGCACTGGTATTGATCCAGATCCATCAGAAGCAATTAGACTATTTCAAGAACTTGCAGATCATAATCATGCTTATGCTCAAGTAAGTTTTTATCAATACTTATATTGATAAACTGCGACACATATAAACTTTGACGAATATTTCCATATCCACAACAACTAATGATAAGTTTTGATTTTAGTTTGCTTTGGCTGGAATGTATTTTCATGGCATTGGTTTGGAGCAGGATTATCACATTGCATTTGATCTCTATGAGGTATATCAAGTGTTTTGTTTTGACTATCATGGATTGACAAAGCAGATATATGATAATATCTTTTTAGCGAAGTTCAAAAAATGGTGCTGACTTGGCTTTCAATATGCTTGGTAAATTTTCCTATATTTTGTTGTCCATGCTCATTGAAATGTAAAGTACTTTTGAAAATCAAATAGAAAAATAATTGAAATGTTCTTGATTATCAAAATGGGATAAATTAAATATCCTTAGAATTTAGAAAACTAAGCTTAATGGTGATTTGTGAAAGCTAATCTGCCTTGTAAAAATTATACTAGATAACCAAAAATAGTATAAATTAATATTGATCATAGCGACATCAAACAGTATGCAAAATACGTGTTGCATGTTCATGGTAAAAGAGTCAGGGTTTAGATTGCATTCAGCATTGATACAAAACACAAATCCTTCATTTCAGGTAATATGTATTTGAATGGTTATGCTGTTGAAAAGAACTACAAACTTGCGATACAATATTTTCTAACGGGAGCTCAAAAAGGTGACGTCATATTGATGAGATCAGATGCTTGTGGAAGGCAGATTTAATTATTAGAAATCTTTAGCCAAAAACAAGACGAGTGCCAGTCCCTTCATTCATTAACAATGACAAATATATAAGAAATTCATCATGGAGTATATATATGAAAATATAGATGTTGACGGAAATTTTTTTGTTCCTGACAAGTGTGCGCATGTTCGACTGATGGTGGCCTTTTATTGATGTAAAATTTATGACATATTTTGCTCTAGTACATTGGATAGTACAAAGGCTGACAGTCGGCATTCCGCCCTTCTTTATTCTACTTTAAATTAATGTATATAGAGGATGGTATGTAATACCCAATTTCATTGTGTAATTTGTCGCTTTTTAGGTGAACCCAATGCAGAGCTATCGCTTGCTCATTGCTACTCACATGGGAAAGGAGTGAGTGAGGATTTGAGTAAGGCATTCGAATATCACATCAGTGCTGCAGAGAAAGGTGTCTAAACGAAGTTTTAATCTCTTTAACTCACTAGTGGCTAAGTAAGATTTAACTCAATCTTTCTACAGGTCACCCAATAGCCTTATACAACGTGGGCACGCAATATTTTGCTGGTAAAGGTGTTGAGATGAACATGGTTAAGGCTGCAGAGTATTTTGAAAAATCTGCCAGTTTTGGATTCGATCTTGCTCAGGTATTATATGATGACTTCCAATCCCTGATTCTAGTTACCTCATTGAAAAATTAGACAAGGTTCCAGCCTGTTTTATATTTACTAGATCAATTTGGGTAACATGTATTACAATGGCATCGGCGTTCAGAAAGATTGGAACAAAGCGAAAGAATGGTACCGACAGGCTGCGCCAACAAACAAAAATGCAGCGGCTTTACTCAAAGAAGTCGAAGAAGACGAGCGCAGGTTGAAAGACGACAAATCCAACGACTAAGGTAAGACGAGAAACATGTATGGTTTGATATATATAAAGTATTTTTAAAGCTCAAAGCGCCCGTGTCACGAAAATCTAGCACAGAGCACGACGCGTGTTTGTTTTGAGTGATTTGAATTTTCCGAGTTAAGTAAATTTGAGCATACAATAATACACATACACTGCTTTGAGAGAAAGAACTGTGACCCTCTTTTATTACCACAGTTGTTTTAATATGGTTTGTAGAATGGTTGGTAGCTGTTATAACTTATTGTTGGTTTCTGCTGACCAAAATTTACTGATTTTTTTTTGTTGTCTTATAATATATTAAAAAGCAGTTAGGGATTCATCTCTGTTGTTGTTTTATACATTTAAAAAGCAGTTTGGAAGTTTTTCATCAAATTTCTCTTTTCCTTTTTCCGTTATCATATCGCAATCAAGGATGTCGAGGCGTCTTAAATCTGTCAATTTTGCTGCCATTAAGTCTAAGTGGGAATCTCTATAGTTCGGACAGCGCCGTAGATAGAGTTCCCTTAACTTTCCGCAGTTTTTCGCCAGTTCTTGGATAGCTACATCCGTAACTTGTTCACAGTCTTCCAGATGTAGCTCGCGTAACTGTGGCGAATTTTTACACAACGTCATCAAACTTTTATCGTCCATTTTAGCGGAAAACACGTGAAGTTTTTCTAAGTGATTGCATTTCTTTGCAATCGAACTCAAACAATAACCTTCAATGTTTTTTGATTGAAAAAAGGTGTCACGTATGCTAAGCTTTCTTAAATTAATTGCGTTCGATGTGATCGCCTCGATTCCTGAATCTGTGATACCAGTATTTATTAAGACAAGTGATTTCATGTACTGCGAATGCTTTCCTATGGCTTGACAACAATCGTTGTTAATGAATGGTTGCTGCTCGAAGTGTAGATCTTCCAGAAAGCCACTACCGTTAGCTATAGACCGTATACCTTTCTCCGTGATCAGTCTACAATCTTTTATGTGCAAACATCGAAGTTGGCTGCAATTTTCAGCAATCGATTGCAAACTTTTGTCCGTTATATTATAGCACAATGCCATGGCTAGTTTGCGCAACATCGGGAAACGTTTGGCAAATCTTTGGATCGTGAAGTCATCCATTAGCAAACAATCATCGTCATAAAAATCAATTAGTTCAAGTTCGCTAACCATTTTGCAATGTTTTATTACTGTGCTCAGCATGTGTTTATTGTTACCATGCGTTGGTAGATGGATAACATGAATACCGTGATTACGTTCAACGAGTATGTCAAATCTGTAATAGAGGAAGTATAGCACGGTTCAGTTGAAGAGTGTTGGAAATTGGCTATTGCAATTAGAACATGGAACATGTGTTAATTGTATTAATGTGGTGATTTATAGATGAAACACATGTAGAGAGCATTGAATTGAAACTTTGCCATATGCTCCGAAGCTAATTTTAAAGTCGTTAGAAAAACAATTAGAGCTCCCTTGTAACGCAATTCTTTGATATCAACCAACCTCCACGCAATTATCAAACAATGTAGCCCGCCCACGCCGGCTGGTGCCAACAATAGCATTAATTAAATATTCTCTTTTTTTGAACCACCAATATGGCGGCCGTGACGTAACATGCACACCAAGAATAGTAATAATTTGTCCAAACTTTCATTATACAACCACTACTACTTACCCCATCGACGTGACTCTTGTTCCTTGGAAATCCACATAACGAAGACGATCACAAATTTTCGACAACTGTATGATACCCGGGTCTCCAACTTTCTCACAGTATCGAAGAGATAATACTTGTAGATTGCGGCAAATTTGACCCACAGTAGACACTCCTTTATCCGTAAGCAAAGTACAGCAATCTAGGTATAGTTCTCGATATTGTTCACCTCTGACTAGAGTCCAGTCTTCTAATATTTTATCTCGAAAGAGGCTCGTCAGTCCACTTTCTTTTCGAAAATCAATTCTTTGCCATAGCTTCCAGTCATTCAGAATTTCTTTCCATTTCTTGCTAACGCGCAAACAATGCAATTTCTCGTATATGTTGAGATAAACGAAAATCTGAAGTAATGTTGTATCTGGTAAATTATCCATCGTTATGTTTATCATTGATATGAAAAAATGTTTTCAAAAACCCGTCTTTCTTCCTCGCAGCTCTTATCCATATGATACTTTTGTTTCAGTAAACTTTTTGTTTTTATAAATGGCACAATTATAGATTATGATGTCATAATTGAAAGAAGGTGTTTCGTCTTGAAGCAGTGATGTCTGCGATGTTGATGGGTCAAACCTCTAGATGAATTACTTAACAATACAAAGAAAAAGCTGGAAGCTTTCTGAATTCATTATGATTAATTCACCATTTATTAAATTATCTACATTTCAATTTCCACTTCCATGCACATACATATGATAGCGATAAGCCACGCTTAAAATGTAAAAAAAACGTTATTTTTATGTGTTGTAACGATATTATGCAGTGTTTGTAACACCATGACTGGCAAGTTCTGCCAGAACATTATCCAAATAGTTAGGATCGGGATAGCCATATCCTGAATTATTTCCATAACCTTCGGTTTTGTGATGTATATCATTCCACACAACACTGTCTTCTTGACCAGTGGTGACCGATGTAGCTACGGTGAATACCAATTGTCTTTCAAATGCTATCTTCAATAATGTCAACACCTGAGTAATACAATTTACGTTTTAAAACTTCTTGTTTGTCAGCGTTTGGGTTAGATGTGAGCGGAATAAGTTTATTCAGTTTATGGTTTTGATATGTAAAGGTTTTTTCGAAGTCGTTTTGTTAAACATGAGCTGTTTTCATATTACGTCATGTAAACTTACTCTCTTCCCCTTTTCGTTGTTAGGAAGGTAACAAGTCCTTGGAAAAGAGTTTGCATGGTAAGGTTGACCAGGATGAGGATGGTTTTGTCCCTGTGAAACAGAAAAAATGACATATTGCAGTCACCACTGGACTAAAATTCATATAGCAGGCGGGAAGCATAAAAGCTTTGCCATTTTATGTTGAAATGAAATCGTGAAAGTCTACCTGTGTACCGGAAGTAAAATTATACACGATTACAATAGAGCCACAGTTGGGATAACCCGGAATAGCCTTGTTATTGACAGTGACATTCATAGTTCCTCCTGCAGGTTGATTTCCTTTCATTACACCATATATGGTGTTGCATGTCGGACAACGTAGACAGCCATGCTTTATAAAAAGTAAAATATGATAAATTACTAACGTAAAATACAACATGAAGTCCTCCAATAGAATGCATTCTTTAATATGTCGTATAACGTTGTTGTGCTCTACTTCTTAATAAATTCTTAATTCACCTGTGCTATTCCACTATCGTTGAGTCTCTGTAAGCAAGCCATGTGGAATTGATGTTTACACTTAAGGAGCTCTAATGGTGCATGTGCTTCTTTCCCTTCTGTTGTATTACATAAACTTTCCAAGCATATTGCACATTCCTGTAATGAAAAGACAAAATTACGTAATTAGTCAGTCTTTCATACTCCACTAAGTGTCATCATTAGGAGCAACGATGGAACATTTGGAACATGTTGATATTTCATATGTTTGAGTTTTAACATGGTCCAGTCTGTTCTCGTCGTCAGATGTTTTTGCTTTCTTCTTACTTCATCGTGTATGAAATCGTTTTCTGCAAATCTGGCAAAGTTTGCAAGTGGGCCACTCAGAAATTCTGTCAAGAAAATAAAAGAAACTAGTAAGTAGCATTTCATCTCACTAGCTTTCTTTTTGGCTTGTAATATCTTAATTACTTACGAGTTTGTTTTGTTCTTGCTTTAAGGAATTGTTTCTTCTCAACTGGCTTGTTGATATCACGAAGTGATTGATGCAAAGAATGTCCAGATTGAACTTTATTCGGCAAAACTGACGTTGCTTTCATTTCCCCAGAGTTTGTATTCGAATAAGGTGTTCTTCTCTTTCGGTTTGATAGAGTAATGCTTGATTCACTCAACTGCGTTGAAATGGGTGTTAGCAGGCTTGAAGAGCTTGCTTGAGTATCGGAGTTAACGCAAGGATCAGGATATTTTTCCGTGGTTGTTTCACGACAAACCTCTCGTTGAAATTTTGTGTGTTTGTTCAATTGTTGGTAACTGGAGAAGTCTAAAATATTCGGGATTTTTATTGGGGATTTTTGCAAGTCAACTTTTGAGTTTTTTTTCTTATAGGCATCTTCTATGTAATTTGACGTTTCCACATCGTATCTTTGCCATCGATAATCTGCACACCATTTCCAGTAAACACCATTTGCAAAAGAGGTTGAGCTTGGATATTGTTGACGTCGAACCAGTTTATCCTCATCTATGAATTATATATATTGTGTAATAAAGATATGGACTAACTCCAAGTAACATCTCTAACGTAAGTTATTAATATTAGTTATATAGCAAGATAGATGATTCTGTTAATATTTCATCATTTTTTTCAAAGTAATTGTCTAACCAATTGGTTATTTTCATGCCTTCTTTCACATTTTTTAAGAAACTTCTACACTTTTACATGATGTGGAAAACATATCAATGCTTTTGCCAAAATCACTGCCAAGAAACCTAGATGTCTGGGCAAAAGTGACAAAAAATAGCCAGAGGCAGAACCAAGTCTGCTCATAAATATCATTAATATTTGTAATGAATGTCTAAAGAGTATTTTTGGACCAAAATATGTCATCTGTTGAAAATAGCAATACCAACTAACTAAAAAGCTAAGAACGACATTAGCAAGTTAGCATAAATCATTTTCAGGGAAAATTTATGCAAACTACGTAAAATCAGAAGCCTGTTCACATGACCTAGAGTGACCTCTTTCCCAGGTCTCTTCCTCGTTCTCTTCCTAGAATTAGCTTTATTTGGAAGGATGAATTGAAAGTGAAACTGGTGATAACAGTACTTTGATAATGGTGTAAAATAAAAGTTACTTAAATTTCTTTAATTTTTTCCTACTTACTCGTCAAAGGATTCACTTGTTTCATTTTGGAGAAATGTATTTCCCAACCTATCAACTCTATTTCGTCCTGAAGGAAAACCTTTCCATGCGAAGCACAACGTTGAAATTCATTTTCGATATGTTTGCAAACTTTTGGCGGATAAGGAACCCATACGCGGCTCGAGTATTTCCATTCCCAAACTACTATGCCACTGGTAGCGCTCATTCTGTTTTCATAGGCGTTCGTTCCTGTTGATCGGTCAAGTCCATGTTCTTCTTTACGTACCTGTCCTGCCATGTTCTATCTTAACGATGTCTTTTTACTAGTCAATGAAACATTGTATCAAACTTTGACTTAGGAACAAACTTCATGGCGAGCAACATTGTAAATGCTAGCAGATCACATTCTCCTTGGAATTGACCCTTAAAACGTATTGTTAGATTGTGTAGTTTCTTTTGCGCAACAATGTCCCAGTGTGTTAAGAATTATAATTGACCCAGCGGTTTTACTTTGCATTGAACCCATTGAACCTGATCCATTTAATCAATCCTATATCCAGTATACTTAAATCTAGAATTGTGCATTTTTCATTCGTTCTTTCTGGAAAGTTGAAAATATCAAACCGGTTAACATAAGGTGCAGTTTGATCACCATTTTCAATATTGATTATTTAATAAAATTTTCTAAATTTGCGCAAGCAAAAATTAGGATTCGTTAAATCATCTAATAAGAATCAACGAACCAATCACCGTGAAGTATAATCTCGATTAGTCTGAATTTGTGACTATTTTATCAATTTACCCGAAAGGCTTTGCGTCTTGTTTAATTCTATTCACTTTGATTGTCACTTTAGCAACGCTGTATGTAGAATTTCTGTCGATATCTTGGGGAAATGGTCAAGATTTTTCTATTGAATTTTATTTAGCTTTATGTAATTTGTGTCAAGCAATTATCAATCGCTTCATTGTTTGCAAAGTTATGGCAAACAGAAAACATCAACAAGTAAACGAAAGCTCTTCCATGTTGTTTCTACAACAGGAACATGCAAAAACATTGGAAGGATTATATAAAGAAATTAGCAAACTTCAGAAAAAATGCGGAGGTTTGACGTTGCTCGATAAGATTGCTAAACTTCTTGGGTTTTTTTATGCTTTCATGACTTACGTTGAGTTTTTGTCTTGCAGAATTGACTTTTAAACTGGCAATGAATGCAACGTTGATTAATCCAAATCAAGGTATTAAATTACCTATAATGACAGTTATAACGAAATTTATGTTATTGAAATTATGCTACATCATGCTGTAGAAATATATTCTGTTTTTCCTTTTTTAGAGACGTATCGAAATGAAAGTTTGAAGATGGAGAAGAAATTGGAAAATAAATCGCAGGAAGTTAATGAATTAAAAAAACAGCTGGATAACAAATTGAAACAAAATGAACTTTTGCAGACAAGTTTGAACAAGGTTAAAGAGAATTATGAAGAATCAATGCGAATAAAAGACAATAAAATTGCCAGTCTTACTTCAGAACTTGATGCAAAGGCAGGCAATATTGTTTATCTCACAAAACAATTACACAGCTTAAATAGATCAGAGTTTACAGAGATATCTGGTGACAATCCATCAATTTCTCCAACCCCTCCAAATGAAAGGGCTTTCATCCCAAATCGTAAACGGTACATTCGCAAAATGGTGTCATCGAAGAGTTGTGTTGATGCTGAGTCATTAAGCAGAGTTAATCCCACTGCACACAAAATGCTTTTAAATGTAAAGACTACAAATGGTAATGAAAACTTCACTACTCAAGCACGTAGAGTGACACATCCTGCCAAGGGATCAAAGCAAGAGCAGCTATCCAACGAACCTAAAACTATCCCTAGTGATTATTCAGATTTCTTGACAGCAGGCATAAAGCCAGAACCAAAACTTTTTTACAAGCCAGTCTCTGATCCCTTGCCGCCAATTGCAACTGAAATTAAAGACAGCAAGATGCAGATGCCATTTAAAGTTCCACAAACATTGCGGACGCAAGCCACCAGCATAGTTGATGAAATTATTATATCCCCTCTTAATTCTCCAGAAAAAAATTGGCAGCAAGGGTCAAATACATATGATCCAGTTTCCTAAGGCACATGTTTGTAGGCTAGAGATTTGTTGTACTAAAGATTGATACTTACATTGTGATATATTGTTTAAAATTTGTGTAAAGTTGTATTGAAAATGTGTGATATTGTACATACTTGGCAGAAGAATACATAAAAAAATATGAAATGTGCATCAATTTTTATTTCCTATTGTTCAATTTTTATTTCCTATTGCATAAGCAGGCTACCAGGTTTGGGGAAGGACTGAGTGTGTAATGTTTTTAAATTTTAGTCTCAAAAGAGTGTTGTGTTTTTTTGTCTCAGCTTTGTTGTCTTATAACACCAATTAATCAGATTGTGTGTGCCCTGTGTTGTGCTATGTGTTATATGTACCTGATTGTTCCTTATGGTTCCCTGCTTCTGCCATTGATGAAAGCATAGTTACCATAGCAACAAAAGTTAAAATGGCGCTTTGATGTTAAAAAAAGTACAAAAGGATGTTTCGGCTGTTTTCAATTGTATTTACTCGTGAACTTTTCTTCTAAATGATATAAGTTTGAAGTAAAATACAGTGAAGCTATTTTTAAGTTTTTGTCATGGATGACGTACGCATTGAATGGCTAAGGAACGAAGTTTACTTGGCGCTGGAAATAGCTGATTGGGAAGTATTTGAAGAGTTGCTTAGCAGAGATGAAGGCGCGAACGAAAGCTTGATACAGAAATACCTGAACGACACTCCTGCTGAAGGAACAGCATTAATTTTTCATTCGGAAATTGTCGAAGAGGAAGAAGAGATTGAAGTTGAAATAGGTCAGTTCCCATTTTCTATAAAACACAAAATAAAACATATTTTGTATCAAAAACCATCATGAATTTGTCGTCTTGTGTTATTTGTTATGCTATGTAAATTTATATTAAATTTCCATGTAAAATGACAGTTTGGAGACTTGGTCCTCACTCGTAACAGGAGCATTGGCATAAGCGTCCTTACCTCAGGTGCAACGAACTGCAATAAGCACAAGTGTAAGAAGAACTGAGAGTTTTATTATGTATTTTAGAGCCTGAAATTCCAATAATACCGGAGGGTGATGATTTGTTTGATGGTGAAAATAACTCTGTGAGTGAAACTAAGGATGGCATCCCCAACTCTAGCATACAACCACCCGAAGTCCCAACCAAATCAAAAGATGCTAGTGAAGGGGACATTAACCCTGAAACTGGAGAAATGGTGCAAGATGAAAAGCATGTTGCTGAAGAGGAGGATCACAAACAAGAATTAATTTTAAGCCTGCCACTGTAAGTTTTCAGAAGCATGCAATCTGTAGTTTTCAATTGTCAAAAACGACTACCATAATTTATAGTGATTTTCTGGGTTTTTGAAGCAACTATTCTAAACATAACATTTAACTTCTCATCAACATTGTGTTTGATTTATATCGTGCTGTGAAAGATATATGATTTCTTCCTACTCACTATTTTACATTATCTTATTTCACATTTATTATAATTTAATTTTTAGAAAACTGTGATCAATAAAGTTTATCGAACAGTGCTGCTGATGAGCTGTCAGGCTATACCATTGGTTATGGATGAAACAAATGCTGTATACTTTCATCGTACAACTGCTGGACCTGTTCCTTTACCATCCTCACTTGAAGAGGCAAATGAAATGATGCCAAATCTTTTTGAATTTGGATCTTTGAATGAAAATGCAACGTTGCTTATGTTAGATCAAGTACTACAAAATGTGTTTCTACCTGCACTAAGTTACAGTGGAACCAGGTATGAGACAGGGACAAATGGGGACTCTACTGGTGAAACAACCCCTCAAAAGGGGACTTCTATGACTGATCCAGCAACTTCTGGTGGCAGGGTTGTCATTCGTGATGAATTTATGATAAACTTGCAAAAATTTGCTAATCACATTGGTCGAACTATGCAGCAGCTTGCTGGAGACATTCATCTTAAAATGCCTGAACTACCATTATGTGACGATATTGTGTTGTTATCGCGTAATCAGGAATTACTGCCTCGTTTAGAGGATACTCTTCATGATTGGCAGATCACAATGGCTTCAGCTTTGGAGCAACAGTTGAACCATACACCTCAAGGTAACGGTACATTGGCTGAGATGGACTTCTGGCGAGAACGAAATGCAACCCTTAGCGCTCTTGTTGAACAATTGAAACGACCGCAGGTCGTCAAAGTTATGGCAATCCTTGCGCAAACGAGTTCTGACAGCCTAGCAACATTTGAATACCACAAAAATGAATTGACTAAGTATTATGTTGAAGCGAAAGATAATGTCCGTTTCTTAATGACGCTGGAGAGACACTTCAAGAATCTTGCTCATGGGGCAAGTTTTAAGGTGATTTTGGAAACAATACCTTCATTGATGAACGCATTAAGAATGGTGTGGATTATCTCAAGACATTATAATCGTGATGAAAGGATGGTACCACTTATGGAAAGAATCGCTTGGGAACTCGCTGAGAGAGTTGCGAAAGTTGTCAATATTCGAACTATATTCAAGTAATTTTCCTCAAAATACATACACCATATTTCTAAATGTTTCGTATTTTTCCAGAAAATGTATGCACAATTTATCGGAAGAATACCTAAAACGATATCTTACTTATCTTACTTATCTTATCTTAATTAATACCTTAATTAGCTGGAAAAAAAATAGTTTGGTGTTGTTTACAACATTAACTAAGAATAATAATAGTAGTTAATAAATAATATTAATAATAATATTTCTTATTCTTTTATAACAATTTCAATTGTGTTTTTTTATTGCTAGGGATTCTCCTGCCTCTATCAAAGCAAAAACATCTGACGCCAAACGTACTTTAATTCTGTGGAAAGAGACCTACTTTGAAACCCGCGCCAAGATTGAAGCTTCTGGCCGCGATGCACGTTGGGAATTCGACAGAAAACGTCTCTTTGAACGAACAGACTACATGGCGACAATATGTGAAGACGTACATGAAGTAGCCCAGGTGCGTACACCGATCCGTGCTGTTCGTCTAGACTTCTATTGTTTCTATGGAAGTTAGCTGTTGCACTAATTTGAAACTTGCCATATAATAAGTTTAGGTACAGTTTGTCGTTTCTTTGAAGCAATCGTGTTCGAATCAAATAACCATTTTTATCTGTCATATCATTGCTTCTTCTGTAAAGCAATTTGTTTCTTCAACATTTTCACGACAGGTGTTGGAAGAATTTTACAACATATTTGGTCCTGAACTAAAGGCTGTCACAGGAGATCCAAAGAGAATCGAAGACGTTGTGAAGCGGGTGGATGGCTTGGTAAAACCTTTGGAAAATGTAAGATATCAGAAATTTGTGCAGTTTGTATAGTTGAATGTTGATTGGTTGTAAGGAAATCAAGAAAAACAAGATAAAAGAGCTGTTCGTAGTGAACGATGGTGTAAAGTTATTATCAATAGAGTTTTGCTCGATGTAATTAGGGTGTTCAATATAGAAAATAGTTTTAATAATCATATAACTTGTTTCGTATGTTTGTTGTGGAACAAATCTCATATGAAAGGATTGACCCTCTCTACCTCCTCATGAAATTTGTAGATGAGGGGAATGAGTAACAGGACTCCAGAATGAATATTAATGTGAATGTGTAGAAAGCATAGAATTTTCAGTTTTTGCTTTCTCTCTCTCTTGATGTCTTAAACAATACGGAACAAAAGGTTTCCATGCACATATGTATGGTTTATATTTTCTTTTCAGGTTAGTTTTGATCCGTTTAGTCTCCGTCACTCATTAAACTGGCGAAATGTCATGGAAAGGTTTCGTCGCGAAGTTGGAGCAATCGAAAACGAAGCAAAGCACTTCATCGACGATTCGTTTCAAACCCTGCGGTCTGCTGAGGGTGCTTTTGATATGTTGCAGAATTTCAAGCATATTCGGTCACGTGACGCGATTAATTCACAAATGATGAGAAAGTTCAACGATATATTACTGCAGTATGGAAAGGAGGTAGGACTGTACATTTTCTCGATAAAAGGAATGGCTATTTATTAGTTAGCCATAATAAATAAAACATTAATAATGCACTTAACACAACATTATAGAAAAGGGATGACCATTCGTTATCTTACCCTTAATCACTACAGTAATCCCCAATATCAATGTGATTATCATAGCATAAAGAAGCATTCATTACATTGTAAAAACTAACACCTTTCATTGCGTCACCTTATAACAACCACCAATTATTACATCACCATAATAACAACCACCATTTATTACATCACCATATTAACCAACATCATAAAGGAAACATAACCTTTCCCTGTCTCATCATGTTAACTACGACATTACTTTGCTATAAAGGAGATATGGTTATGCATCATAATGTCAGAACAGAAAAAAGATTCGCAGTGACTTCATTAATGATGAAATAAAAACGCAGACAAAAGCATTCTTCATTATTTTTTCATTCAACAACACCAGTAGTGTGATACGTCTATTGTGTGTATAAATATTTAACTTTAACTGTAGGTGGATGCCGCTTACGCACTTTTTAAAGCGGGTCACATTTCACCTCCAGTGTACAAGAATCAACCTCCTGTGGCTGGTGCTATTGGTTGGGAAAGATCTTTATTCTATCGTATCAAACACACGATCTTGAGATTTCAGGAAATCGAAGAAATGTTGAACAGTGAAAATGGAAAAATGGTAACTAATTCTAAATTATTAAGATAGATGAGGGTCTGAATTTTTTATCGTCATGAAGTGCTCTTTTGCTTAGATCAGCGGGAAATACCTCTCAATTGCGTGGGTAACACGCAGTCAAAGCTTAAGCATATTTTTTTGTGTAGATCAGCAAGAAATACCTCTCAGTTGCGTGGGTAACACGCAGTCAAAACTTAAGCATATTTTTGTGTAGATCAGCATTTGTGTAGATCAGCAAGAAATACCTCTCAGTTGCGTGGGTAACACGCAGTCAAAACTTAAGCATATTTTTTTGTGTAGATCAGCAAGAAATACCTCTCAGTTGCGTGGGTAACACGCAGTGAAACCTTAAGCATATTTTTTTGTGTAGATCAGCAAGAAATACCTCTCAGTTGCCTGGGTAACACGCAGTCAAAACTTAAGCATATTTTTCTGTGTAGATCAGCAAGAAATACCTCTCAGTTGGCAGGCTTATGAAGCAGTACGAAGATAAGAAATTTGAAATGTGGCGAGAACATGTGGAAAGCCATCTTTTGTCTTATCTCAAACGAAATCTTTTAACCCGACCTGTATGCATCTCTGCGACGACGAGATCCGTGAAGGATGATTCTCCAGCAGAAAATGATATAAAATCGCCTGTATACAGTAAGTGTGACAACTGTCGAGTATGGAATGGTTTTACTTTGAATTCAACTTTAGGAAATTAGCTATTACTATATTCTCGTGATATAGAAGTAAATTATAGCATGACACGACCATACTACACATGTAACTATAAATGTTTAGTGTGTACATACAATGAACATCAACCAATGTTGATTGTTGTAGTGTGTTTAGAATTGGGAATGGGAAAACTTTCTTTACAACAGTGCGTGAAATGTATTTTTGACTTCAGGAAAACAAAAAAATATTTGTATAGTTAAAAGAAAATTATCTTTTTGTAGGCTCTAATTTAAATGTTCAGTATGTTGTCGATTTTTCACCGAAATTATACGAGATCATAACAGAAACAAAGTACATGGAGCAGTTAGGCTTCCACGTCCCTGAACTGGCCAGAAACGTTTCTTTACAGGTAATGCATCCACTCGTATAAAGTGTATAGGAATAAATAGGAAAATATTCAACATTGTTACTTCATCATGACATCATATGTTGTGTAATTTTGTAAATTTAGTATAGTACTTGTTTTCGATGTGTTAATGATTTGTCCAAGTACATATTTTCTTCCACTTGATGGTTAGTTTTGGCGATGATTTTATTATAATGGCAAAAAAACATGTTACGACGCTACGTCATAGTTACCAAGTTACCAATACTTATAGTTTATTTATTTTTACAGGAAGAAAAATTCATCAAACATGTTGATGGTTTAAAACAGATGTTGGCGCAATATCATGCTCTTTTGTCAAATTTGAATCTTCCCGAGGTGAGGTTGCTTTGAAATAAAAAGTTGTTTATAAAGTTGAGAAAAAGTTGCTGAATTTCAGAGCAATTTATGTCTTTTTTTTAATTATATTGCTTATATGGTGAAATATGCGTTAACAAAAACTGAACATAGACATGGGAAACTAAAATTTGAACTCGATGAGATAATTAGTTTCAATCTAGTTCCCAACAACAAAAACATATAATATTACTGCGATAGAGCAAACGTAGCATTGCTAGTTTAATTTTGCTGTTTTAGGATATCGACATGTTTGTTAGAAATCTTTCAATCGTGTATGCAGTTTGTTGCATTTGTAAGGAATTGTTCCATTACCATTTCTATCTAAACAATTGCCGTAAATCATTTGTTATTTGTCATGCTAAATCGTGATTTTCAGTTTTGCATTAATTTTTTCACATTTTTCTTCAGACTCAGTTACTTGATGATCATATCAAACAGTTGAAACGTGTTTTGAAACCAGGCCATAAGAGACTAAATTGGAACTCACTGGGTATCGGGGATTATATCACACGTTGTAATCAGGTATTATAATTATCATTTACGTTCTGCTTACTAGTACATCCATCCTTGAGGATGCCCATGTCATGGAGGATACATATCTGTTCCCATAAGAACTAATGTATCCTCATCGACACATTTTTGTTTTTTTTTGGATCTAATATAAGTTTGACAAATGTAATATTTTTGACACTTGAATTTTTCAAGAATGGCTTTTGCACTTTTAGGCGTTGAGCAAATTTGAATCATTAGTGAACCAAGTTCAGAAGAATGCAAAAGATGTCACTAGTCGCTTGAATCTACTCGAACGAACCGTTTTTTTCCGACGTTATCCATCAAAGTTGACTTCCTCGTTACCAGGCCACAAGGTTTGACACTATTTAATTAAGTCATGTAACAACCTGACTCTCTTAAAATATTCAACAAAATATTCGACGGTGTAGCTTCAATTTGTAAGTTGTCTTTAAAAATTCCTTGTACATGATTCGGCGGGCAGATTATATTTTTTGCAACCTGTAAAATAAACACTTTTTTGCACATTTAATGTTTACTTAAGGAAATTCTTTCAAGATCTTTTTATTTCTTGTCGACCTTTAGTTACTATGAGAAATATTGAAGTTGATCTCAATGTTTTTAGAATGTATACATTACGTATGTATTATCTCATTAGTCAATAGCAATTGCTATAATTTTTCATGCATGCAGTTTTATGCACTCTCTCAGTAAATAACTGTGCTGTTGTCATGAAAAGTGATGTGATATCATCAACATTATAGTGATGGCATTTGTTTATTTTACGCCTAGTAATAAAATTTTTTTTCCACAGGAATATTTTGACCATGTAAGTAGATGTTGTAAGAAGGAGATCGAGACTTTAGTGCGTAAGTATCGTGCTACTGGTCCTCTACTCACCAAAATGGAGGGTCTCGTTGTTCATACCAACACTGGACGGTCACCCAAACTTCATACTTATTACACGTACTGGGAAAACTTGGTATTTCAAGGTCTCACTCGGGTAAGGAATGTATAAGGACTCGAGTTTTAACATGAGGTCACTCATGATATACAAGGACTTGACTTTAACATTGGATTATTCATGAGTGGAGTATAAAAGGACGTGAGTTTTGAGATGAAATAATTAGTCTTTAGTTTAACTTTTTTTAGATGGTTACTCGCAATTTACGATTGTTTTACTCTAAACTTCAATCGAAACAACCGTTATTTCAAGTGGAAACAATCTTGTCAGCACCTGAGATTGTTCTTAACCCATCGGCTGGAGAAATTTTTAAAATAACCTTACAAACCGTTCGAGATTGCGTGGAAAGGTAAAGTTAACGTTCTAAGTGTATGTAGAAAATTATGTATGGATATCCTTCTCTTTTATATTGAAAGTTGAATTTTGTTCTCGGAAGTTGCATCACTTCATTTGTTGTGTTTGTAAGTGCATGTTAATGTTAGTACGAGAAAATGTAGGACAAATGTTGAAGAATGTCTTAGTTGTTCTACATTGTGTATTGTTTTTTTATTTACACCAGTACGAAGATGTTTGTTCGCTGGATGCACGGCACTTGTGTCGAAACCCCACCTCAGCAGACTGAGGGTCAAGATGAGCCCGTGATTATTAGTTTTTTCACGGACATCTCTCACAATCCAGTTGTTATTGAGCTTGTGCAAAATATTTCGAAGAGCGTCCAGAACACACTGGGATCACTTAACAAATTCCTCAGTCGATGGAAACGCTATCGAGTGTTATGGAAACTTGACAAGGTATACAAGTATAGTCCGTACAGTAATCCCATCGTAAATACCCTGAAGTTAGATGTACTCTTTTTTTCTTAGGAAATACATGTGGTTTGTCTAACCATCTTAAAATAATCATTTTACATTTGCTATGCTTACACAATGCTTCATGTTTTAGTCGACCATGGTTGAGAAATTTGCTGCGAAAAATCCATCGTGTATTGCGTATGATGATAAACTGCAGTTTTATTCAAATCTAGCCAATGAGGTGAGTTTTATTCAAATCTAACCAATGAGGTGAGTTTTATTCAAATCTAGCCAATGAGGTGAGTTTTTTAGTTGAGCTTCAGGTGTTCAAAGGTAATATTTTAATATCTTTCAAAACTAGTTGCTTGTAGCTCAAAGTATTTAAAAGTTTCATATTTAGTATACTTTGTTTCATCACGCAAGCCATGAGGAATCACAGAAAAAGAATATTGTTTCGTAAACCGAAATTTTAAATTAAACGTTGTTTGTTTTACGTATGCTTAGGTTTCTTCAAAATGTCATGTCGGTTGATGTAAAATGAATTTATTATTTCTTTCTTTGACCTTAAACAACTGAATGGAAATTTCCTTCGAATCTTCACTGACGTTCACAGTTGGAGCACATGAGCAGAACGTTTGTTTCTTCATATTATCGTATTCTTGTAGGTTGTCAACCAGCCTATGACAAAGGATATTGATTTTGTGCGCCTGCAGTTGGAACCGCTTGCGGTAACTGTGCAGGCAAATGCCCGTGCGTGGGTAAAGGAACTTGGACGACAACTTAATGAGGCTGCAAAGCAAGATCTGATGTCATTGAAAACAGAAATGGAGGTTTGGGCACTAGTTTACTGTGTTAGCTAGGTGCTGAAAGCTTACGGCTAAATAGGAAGTCCGTCCACTGACTCACACAAAACTGGTCGTTTATTGTATTGTTATACAAAATGTATTTTAACCATGTAGAATTTGTCGAATGATTTGAAGCGTGTTCCTGATACTTTAGAAGATTTAAAATTTGTATTGAGAGTGATTGCTAGCATCCGGGATATGTCATTGGATGTTGAACTAAGAATCAAAGATATCCTTGAACGATATAGAACATTGTTGGTTTATGAAATTGAGGTACATATGTATGTATGTATTGTTGATTTAGGAAACTAGTGTACATAACAAATACACCAAAGGATACATATGTTCATAGATTGATGAATGTTGTATTTGTTATTTTATTGTGGATTTTTATCTTTATGTTCTCTTAGGTTCCTGAAGTTGAACTGGAACTTTCAAAGTCAATTGCGCAGATGTGGGATGATCTTTTTATGCAATCAAAGTGGGTAGACGCAAGCTTGGTGTCTGTCAAAGTCAAATTTACTGAGGTAACTTTCATCAAAAATTAAACCTTGTTTGTTGGTAAATGGTAGTAACAAATATTGGTTAGATGCTCTCTGGTTCTGTTATGCCTATGCAAGTTTTGTAATATTTCAAATTCGTAAACTGTGTCGTGTAATACCATAAGTTCAACTTCATTGGATAGTTTTTCACTACTTCGTGGTTAGTTGTAAGTTATTTAGCAGAGTTGATTGTGTAGTAGAGCGCTGCCATGCCTGAAACGTCGTGGTTGCCTAGTTGTAGTGTGCTGCCATACCTTAAACGTCGTGGTTGCCTGGTTGTAGTGTGCTGCCTTGCCTGAAACGTCGGGGTTGCCTGGTTGTAGTGTGCTGCCATGCCTGAAACTTCGTGGTTGCCTGGTTGTAGTGTGCTGCCATACCTTGAACTTCGTGGTTGCCTGGTTGTAGTGTGCTGCCATACCTTGAACTTTGTGGTTGCCTGGTTGTAGTGTGCTGCCATACCTTAAACTTTGTGGTTGCCTGGTTGTAGTGTGCTGCCATACCTTGAACTTCGTGGTTGCCTGGTTGTAGTGTGCTGCCATACCTTGAACTTCGTGGTTGCCTGGTTGTAGTGTGCTGCCATACCTTAAACTTTGTGGTTGCCTGGTTGTAGTGTGCTGCCATACCTTGAACTTCGTGGTTGCCTGGTTGTAGTGTGCTGCCATACCTTAAACTTTGTGGTTGCCTGGTTGTAGTGTGCTGCCATACCTTGAACTTCGTGGTTGCCTGGTTGTAGTGTGCTGCCATACCTTGAACTTCGTGGTTGCCTGGTTGTAGTGTGCTGCCATACCTTGAAACTTCGTGGTTGCCTGGTTGTAGTGTGCTGCCATACCTTGAACTTCGTGGTTGCCTGGTTGTAGTGTGCTGCCATACCTTGAACTTTGTGGTTGCCTGGTTGTAGTGTGCTGCCATACCTTAAACTTCGTGGTTGCCTGGTTGTAGTGTGCTGCCATACCTTGAACTTCGTGGTTGCCTGGTTGTAGTGTGCTGCCATACCTTGAACTTTGTGGTTGCCTGGTTGTAGTGTGCTGCCATACCTTAAACTTCGTGGTTGCCTGGTTGTAGTGGGCTGCCATAGATTGAACTTCCAATCCGTTGATTGTTGGCCTATAGGAAAACTGAGTGAAAATTTATTGAAATTTTTAGTTTCATTTTACATTTTTATATTGAATTTTAGATTACACAAGACCAAGTTTCAGTGTTCTCTACTGACATTGCGAAATTAGAAGAGAAGTTTATTGAATTTGGTCCTAGTTCTGTTGGTGCTGATTTGGATAAAGGTAGGGAAATGTTAAAGCTGAATAGAATTATTATAACTCGTTTACAAGAATAGATTTCGAAGAAAAATTTTTTGTAGAGATCATCTCCAAAGTTGCAGTAAATAGTATAGAAAAGCGTACTTTTGGATCATTTTAATAATCTTGAACTTGTCTCAATTACAGCGTATCAATGAAGACAGTTGTCATTATGTATGCTGTTTGCATTATTTATATTGAATTTGTTGATACCCTAGGAGTTGAGTTATTAAAAGATTTTAAAGAAGAATTCATGAAATTTGAGAATGAACGACAGGAACTTGCTAATGCAGAGAAATTGTTTGGTATTCCTGTAACATCCTATCCTGCCATGATGAAGATGGAACAAGAGTTGAATGGATTGGAACAAGTATTTTCGATATACGAACGTCAAAAGGTACGGATGAACTCAATAAGGCTCGTATTTGAACCTTGCTTCCAGATCCTTTCGTTTGCTTGGAACAATATTTTTATTTTCATTAATGGAGCTTAGGATTTTGTAGTTTGCGATACATAGAGAGACAAGTTAGTTACGTCGACGATAATCCTAACATTAACATTCATTACTACTGACGCATCTTTTTCATAATTGGTTCGTAATTCTGCAATGATGATTGCATTCATTGTAAAATTTTAAACTTGGATTGCATGGATTAGAATTTTGTTTAACGAAAGTGTCATTTTATAAGACTTGGACACGAAGCGAAGGAACTTTGACGGTATCTTTCAACGTTAAACGATTTTCTTTTATTTTTGATTTTTCTAAGGTGAAACTGCATAGTCCAAAACTTTTTATGTAAAGCTCACTTTACAAACATTTGTTGTATGTTAAAGTTTGTTTTCGTTTTCTATTTACCGTGATCCTTTCAATTTGAAAGACGTTATGAAAAATTGGTTTGTTTCATGGAGTTCTAAGTCTGCTTTAAACTGTAATATTACGATGGCGAAACTGCACGCTTAATGTTTTCATTTTCATTTTTTCTCAGGCTGCAAGAGATGAATGGTCCAACACATTATGGGCTAACCTAGATGTAAACGTCTTGTCTGGTGGCATTGATGCTTTTACAAAAGAATTAAAGAGACTACCTCGACAAGTCAAGGCATTGCCCGTATGTCAAATTTTGGAGGAGAAAATGAAGGAATTCAAAGATTCAATTCCTCTCTTTTCCGATTTAAAGAATGAAGCGCTCAGAGAAAGGTGACTGACCATGAATGGATAGATGATGTAGTTTTTCTGTTGTCTTTTAGGTCTTGTTTATTCTTGCTGCATATTGACGTAAACCGTGACAGTGATACGGGCAAGTTTTTCATTTTGTTCTATTTATTTTGCAGACATTGGAAGAAATTAATGGAATTGACTGGGATGAAGTTTGACTTAAATCCGGAAACGTTCACGCTGCAAAATATGTTTGCAATGGAATTGCATCGTTTTAGTGAAGTCATTGCAGATATAACTAGTAGTGCCACGAAAGAATTGAGTATTGAGAAAGGTACGTTAAATTTTACGACGAAGGCTTTAAATAATGAATGCTTTATTTACAAGATCATTGCAGAGTCAAGATAGCATAAGCTTGCTAGTTCAAATTAATGGGATTTTTTTGAGCTAGTAATTTCTATTGATTGATACTGGGAAAGTTTAATGGTATAAAATTCACGAACATTTTCATAATTCATCTCTCATAACGCGTCATGGATTTATGGTTAATTTTGTAGAAATGTCAGCATTGTATATCGTCATCTGTGCTTATATTTTTGCGTATATGCAATGAATGCAATCTTGGGTACAAAGTGTAGCTTATTTTCCCAATAAACAAAATGGTTTTTTGCTGTTAATTGTTCATTAGGCATGAACGAGGTGTCTGACACTTGGGGTAACATGAAGTTTACTGTATTGAAGTACATGAAAGGCACCCAGGAGCGTGGCTTCATCATCGGTGCTGTCGATGAAATCTTACAAATCCTTGATGATAATGCGATGAATCTCCAAAGCATGTCAGCATCGCGTTTTGTGGGACCTTTCTTGGAGTCTGTGAACAAGTGGGAGAAAAACCTATCTCATATCGGAGAAGTTGTTGAAGTAGGGACACCATTATTTATTGCTTCTGAATCCGGTGACATTTCTTTTTATTTGAGAAATACGTATCCTCGCATTTTGAATGTTTGTCCTTTGCACTTTAAAAGATGAAATAGCTGAATACTTTTTCACTAGAAGATTGTGAATGCTTCATTTTCAAGGAATTCAAAAATGAAGTTGTGATTTCTAAACTTTAATATTTTAATATTTTAAGTTTTATTGTCATTTCATCAAGGTTTGGATGGTCGTCCAACGGAAGTGGATGTATTTGGAAAGCATTTTCATTGGTGGAGATATTCGTTCCCAGTTACCGGAAGAAGCCAAAAAGTTTGATGGAATTGATAAGACGTTCAAAAAGGTTCAATACTTCGTCGTAATTGATGTTGTTTATCCTCTCTAAGGATTTGTATTTTGTCAATTTGTTTACTTCACGTAGATCATGACAGACACTGCAAAGAACTCAAAAGTTCTCGACTCTTGTCATGCGGCTGGAAGACTGGAAACGATGCAGAACTTGGTCAATGGTCTGGAAAAATGTCAAAAAAGTTTGAATGATTATCTTGACTCGAAACGTAATGCTTTCCCCAGGTTTTTCTTTATATCTGATGACGAGCTTTTGTCCATTCTTGGAAGCCATGATCCAACTTGCGTTCAAGAGCATATGATTAAGGTGAATAGGTGATAAAAAATGTATTTTTTGCTCATCACATTGCTCTTGATGTAACTCTTGATTTTCAATATCACGATGCGATATAACAAACATCACTTTTTTTCTCTTTTAGATGTTTGATAACATTTCCAGTTTGCGTTTTCAAGAGGGTTCATCTCATGAAACTGTGGCAACGGCAATGATTTCAAGTGAAGGAGAAACAATGGAGTTTAGACAAGCCATTGTTACTGAAGGAAGAGTCGAGGATTGGATGACAAATGTCCTGAACGAGATGAGACGAACCAATCGACTTATCACGAAAGAAGCCATTTATAAATACTGTGATAACATGGAGAGGTGTGTGAGTGTGGGATTTGTTTATTTTGATTTTCTGGTTGGTTTTGAACTTATTTCGTCATCGAGCTCTTATAAACACTAGTTTTGTCTTTCTGTTAAGTATTGTACTTTTGATATGATCTAATGTTATAACTTTCTGTCTTCGTTAGGAGCAATCTAATGCTGAAAGCTAAATTTTTGTGTTTCTCTAGCTAGTTTTCTTCTTTCTAAACGATGTCTTAGAAAGTTATTATCTGTACGATTGATCTTAGAAACTTCGTTTTGTAAAGTTGAATTTCGCTGAAACAGGTTAAATGTTGTGTTTTTTTGTTTTTATATATACATAACTGTTTTTCTGTTTGCTCATTAGGGTCGACTGGATGTTATGTTATGAAGGTATGGTAGTTTTGGCTGGAAACCAAGTTTGGTGGACATGGGAGGTCGAAGATGTGTTTCAGAAAGTAAAAAAGGGAGACAAAAAGGGGATGAAAAACTACGCTAGAAAAATGCACAAACAAATCGATGAACTTGTCGTGAAAGTTAGTAAGAGAAATTTTGATCGTTTTTCGCAAATATACGATAGATATTATTATTAAATTTTAAATATCGACTCAAGTATGTTATGCGTATTTCGGAGAACATTCTAATATTTAGTGTTGTCAATTTTCGTTTAATTTTAGGTTCGTTCAAACTTAACAAAAAACGATCGAAAGAAATTCAACACTGTATTAATTATTGAAGTACATGCCCGTGATATTATTGATCGATTCGTCAGAGATAGGTATAATTTGAAGTACATGCCCGTGATATTATTGATCGATTCGTCAGAGATAGGTATAATTTGAAGTACATGCCCGTGATATTATTGATCGATTCGTCAGAGATAGGTATAATTTGAAGTACATGCCCGTGATATTATTGATCGATTCGTCAGAGATAGGTATAATTTGAAGTTATCATTTCATAACGCTTTGGGAGGGATGTTTATAGAGAAAGCGTTATGTTGGGGACAGTGTATACGACTCAACGTAAAGTTAGAGGAAGGGTGAAGAGAAGTGAGACTGCATGGAACATTTGGAGTTTACTATGTACAAAATCTGTGAAGTAAGGCATAGAGATTAGAGAACTAGTTGTACTATATGAAATAATTGGGAAGGAAACATGTGTTGTACATTTGGCGTAGGAAATGGAAAACAAAGAAAATATACGTAGTACGAACAATTTATAAAATATATGGATGATGTTGGAGATTTTCTAGCAATATATGACAAAGTATCTGTGAAATATTGGTAAAAAATTCCTTTGTCTTTAGTTTATATGTCACCGTAGAGGTTAAATGTACTTACATCTCTGCTTTGACGTTTTCAGTATCATGGATACACGTGAGTTTGAGTGGGAAAGCCAATTACGTTTTTACTGGGACCAACTTCCTGACAACCTGACAGTCAGACAATGCTCAGGAGAGTTTGGTTATGGTTATGAGTACATGGGACTCAATGGTCGTCTTGTGATTACTCCTCTTACAGACAGAATATATCTCACTATAACACAGGTATGGAGCCTGAACATACGTAACTCCCGCTAATCTCTATACCATTTTTAGTTTGTATCTTTTCTGATTGTGAACGTGAATTCTACACCCATATCAACTATGTTGTCAACATTAGTAATATATTTACGTACTGATTGTTGAACAGGCTCTTTCGATGTACTTGGGAGGGGCTCCTGCAGGACCTGCCGGTACTGGTAAAACAGAAACAACGAAAGATCTCGCCAAGGCTCTAGGCTTGCTTTGTGTCGTTACGAACTGTGGGGAAGGCATGGATTATAAGGTATAACCGTTGGAAAAATAGTACACTGCTTATAGTATTTCTGACCGTTAGATTATATCACAAACGTACAAAATAATATTTGTAATAAACGCTTAATTACATAGCTACTTTTTCTACTTTGTTTAACTGTTAGGTAAACGTCGACACATCAGCTGAACCTCAATATTTGTTTGTAAAATGAACCATATGTAAACAAATCTATGTATTGTCGCATCGAATGTTTTGATTGTATTTTCATACAATGTATATCTTGTGTTTCAGTCAATTGGCAAGATCTTTTCTGGTCTCGCTCAATGTGGGGCTTGGGGATGTTTTGATGAGTTCAACCGTATTGACGTCTCTGTCTTATCAGTCATTTCAACTCAGATTAAAACCTTGCAGAATGCTTTAATACACAATTTAAAAAAGATCCAGGTATTGGTTTGCTGTCTGTATCTTTATTACTTATGATGTCATTTGAAATAATGCCTGTTTGTACTTATGTTTTTGTAAGTGCGAAATTTTTACAAAACATCATGGTAGTAACGGTTTAGTACCACCTTACTTAACATCTGATATGTTTCTCTAATGGTTTCACAGTATAAATTAAATTCTTATCATATTTTAAATCGTTAATATATTTTCTGTTGCCTCCAGTTTGAAGGAACAGAGATCACGATGGATTCTCGTATGGGTATATTTATAACTATGAACCCAGGATACGCCGGTCGTACTGAGCTACCAGAGAGTGTCAAAGCTTTGTTTAGACCAGTTGTGTGTATTGTACCTGATCTGCAACAGATTTGTGAAATTATGTTGTTCTCTGAAGGTTTCCTATTGGCTAAGGTAGGATTTTAACAGCCCGTGTCTCTCGTTTGATGAAGGTGCTGCTGCGCATGCGTACTCTTATAGATTTTATATTTTAAATGGTTTAATTCTTAGCAAGAGACAGTATTGCGGTGAATGCCGTGGTGACTCACTTTGTATTCAATATTTGAAAACAGTTTTTCTGATCATTTTTTTTCACATTTCTGATTAGGTTTTGGCGAAGAAAATGACAGTTCTGTACAAACTGGCTGCTGGTCAGTTATCAAAACAGTCTCATTACGACTTCGGTTTACGGGCTTTGAAATCCGTCTTGGTCATGGCCGGTGAATTGAAGAGAGGTTCTCCCAATCTTCATGAGGTATCTTTATTAGAATTTGGTCAAACTTGAGTTTTGGGAGGTAAAATTGATAAAGTATGTATAGACATGAGAATTTATGCAATAAAATTCCAGTATGAGATCACTCCTGAGTAATGAACTAGATTTTAGTAAATAAAAATTAAATTTTCAGTGTACATATGTAAGGACTAAAGGCTCATCCTCAGATCACTTTATGAATGCATTATGATAAAGCAATGTATTCATGAAATCCTGCTATACATTAAATAGAAACTTTTAGTGATGTGTCCTCCTTTATTTTTTTCTTATTTATGTATTTATGACCATCTTTCCTGACTAGGATGTCGTTCTCATGAGAGCTTTACGTGATATGAATTTACCCAAGTTTGTTTTCGAAGACGTGCCGCTCTTCCTTGGTCTGATTGCTGACTTGTTCCCAGGTCTCGATTGTCCACGAGTAAGATATCCCAACTTTAACGACGCTGTTGAAGCTGTCTTGGTTGACAATAAATACGTTCTTCTGCCTCATCAGGTATCCATCAAAACAATGTCATTGGTGATTCCTTATATTTAACTAAGCCCTCACGGCATTGATTATTTTCAAGTCTCGTGTGTAGTATCTCAAATACGCAGTAACATAGAGTTTTTTGTTTTGACTTGGAAATTTCTATCAGCAATCAATTGCTTAACATATTTACAAGATTATTATAATTTCTACAATGGTTTTTCTTCGTTTAGGCTGACAAGGTTGTTCAAATGTACGAGACAATGTTAACTCGACACACGACAATGATCGTGGGACCAACTGGTGGAGGTAAAAGTGTCGTGATCAACACGTTGGCTCAAGCACAAACGAGGTTTAATTTCTATCTTCCAACTTACGTTTCTTTCCTTTTTGTTGTATGTTTGAGTTGTTGATTTTCATGATTGATTATTAGTGTTTAAAACAAATTTTGACCTTACCTTTTACTTTTAAAACAAAGACATAGTTGTTGTGGTAACAAAGTTAAATATCGCTCTTTTAAGAAATGCTCAATTTTTGTTCACCGTGACAATTACGCTATTCAGAGCATCACCTAAGATGTCTCATGTCTATTTCCATTGATCTTTTTAAGACTTGGTATTCCTACTAAGCTTTACACACTTAACGCTAAAGCTTGCTCCGTTATTGAGTTGTATGGTACACTTGATCCGGTGACACGCGACTGGACTGACGGTTTACTATCTTGTATATTCCGCGACATCAATCGTCCCACGGAGAAAAATGAACGCAAGTACATTGTGTTTGATGGAGATGTTGATGCATTATGGGTGGAAAATATGAACTCAGTTATGGATGATAATAAACTGCTCACTTTGGCCAATGGCGAACGAATACGATTACAAAAACATTGTGCGCTGCTCTTTGAGGTGAATGTTACTTTTGTCACTGGTATGTTTTAACTGGAATGTTGTACTTCATTAGGCTGTGTTGTACTTCTTTAGGCTTCTTTAGGCCAAGTGTTTAAGCTATTGAAGAAGACTTACATTGAATGAATAGTGTCTGTATGAGCTAAAACCCTATGTTACCTAACTTTTCCGTCACTTTCTACGTGTATTTTTTTCTTTTCGTAGGTTGCCGATTTGCGGTACGCTTCACCAGCGACGGTTTCACGCTGTGGTATGGTCTACGTGGACCCTAAGAATCTTGGTTATTTACCTTACTGGACCAAATGGTGCGAGGCAAGAGCAAACAAAAATGAACAGGTTGAACTCAATGAATTGTTTGAAAAATATGTTGCATCGAGCATTGATCTTATTCTGGACGGTGTGATGGATGGAAAACAGGGAAAGAAGTTAAAGAGCATCATACCAATGACCAACTTGAATATGGTAACTTAAATAGAAAAAAGAATTGTTGTTTATTTAAAATGCCTAATGACCTTTGTGTTGAATTCTGACATGGTTATACGCACATAATAAACACGTGGCTTACGTGAGATTTGAAAGATAATTATTCCTATGGAACCATTATTAAACTAAAACTGAGAAGTTCTTTTTAACTGCCTATTTAACAATTTTTAAGGCATTATTTATAAATAAGCTCACAATAATTTGATAAAAAGAAGAATTATAAGTGGAGATGTGTACAAGTATTTAAAAATTCACTGGCGAATTCTTGAGTTGCTGCATCTCTGTTGAGTTTTATACTTGCACTAAGCTACGATATTTTACCCTCATTAGGTCACTCAACTTTCGAAGATGCTCGACGCCCTTTTACCGACAGAAAGTGGATGTACCGTTAGCGCTGAGATATTGGAAGGTCTCTTTATAACTTCAATTATTTGGTCTCTGGGTGCGGGTCTTCTTGAAGATGATCGCGTTGTATTCGACGGCTATATCAAACGGCTCTCTGGTCTTCCCCAGAACCCCACCGAAGGAAGTGTTGTTGGACCAGGTGAACTGCCCACCGCTTATTCCACTCTTTACGAGTACTACTTTGATTCAAAAGCAGAAAAGTGGATAGCATGGCATGATATCGTCCCACAATACAATCACGATCGTTCGGTCAAGTTCAGTGAGATATTAGTACCTACTCTCGACACGGTCCGTACCACGTGGCTTCTCTCTCTAATGGTTAATATCAAGAGACCAGTCGTACTGGTCGGGGAAACTGGGACTTCAAAAACAGCAACAACGGCAAATTTTCTACGTAATTTGGACAACGATACGACGGTATGTATGAGAATAATGAAAATGTTGTGATTAAAGAGTAAAGTGCAAAAACTGATCAAATCAATGTTATCGATCTCTTTATACTTATGTCATAGCGAGGATGGTACATAAGAAATCAAGTTACTTGTTCTCCCTATACTTATATAGTTTACTATTAGTCATTGACTTGATGAGAATCCTATAGGCCTGTGCTATTGCTTGTAAACGTGAATAAAGTTCCTTATACTTCAAGCAAAATCCTTTCTCATTTGTAGCTTTTGTTAAATATAAACTTCTCATCACGAACCACGTCAATGGACGTTCAACGTAATCTAGAAGCAAATGTTGAGAAGCGAACAAAAGATACATATGGGCCACCGATGGGCAAGAGACTACTGGTGTTTATGGATGATATGAATATGCCACAGGTCAGCTCATTTCTGATCTATATTGTAAATTAAGTTACAATGCTTCATAGTTCATGTTTTGTATGAATCATTTGAAGAATCTTTATTCCCTCCCCCTCCCCCCCGACACGGATGTTGATTATAAAGTGCGTATCCCTTTGTTTTGTTTATGTAGGTAGACGAGTACGGAACGCAACAGCCAATTGCTTTGCTAAAATTACTATTGGAACGAGGTGGTATGTACGACAGAGGAAAAGAACTTAATCTTAAACACTACAGAGATATTGGTTTTATTGCTGCTATGGGAAAGGTACGTATGCTGCATGACATAACTTGAGCATTGATTTTTACAGGGTGGGGGAGAGAAGTACACGAATCTGCCCTTTTCCAAAGAGTAATATTTTTACTAAAAGCTGGACAGACAAGTATTTTTCACGGTCGAGGAAATTGTTTTGCTTTCATGCTGTTATAGATGACTTCCTAAATTTATTGCCAGTTTGCTTGTAACATTCCAAATTGTATTTAGGTACTTTTCTTACATGAAGTATGGTCTTTCTCTTTAGCCTGGTGGTGGTCGTAACGAAGTTGACCCGAGGTTCATATCGTTATTTAGTGTATTTAACGTCACATTTCCGTCCAAAGAGTCTCTCACGAAGATCTATTCGTCTATCCTCGATGGTCATCTTCAACCTTTTTCTAAGGAGGTTATAGGATTGACTGATGCGATAACCTCGTCAACTTTAGATCTCTATGCAAAAATTGTACAAAATCATCCCCCTACACCGTCTAAGTTCCACTACATCTTCAATCTGCGTGACCTCTCACGTGTGTACCAGGGATTGTGTTTGACAGTGCCTGATCGCTTTGAGAATGCGAGTCAATTCGTCCGTGTTTGGAGAAACGAATGCTTACGGGTGTTTCACGATCGTCTTACAAATGCTGTTGATAAGGCTGCCGTACAGGTTTGGAATTATACATTTATAAAATGCTCATCGCATCACGAAAATATATTCTCACTTTATAAATCTTATTTCTTATTTTATCTTTACATTTTCCCTCGTTTTGAAACAATGTTAGACATTTTACACTGATATCCCTTGTCTCTAAGGTTAAAACTCTAATGTTGTCTAATCATTATCCAAATTACTTTTCAAACCAGCTTTCTCTCTCTCTCTCTCTCTCTCTCTCTCTCTCTCTCTCTCTCTCTCTCTCTCTCTCTCTCTCTCTCTCTCTCTCTCTCTCTCTCTCTCTCTCTCTCCACCAAATATTTATTGTTTTGTCATTCCTTAAGAAATAGAATGATGTCATACTTATGATGTCATACTTATGTTATAGGGTTATATTAACGGTCTCTTGGAGGAGAAATTTTCCTCTCATCTTGATTTTGTGTTACGTGAACCCATCTTATTTGGTGATTATCGAAATTCACTGACAGGCGAGATTCGTGTCTATGAAGACATTGTCGACTATGAAGCATCGAAAGCTGTTTTTGAAGAGGTTAAAATATAAAATTCCTGATGTCCACTGAGAGTTTATCATAGGGATCTTTCATACTGCACATACTAAATAATTTGAATGAAGTAACGGTCTCCAACTTTAACATTACTTCACGTAGAGACAGCCGACTGAACAATATACAACTCACTTTTGAGTACTTTGTGATTTGTGATGAAAACTCTCAACTGAAGTATGTAAGAACTCAAGTTTTAGCATCAGTTTTAACTATTAAACCTTAAAAAGAATTCAAACTTTATAAAGACTTCAATGGGTACATACGCAAATGATTGATTGTAGTCGACCATTACGCGTAATATTTTAATATTTTTTGTTTAGATCCTTGAAGAATACAACGTGGATCACACTGTCATGAATCTTGTTCTATTTGATGATGCCTTGGAGCATCTAACCAGAATTCATCGTGTCATTCGCATGAGTCAAGGCCATGCACTACTAGTTGGCGTTGGAGGCAGTGGTAAACAGAGTCTAACTAGACTGGCGGCGTTTGCTGCTGGTGCTGAAATATTTGAGATAACACTTAGTCGCGGTTATGATGAGTCAAACTTCCGTGATGACCTTAAAGTCTTGTATCAGAGACTGGGCATTGAAAATAAACAAATTGTCTTTCTCTTTACCGATGGACATGTAGCACAAGAAGGTATGCATAAAAATGTATTTACTATGATATTTTCACGACCATAATTTGAATAAATAGTCGCTTGGACAGCTTTGCTTTTGTGATTGAAATATTTGTGATAGCATGAAATCCCTGTGTTGATCATCATAGGTTTTCTTGAATTAATCAACAATATGTTGACCTCTGGAATGGTTCCTGCCCTGTTTCCTGACGATGAAAAAGAGGCCATTATCGGGCAGGTATAATCACTTACGTCTATTTTTTATACATTTGTTTGTTGTGCTTTGTATGAGGATAGCGTTATCCACGCACCATACTTTAAAACTTTAGAAAGATACGGGGGTTTTTTTTGATAAGACAAACCGTCCTAACTTTACAGAAATTAGGTATACCAACTTGCTTCTTTCTCCACACAGATTCGTGATGAAGCAGGCCAGCACGATGTTCCGCCATCACGAGAATCCATTTGGCAATACTTCATGTCAAAATGTGCTAAAAATCTTCATATCGTGCTAGCAATGTCCCCCGTTGGTGAAACATTACGTACGCGATGTAGAAACTTTCCGGGACTTGTTAATAACGCTAGCATTGATTGGTTCATGCCGTGGCCAAAACAGGCCTTGTGTGCTGTCGCCTCAGTCTTCTTAGGGGAACAGGTAGGAAGTTGTGTCAGTGGTGTGTGTTGGAATTAAACAAATACTCAAGCCATTGTCAGTCGTTACATAGTTTTTTATTTATGAAAAAGTTGGTGATCAAAAACTCTGTAAATTTTGTAAACGAAATGGTCTAACATATACAAGTTTTAATTTTTTAGTGCAGTGTATTCAACGTTATTTTTCATCGTTCACTCTTTCTCCTTTAGAATGACAAAATTCCCAAGGAGTATCGTGATTGCGTCGTTGATCACGTGGTGTTTGTTCAGGAGACTGTTGTCAATTACAGCAAAGAGTTTCTTTTGAAGTTACGACGAGTGAATTACGTCACTCCAAAAAATTATCTCGACTTTATTAATACTTATAACAAACTTCTCGAAGAAAAGGATAAATATGTACTAGAACAGGTAAAGCACATCAGTTTATTAATTATTACATATTGGTGAATCATGCTTTCCTTTTCACGTATTCACAGCAGCAAACAATGCATTATGTCTAATAGCACGTCATTGCTAACGAAAGCATTTTTTTCTAATCTGCACGAAAAACTCTACGATTTACATCAACAAACATGCAACGATACTCCCTGGTTCAAACCATTTATTTTGTGACGGTATTTGTATGCAAGACTTATAACTTGCAAAATGCTTTTTAACTACATTTTTATCTTTGTTGCTTTAACATTGTGTGTTTACTTCTGTGACAAATAAAGTAGATTTTAAAGTGAACGAGGACTTTACAACCTATAATCATGGCAGTATTCATAGTCAAAAAGCGTCCATCTTAAATTAGTAATAACAACCGTTTTTTACCCTTATCGCTGATCCACTTTTCTGCATCCCGTTCTCATTAACCCTACTAATGTAGCACACATCACACTCATATAGACCCCAAATTACATAGATAGCATGCCAGTTGACAATGTCTAGTTGTAATTGATCTTCTTCTTGTTATTAGTGCCATCGTTTGGATGGAGGGCTAAGCAAACTATTGGTAGCCAGTGATCAGTTAGTTGAACTTAACGAGAAGTTGGCAATACAAAAGGTTGCTGTGACAGAGAAGAGCGAGGCCTGTGAACGACTTCTGGCTGTGATCTCCGAGAACACAGAGAAGGCCATCGAAAAGAAACAAATGGCTGAAGCAAAGAAGGAAGAAATAGCTGAACAGAACAAACTTATTGTAGTTGAGAAGGTGGGATAATTTACTTATTGATATTGTCTTTGCGTAGAGTTATCTGGGTTTTGTCTCGTACCTTCAAAAAAGCGCTTTGTTGACGGGTAAATATGATGATAGCTATAAGTACTCATAATTTATCGTTTCTGTACTACAATGTACCTCACTTGAAAATAATAACAATTTTAGAGAGAACATAATCTGAACTAATCTTTTCTGCCTTACAGAAAGAAGCTGAAGATGCTTTGGCTGAAGCTTTGCCAGCTCTAGAGGAAGCTAAATTGGCTTTACAGGATTTGGATAAATCTGATGTTACCGAAATCAGGTACAGTTGAAGATTTATCTTTTTTTTTCAAACCAATTCACACAAATTAGTGTGGTTTTCTTTCTTATTTTCAAAGATCATTTGCAAAGCCACCACAAGCTGTGCAAGATATTTCAGAATGCATCGTTGTCATGCGAGGCTACAAGGATATTTCGTGGAAAACAGCCAAAGGAATGATGGCAGAAGGCAACTTTTTGAAAACTTTGCAGGTACGCGACTTTATCCCGTAGTAATAATACTGTCAGAAGATTCTGTTCCTTCTTACAATTATTAAATGTTATTTTCTACAGGAATTGGATGTTGATGGAATAACTAGTGCTCAAGTGAAGAAAACAAAAGACATTTTGAAACAGTCCAATTATAGCATGGATGAAATGCAAGCAATTAGTAAAGCTGGAGCGGGTCTGTACAAGTTTGTATTGGCCGTTATGGGATATTGTTCCGTAGCTAGAGAGATTAAACCCAAGCGAGAAAAGGTATGAGATCTTAATGGACCGACGTCAATCTTTTATCTGTCTCTACATACGAACTTATATCTCTAAATACCAACTTCCATCTCTATGAACCATCCTCATTCTCTTCATATCAACCTTGAGATCTATCGATCAACCCCCATCTCTATGAACCCACCTCGAGATCTATGAAGCAACGTCTATCTCTATGAACCATCCTCATTCTCTTCATGTCAGCCTTGAGATCTATCGACCAACCTCCATCTCTATGAACCAACCTCGAGATCCATGAACCAACCTCGAGATCTATAAACCAACCTCCATCTCTATGGACCAAGCTTTTCACATAATTTCATTTACAGGTGGCGAGACTTGAACGCAACTTTTTGCTGAGCAAACGTGAGTTGAGCAAGATCGAAAAAGAATTAAAGAATTTAGAAGATGAATTAAAGGCATTGAATGATAAATATGAGGCGGCCATGTCAGAAAAAGCGGCGTTACAACAAGAAGCCGAGATCATGGAGAGACGATTAATTGCTGCTGATAAACTCATCTCCGGCTTGGGCTCTGAGAAAATAAGGTTGAAGTTTCAAAATCACATCTTTCGTAACGAAGAATCATTATTAAAATATTCAAGATCTTAAGTTTAAGCATCAGGTCATCTTGAAAAACTTGGGACTCACTAGCAGATTAAAATATTCAAGTTCTTAAGTTTAAGTATCAGGTCATCTTGAAAAACTTGGGACTCACTAGCAGATTAAAATATTCAAGATCTTAAGTTTAAGCATCAGGTCATCTTGAAAAACTTGGGACTCATTAGTAGATTAAAATATTCAAGATCTTAAGTTTAAGCATCAGGTCATCTTGAAAAACTTGGGACTCATTAGTAGATTAAAATATTCAAGATCTTAAGTTTAAGCATCAGGTCATCTTGAAAACTTGGGACTCATTAGTAGATTAAAATATTCAAGATCTTAAGTTTAAGCATCAGGTCATCTTGAAAACTTGGGACTCACTAGCAGATTAAAATATTCAAGTTCTTAAGTTTAAGTATCAGGTCATCTTGCTTGGGACTCATTAGCAGATTAAAATATTCAAGATCTTAAGTTTAAGCATCAGGTCATCTTGAAAACTTGGGACTCATTAGTAGATTAAAATATTCAAGATCTTAAGTTTAAGCATCAGGTCATCTTGAAAACTTGGGACTCATTAGTAGATTAAAATATTCAAGATCTTAAGTTTAAGCATCAGGTCATCTTGAAAACTTGGGACTCATTAGTAGATTAAAATATTCAAGATCTTAAGTTTAAGCATCAGGTCATCTTGAAAACTTGGGACTCATTAGTAGATTAAAATATTCAAGATCTTAAGTTTAAGCATCAGGTCATCTTGAAAACTTGGGACTCATTAGCAGATTAAAATATTCAAGATCTTAAGTTTAAGCATCAGGTCATCTTGAAAAACTTGGGACTCATTAGCAGATTAAAATATTCAAGATCTTAAGTTTAAGCATCAGGTCATCTTGAAAACTTGGGACTCATTAGTAGATTAAAATATTCAAGATCTTAAGTTTAAGCATCAGGTCATCTTGAAAAACTTGGGATTCATTAGCAGATTAAAATATTCAAGTTCTTAAGTTTAAGTATCAGGTCATCTTGAAAAACTTGGGACTCACTAGCAGATTAAAATATTCAAGTTCTTAAGTTTAAGTATCAGGTCATCTTGAAAAACTTGGGATTCATTAGCAGATCATTTCTTAGGGACTTCAATAAGAACTTGAACATGACTGTTGATGAAAAAACTACATATCTAAGGAGTAAAATTTTAATATCTCATAACTCCTTATGAAGACTGCAAAACGTTTGAGTTTCTGCTTGTAGCAATCACTGCATTCATTGCTATCTATTTTGATTCGTGTGAATGATTCGTTTGTGTTATATTTATTTAGATGGACTGAAGATTTAGAAGAACTAAAACGTAAACGTGTACGATTGATAGGAGATTGCCTTCTTGCTGCGGCGTTTCTCAGTTATCTTGGGGCTTTTAGTTGGGACTTTAGACGCGAAATGCTTAGTGATGAATGGGAAAAAGATGTTGTGAAACGGGAGATTCCACTCAGTCAACCATTCAAGGTTTAATTTTGCTTTAAATGATGATACTTACAACTTATTTTCTACATATTTTCCATTTCAACCGTATTCTGCCAAGTTACTCTCTATAAAGGCACTCGTAATGTGATATGTATGTAAAATATTATTTTAGATAGATGACCTGTTAACCAATGAAATATTATTTTAGATAGATAACCTGTTAACCAATGAAATATTATTTTAAATAGATAACCTTTTCACCAATGAAATATTATTTTAGATAGATAACCTGTTAACCAATGACGTTGAGATTAGTCGGTGGACATCGGAAGGTCTCCCCGATGAACTTTCAATTGAAAATGGTATATTAACAACACAAGCCAGCAGGTATCCATTGTGTATTGATCCACAACAACAAGCGTTAAATTGGATCAAGAAGAAAGAAGAAGAAAATAACTTGAAGGTAAAAAGTAGATAATCGCTGAAGCAAAGAACACATTGAACTAGGAAAAATATCTAAATACTTAATTGAAAAATAATTGTTGAATGTTGCATGCGGAGGACTAGGAATTGTGGTGTGACTGATTATGATGAAGCAACAAAACTGTTTGAATGTTTAAACTTGTAATAAATACGAGGGCTTTCTCTCTTTTATCTACCCAAAATGATAGTTGAATTTATATTTCATGCAGTCGTTACTGATGTTTTGCCCAATGAAGTTTTTTTAATGCTCATCCTATTTTCCATACTTCCCTGTGCTCTTAATTTAAAAGCTGTAATTGTCTTTTGAAAAAGATCTCATCGTCATTTTGTGGAGTACATTTTTGGTTTGCTTTGTATGTACCAAACAAAGATCTCCGTTTAAGAGATAGTTTATACCGATTGTGGGTCAACGATCTGTGAAAACGTACAGGAAAATATATTCCTCTCCTTCATATGAATGTTTGATCTGTTTCCGAACGATGAAGTATTTTTAAGCCTAAACATGAGCCTAGATAAACATGCAAAAATTTACGTACATTTCCCCTTAAAGATAGTGTTTTTCATTTGCGATGTTGGCAATCGCTTTGTTATGTGTAAGTGTTGTAGAATTGATGAGATTGACAATAAAATTTTCTCATTTCTCTTTCTAGACATGCACGTTCAACGATTTAGATTTCCTGAAGCAATTGGAACTTGCTATTAAATACGGCTTCCCTTTTCTCTTCAAAGATGTGGATGAGTACATTGATCCTGTTATTGATAATGTCCTAGATAAAAATATCAAAGGTTTGGGACTCATATGTGACATTTTATAATATTTTGAAATAAAGATAAATGGACGAATTATAATAGAAGATAGGAGAAAGTACGAATGAGAGATGATGAGGACTTAGAAAAATAAACACTTCATTTAAAGACATTCCTTATGTGTTTTTTTATGACAGTTCTCTACAATATATGAATGACTGTTGTTTCCCATCACATACGCAAAAAGTTATATTGTTATGAAAATACTGATCGTCGTTTGAAACATTTTCCCAATATTTTGATGAGCTTGTACTGCTCTATCATTTTATCCTTGAGAGTTATTTCGTTATTTTAGGTGAGGTTGGTCGACAGTTTGTTATGCTTGGTGACAAGGAAGTAGATTACGATCCAAACTTTCGTTTATATTTAAACACAAAATTATCTAATCCAAAATACACTCCAGCTCACTTCAGTCGTTGTATGGTCGTCAATTACACTGTTACACTGAAGGTAAAGGATATTGATCTGTTTTCAGAATTCTAATGCAAGCACGCTATTTTTGAAGTCATTGTTCTAAAATTCTTCAATCGCAAAATACTCTGAAGGGTTTAGAAGATCAACTTCTCAGTGTCATTGTGGGATTTGAAAGAAAAGAGCTTGAAGAACAAAGGGAAAGACTTATTCAGGAAACAAGGTAAACACAGTTGTATTCACTTTAAATTACATTTTTAAGAAATATTTACGGATATTTTGTGTGTACTTCAGCGACAACAAAAAGTTGTTGAAAGATTTAGAAGACACGTTGCTTCGTGAACTAGCCACTTCCACTGGGAACATGCTTGATAATGCTGAACTTATACAAACATTAGAGGATACCAAGACCAAAGCAAACGAGGTTTGATTGAGACTGCAAATATACATAGATATAAATTAAACTGGAAATTAAAATTAAGTACCATATTATCTTTTAAGATTTTTGGGCTTTTCCCCCCATAAAACAACAACTGTTAACTATTCATATTAACATAACTGTTTTATGCACTCTGTCCTTAGGTGAGCGAAAAACTCAAGCTTGGAGCTAAGACAGCTATAGATATTGACAAACTTCGCGATGGTTATCGACCTGCAGCAAAACTTGGTGCTGTCTTGTTTTTCGTTTTGTCTGAGATGTCCATAGTGAACAGCATGTATCAATATTCGCTTGCTTCTTATCTCCAAGTCTTTGATCTCTCTTTGAAAAAGAGCATGCCAGACTCAATTCTACCCAAACGACTTAAAAATATAATGGAAACACTTCAGTTGAATGTCTATAACTACGCATGTACAGGTTAGTAGTGCTTAATGAATTTTCTATACAAATAAAACGATTACGTCATCGTTCAATCTATATAACAATATAATTACATGAAGCCGTACTCCTGTACCTGCGTACAAGTACGAGATATTGACAACACCAATTTACCAATTCAACACATCATTTTTAAGTTATGCCAAACCAATCTATTTATTCGAAATTTTAAACTTCACCGTCAGATTGTATTCAACGAAGGCACTTGCTATGTGCACACGCAAAATACCAACATAAAAATGTTTCTCACAAGGATTAGACGGCAAAAAACACGAATTATGAACAAACTGGATTTTAAATTTTAAGCTTTCTTTCTCTTTAAGGATTGTTCGAGAAGCATAAACTTCTATTTTCATTTCAAATGACGATCAAAATAATGCAAGCAGATAACAATCTAAATCAAGAAGAACTCGATTTCTTTGTGAAAGGTGATATTTCACTGGAGAAAAGTTCTCGACGAAAGCCATACACCTGGTTATCTGATCAAGGTTGGCAGGATATCCTCAAGTTATGTAATGTTGCTCCCAATACATTTGGAAATCTAGCTGATGACATTGAGCGCAATGAAGAAGTGTGGAAAGAGGTACTGTGTAGGACAACATACTATTTTATTGCATTGGTGGAGAGACGTTTTCCAATATATATATGGCACCAAGTGCTCTGAGTTCTTGTGTTTATATTAATGTAATGATACTCTAAAGCAATTAAAAGATTGGCAATTTAGAATTCATCAATGAATTAAGCGTGACGTAATCGAACGCAGGACCTTTAAAACAAAAGGTCGACAAGCTTATAAGTTTCTCGTAGAATTGCGTTCAGTTTTCCCCAAATATTGAATAAGTTTTTGAAGCTTGTGTACAAGTTCCCTATTTATGAATATCTCAAATGACTTAGAATATAAATCAAATTATCTTTGTTTCTCGTACAAGAGGAGTTACCGACCATTAATGCTGTATTTGAAATATTGCAGTGGAGTGATTTGGATGCACCAGAAGTCGCGGAGATCCCTATGAAATACGAAGGAAATCTCTCAGACTTTCAGCGTCTTCTACTGCTACGTTGTTTTCGAGTGGATCGTGTTTATCTTGCCATCAGTCATTTTGTCACCAAGAAAATGGGAGAGAAATACGTGACACCCCCCGTGCTAAGCTTTGAAGGTTTCTTCTTTTTCCTTTTGTTACTCCACCCCCCGTGCTAAGCCTTGAAGGTTTCCTCTTTTTGCTTTTGCTGTTTTGGAGATTTGTTTTTAAATGAATTATTCAAAACAGACATAGTAAAACATTCAACAGTTTTATTTTATGTTGTCTATAATTTGGATTTTCGCAGCTTATAAAATTTCAAATGTGAATGTTGTCTACGCGATCCATGTCACCATTATTTATTTTATGATTCATATATTTCAGCAATCTTTGAACAGTCAACACCGCACTCTCCAATCATCTTCATTCTAAGTCCAGGATCTGACCCTGCCAGTGATCTTATGAAGTTGGCTGAAAGGTTTGTTTTAAGCGAGTTAAAGAAGAATTTTGAATAACATGAAAACTTATTTAAATTTTATTTGTGGATTTCACTGTAAAGTTTTTAGTGTTAATGTTAGTGTACATGAAGAGGTGCTAGTATAATTTTTTATGTAAGTCATAGAAACTGCCTACTCCCGGTCAATTAGCTAATGTGTTTTAGTGGAGAACTTTCATTTTCTTTCATACACACTTTCTGTATATTTGGAAAGCAGTCCATAAGGTCGACATGCTATCTGGCAATTTACTCTCTGGCATTCTGTGTGAATGTTTATTGTTTTAATTGTCTTCTTTTTTTTTCGTGAAGATCTGGTTTTGGTGGCAATAGATTAAAATTTTTGGCAATGGGTCAGGGGCAGGAAAAGGTAATTGACTACCAAATGTATGATTAATGTGTCTATCGATGGTGTATTTGAACGTTACAGAACTTATACGACTGATGAGAATGCTCGACTTAAATGATTTTTCTTTCGGGTTGTTTTGCTCTATATTTAATGTTTCTTTCATGTAGCTTGCCTTGCAACTTCTTGAGACAGCGTTAACTCGTGGTCAGTGGCTTATGTTACAGAATTGTCACCTCTTGGTGAAATGGCTCCGGGAATTGGAGAAAGTCCTTGAACGAATTAGTAAGCCTCACCCGGACTTCAGACTTTGGTTAACTACAGATCCGACACCAGAGTTTCCTATTGGTATATTACAACGGTCATTGAAGGTATTTCAAAGAAATTTTATTTAGAATCTTGTATTGTTATCTGATGTTTAAAATTGAGTACTTTTTCAATTTCGTGTCTTCATTTGGAGTGATATGATGTTTTCTATGAGGCAAAAAAACTATGTATCCAAATTTCAGTTTGGCTGCTTTCAAAAGCATGAACATTTTTGTTACTTGCCAATTTTTTATTCCAAAAGTGTGCGTAGGTTTAGTTTGTTACGGTGAGTGGCTATTGTTAACTTCAAATGCATAATTCTCAACCTGTAGTGAATCTTTTTTTTACTTAGCAACAATTTTACAACTATGTATGGGAAAAAATAGAAAATACTTCTTATCTTTAGGTTGTAACAGAACCACCTAATGGTTTAAAGCTTAATCTTCGTAGCACATTTCATAAAATATCGAATCAGATGCTAGCTGACTGTCCTCACGCCTGCTTTCAACCACTCGTGTTTGGCCTTGCATTTTTTCACGCAGTCGTTCAGGAGAGAAGAAAATACGGAAAGATTGGATGGAACATTGCGTATGATTTCAATGAAAGTGATTTTAGGGTCTCCATGAATATACTTGATACCTATCTCACGAAAGCTCACGATCAAGGCGATCAGCGGATTCCATGGGCAAGTTTAAAGTACCTTATAGGCGAGGTGAGTCTTTTGTTGTCTGTCGGTAGGTTTCATTTTTTACTGCATACACATAAAGAGGAAAGTGTGAACAACACTTCAAATCTTTTTTGAAAACTTCACTTTTATCGATTATAGGTGATGTATGGTGGTCGAGTTATCGATGATTTTGATCGACGCGTAGTAAATACTTACATGGACGAATATATGGGAGATTTCATCTTTGACACCTTTCAACCTTTTCATTTTTATATGAACGATGAGGTTTGTGATATAATAAACAGTGTTTGTTTCTTTCTTAGAAATGTATGGATGAAGGAATGTATTAATCCCTTATTTTATTATGTCTTATTGACGATGGTTCTTAAAAAATAATTGTATTTGATCTTCTTCATTACTAAGCCCTTAATAACCGAGCTCGAGGGCTTTACGGAGAAATATCGGACCGATGTCTTTTTTTGTACAGACCGAGCCCGTAGGGCGAGGATTGTACAGAAAGACAGAGGTCAGATATTTCTCAGTAAAGACTGAGAAAGCGAGGTTATTAAAAGGTTTATTATATGGCATTATTTGACCTGAAACGAAGCTTGCTTTCTTTCTCGTCCTTGCTGTTTTTACGGGTTGATTTTCACTTTTTTAGTTTTCGTCCATAAAAATAAACTCGTTTCAAATTGTATCGTCTGGATAGTTTAACTGTTTTCCAAGTGTTTTTCCTTCGTAAATGGTTTTTTGTTTCGTTTATTTTTCATTTTTCTGTTTGCATTACGAATTTTGTTTACATTTGACAGTAAAATTACGCGTTTTGGACCGTGGTCGATTACGGGAAAATAATGGACCGGCAAAAATGTTTCTGAGCCAATCAAAGCGCACTATTTTGCCGGAAGTGACGCTTGCCATATAATTATATATAATAATAAATATGTTTTTTATAAAATTCACTGTAATATTTATCTCCTTATACTTATGTCATAGTGAGGACGGTACATAAGTTATCTCCTTATACTTATGTCATAGTGAGGACGGTACATAAGAATTCATTGTACCTGATTTTCTTACACTTGTGTCATAGTGAAGATGGCACATAAGAAATCAATAATTCTATTTCATTATGCTTATCTAAGCGATAAACATTTCTCGTTTTAGGTTGACTACTGTTTACCAAAAGGAGAGAATGATTCAGTCAATCGTGACGTGTTTGTGGAATACATTGAAACACTTCCTCTGGCCAACACGCCCGACGTGTTTGGCTTGCATCCAAATGCTGAGATTGGCTACTACACGACTGCTGTTAAAGACATGTGGGCACATCTAATAGACTTGCAACCGCAGACCACTGGTGATGCTGGCGGCATCAGTCGCGAGGAATTTATTGCAAAAATAGCTAGCGATATTCAAGGAAAGCTGCCGGCTTTGTTTGATGTAGAACTTATACGCAAGAAGTACACAGATATCCAACCGACAACCGTTGTGCTCCTCCAAGAGCTTGATCGTTTCAATGTTTTGATCAAGAAAATGTCAACTTCACTTGTGACCCTACAAAGAGTGAGTAAAAGATTATGATAGTGCTTTTGAGAGAAAATTGAAGCCGTTTTTTATATGCAGAGTTCTGAATAGACTAATGAGCTAACAGCTAATTGTGTTGAAGTAAGGTTATGACATAAGATGAGGATGAAGGATAAATATTTTCGTCTCTGAATTTCATAATTGAACCGATTTCCTAATGTTAGGTTTGATCTTTTTCTCTTTTTTCATTTGACAAGATCTGTTGGCTCTATGCTGACTTTGTTGTCTAAAGCATTAAAAGGAAAATTTGCATCGATCTAGATGGCTCTCCCTCGATAATTTTTTGTCATTCAACGCGAATTTATGCAGTTTAACTTTATTTCTCGAAAGGTTTGCGTTTTTTTAGGCACTTGCAGGTGAAGTTGGAATGAGTAACGAGCTTGATGAAGTTGCAAAATCTTTATTTAATGGACAACTTCCTAACATCTGGCGCAAACTTGCACCTGCAACACTAAAAAATCTCAGTAGTTGGATGGAACATTTCTTAAGAAGATTTGATCAATATCGGAGATGGGTAAATAATTTATTTTACAAGTTTCATATTTTCTTTACGTGATTTATCTTGTGAATATCTGTTTGTCACCAATATCTCTATTGCAGGTTAATGACGGTGAGCCTGCAGTCATGTGGCTCTCCGGCTTACATATACCAGAGTCTTATCTAACAGCTCTGGTGCAAGCGACTTGCCGCAAGAACGGTTGGCCATTAGATAAATCAACGCTGTATACAACTGTCACACAATATCAGACAGCAGAGGACGTCCAAGAGCGAGCACACGCAGGATGTTTTGTCAGCGGTCTTTATCTTGAGGGAGCTTCGTGGGACATCCAATCTAGTTGCCTACGGCGTCCACGTCCAAAGGTTTTGGTAGAGGAGCTGCCCATTTTAAAAGTCATTCCTATCGAGGCACATCGATTGAAGTTACAGGTTTGTTGAGAGGCTGTGGAATATTATTGATTGGAGGGGACAGCTCATATTCATATATTCATGTTAGAAACCGTAATAACAATTGATTTCAGCAGAAAGTAGTAAAGTAGAACATGAATATTTGTGTATTACCTTTCATTCATACATCATTATCAAAATCCCGCTGTTCCTTTGCTATGAGATAAGTCTAAGAGTTTTCGTAATAGGTATTTTACATTACTACCATGATCTGGCATTTCTGTTTTTGTTTTTTTTCTTTTAAATCTTGATTGAAGTGACTCTGTAGGTACCGTGTAAAGGTGTCTTTGCTTTGCTGTATCTTATTTTGGTTATTTCATTTCAGCACACATTTCAAACTCCTGTTTATACGACTTCACAACGTAGAAATGCCATGGGTGTTGGTTTGACATTTGAAGCTGATCTTGCCACGCGTGCACGTCTCGCATTGGGTTCTTCAAGGTGTTTGTCTTACTTTAAATGCTGATTAAAGCAATCGTTATACTTGTAATATATGATGCAAATATTATTTATCATAAAAAAGTGTAAAGGTATGTGTTTTTATAACTTGTTTGTTCTTAAATAAAATTACTAAATACGATTATTTGATTTTCAATGTACGACCTATGTTCTCTTAAGTTTCTGCATCCGAAATTTTAAGGTGTTTTTCGTGAGTCCTAAAAAGTCCAACTATTCATCTGCGCTCTCTTTTACTCAGGTGTACGACTTTAGTACAAGGCAGTGACTCCGTTGTTCGCCTGATAAATATATTCTTGAAAAATTCTTATATTTGGTTATTTCTTGGAAATTGTGTTTCGATAAGTCTGGAGTCTGTATAAAATGGCAATTTCTAATGATTTGTTGGACATATAATAAAATGTCAATGACTTATTGACACATTTTTCATTTTACTGTACAAAAGTATAACGGGCTCATATAATGAAAATATTGGCGGTAAATTAGACTTCGACTAAATTCCTACTTTACATTTTTTTAAATTCTGATTGTATTGTCTCTGTGACTTTTATTACAGTAATTAATACATACTATTGTCATGAATTTATATTTACCTGCGTTATTTCTCACGCTTGTGTGACCACACAGTGATTATGGTAAGTTGGTAATCGAAAGGTGGCAAGTGAATATCCTCGCGGGGTCAGCCCGAGCCCTCATATTGTTTCTGCTAAACTGCAGTCAAGCCCCTTAAGTGGCTGATTTCAGAAGAATGACCAGTAGTTCAAGTTCTGGCTCAGGTTCATTGTCCAGTCAATCGGTGCCATCTAGTATTGACTCAGGTGGGACTTTATCAGCATCCCAAAGTGATCTTGTAGATGAGGATGTTTCTGATGAAAACCAACTTCTCTGGGGTCGTCTGATACCTGTTGGTGATGGGTTTCACCGAGTTGGTGAGTGTTGGCCTTGATGCAAATGTACATTTAACATATACAATTTTTTGCCTTAGCATCTAGGAAAGGAAGAATTATTATCACTTTACTGTTAACCATGTTAACTCTTAAGATGTAGTATTTTGTTCTGATTCACTTTGAAGTAACAGGATTTTGTTTTTCAATATGTTTTAGATCTAATTAAAGATCAATACATATTTGGTCGTGACGAAGTTAATATGGATGTTATTTTCAAACAATCTTCATTTAATGCAAAATATTTTGCCATGTTAAGCAAGAAACATTTTCAAATAAACAAGGTTTGTTCCCAAACAAACATACATGTAAAGAACAGGCTCAAGTAAAACCTTACCATGCCATACTGGATTGTTTTGTATTTTTGGAGGGAATGAGATAATTGCAACTTTTAATTAACTAAATTCACATGCAAAACCAAAGTGCTTAATTAACTATAATATATTGCTACTACCTTGTTCTAATTTTATTACCCATTTGATAGTGGCAAGTTGCATATTAAGCATGGATAACATGTCATAACTCTTAAAGTCCAAATTCAAAACAGGCACAAAATTGAACTTGCAGTCTCTCGAATCTTTGCAGCAACAAGTTGTGTTTTCCATTTTACTTCACTTGTAATTTAAACAGCTTTTTTCAAATTGCAGGAAACTTCAGACAGTGGAGCACAAGTTGCTATCATTGAAGACTTCAGGTCTGAGTTATTAAACATTATATGTGAATGCAAGAAAAGTTTAGTTTTATTATGGGTGGCTCTTTGTTTGAGCAATTTTTGTACTTAAAATATATTGGTAGACGTGATACTTAACTGTGTTTGTTATCGTTCTCCTTTGGAGGGATGCAATATATAATCACATATAATATGTCCCTTGTACATATGTAGTCAGTCAATGATGTTTGAGGATAAACTATTTTTGTTTTTATGTATCTACAGTTCTAATGGCACTTATATAAATGGAGTGCGTGTGGGTATGTGAAATATTTTAGTTTTTGCTTTGTTTTAACATTGTTTTTGTTTTATCATTTTCCAAACACCACCAAAATATGGTTGAAATATGAACATACTTGTTATTTTTATACCACATCTGTTTTCTGCCTGCGTAAATTCAACCCCCTTCCTGTAAATGCCCCTCTGCTTCAATATTGTCCTTTTGGAAAATAATCATGACAATTGACCTTGCTTGCATTGTGGATTACAAGTATCAAGAGCTGGAACTCAGGGCTGACAACACAAGATAATAAAACTCTTGTGGTCATATTTTTCACCAATTTACATAACTTTAAAAAATTATATTGGTTTGAGTCTTTGTTTTATTTTACAATGTTTTCAACATAGGCCAAGGAAACAGACAAGTTATTGTAGACAATGACAAAATTTGTTTGCCAACCCAAGATCATACGGGTATATGTAATTTTATGAAGAGGTGTTGATTGTTGATGTTATATTTTTAAAAATAAAAATTTCATGTGGTGAGAAAAACACAGAATGGGTGAAGGATTGTTTGCGTATGGGGGACGGGGGCTGGATGCATGGAACATGGGTGGTGGAGGCATGGGATATGGGTGGTGGAGGCATGGAACATGGGTTGTGGAGGCATGGAACATGGGTTGTGGGCATTGAAGATGGGTAGTGGAAGCATGGAACATTTCTGGTGGAGACATGGAACATTGGTGGTGGAGGCATGGAACATTTCTGGTGGAGGCATGGAACATGGGTTGTGGGCATTGAAGATGGGTGGTGGAGGCATGGAACATCAGTTGTGAGCATTGAAGATGGGGGTGGTGAAGGCATGGAACGTGGGTTGGGGGCATGGAAAATGGGTGGTGGACATTGACAGTAATGGTTGAAGATTTTTGTGCTTTGTTAGTATGTAATGTTATATTTGCTCATACATTTACAGTGTTAGTAGTAGTGTGCGAATTAGTTCAGAAAAAACGATGTGCAATTTTTTGACAAAAGTGTTTCTTTAGAGGCATAATCAAATCGATATTACGTTAATTATTATATAGCGCTAATTGCTAAATTAATATTTTTAAAGTGAACAAATTCATATGATTTACGACAGTGTTTTTCGTTAAAACCGCTAATTTTTGCACATCGTTTGAAAAAGTGATGTGCAATTGTTTTCATTTTAGCTAAAACGATGTGCAAATTGCACATTGCACACCATTAATTCGCACACTGGTTAGTAGATTTAAATACGTTTTACTTTGAAATTACTGATACTTTGAATTCTTTAGCATGTGGAGATAAGATTGTGAGATATTATTTTGCCAATTGTAGCGTACATATTTCAAGATCTGAAAACCATTTTTACAGAAGAAGCAACTTTTCCAAGGGTAGAGTACAATGATTTTTCAAATAGTTGATGACTCCTAAACGTCATTTTAGAAATATTTGTACGAAAATAGATCAATGATTGTGGTACTGCTGACTGCAATTGCATTTTACAACGATTCTTTTCCATAGAACTGTCAATGTCTTTGCAAATAGCTGTGAATTTATAGGCGTATTGGTGATTTTTTGAGCTGTATTAAATTATTGGAAAACTGTTTTGGAAAAACTGTGTGTTTACTATTTTGTCAACTTTATTGTAACGTTATTTATTTTTCTATTTCAGGAAATCAGAGAGAAATATACAATTTTCAAGTTTTTAGGAAGGTAAAAATGATTGACTTGATTATCTTTTGATGACACAGCAGAATTTTTTTTCATTCGGCAACGTCTGGAGGTGGTCTGAATACAGATCGAGAAATTCCCACTATTTGCATTTGCGGAGGGGTATTTTGTTGCCCAGTCTTCGATAGTTGGCGTCATTCAAGTTTCTCAATCACTTTCTGTTGATGGAAAAGAACTAAGATTCCTACTCTCTTTTTGACATCTTCTGTTTATTGTTGGTTCTTAGTCTTTGTTTTAATATGTTTTCTTGGAGCTTGTGTAGGTGCTTTAAGCCCTTGAAAAGTTCTTGAATTGAAAAAAATTATTTTAAGAGCGCTTAAAAAGTGCTTAAAAAAGTCAAAGAAAGTGCTTAAAATGTTCTTAAGAATCACACAAACTTGACACGAAGTTATTTCCGTAATGTCCAAATATAACTTAACAGGATTTATAATTTACTCAGCTAGGCATAAAACGTCAACTCAGCGGAAGTGGTGTTATCCTGGAAAAATTAAACCGACCACAACTTATCTGAGCAAATTTAACATTGTGAATTGTCTCTAGTTATTACGGTTCTTTAAAAGTTCTTTAAAATCTTATGTTTTCTGTGAATACTGCACGAACCCTTATTTAGCGATCCCTCTGTTTCGCTATATCCATATTTTCCCCATACCCTCCTGTTTTGTTATCCCACTATTTCCTATATCGCCCCCTTTTTAGCTTTCTTCTTGTTTTATTTCTTTGCATGCTTGTCATATCACAACTCATATCGCTTGTCTCTCTCTTCAGTTGACATATTTTTGAAATACGTAGATAACACTTTTTATGTTGAAATGAGTTCGTATTGCATACTCACATCTTTTGATGAAAGTTGTTGTTCCTTGTTGTACATTGAGGAAAAACTTTTAACTCAAAAGAAGTTTCGTTTAATCTTGATTTTATTGCATGTTCTCAAATTAGTTTGTTGTAAAACATTTTTTTATTTTCAGTGGTGTTTGTGGTCATGTTCATCACGCGTTTACGAAAGGCAGAGAGTGCAAGGGTGTTGCTATTAAAGTAATAACGAAAGCAAAATTTGCAAGCCAAAGTGTAAGTTTTTCTTCGTTTGTGTTTTTATTTTTTCAGTTATTACGACTTAGCGTATGAAAATGGTGACAATTTATACTGTGATCGCTTGATTTGATGTTCAAACTTTTTTCATTTCAATTAATCATATTTCAAACTTAACATACTTGAATATATATCTCGTTTAGTACTCGAACAGAACAAGCATCTTTCAGGAAGTAGCAGTTTTAAAGAAACTTAATCACGTAGTTATTATTATTATTGCTTGTTGAAAACGTTTAGGTTAAAATAGTTAACGGACAAATAATTAAAATTTTTCAGCCTTGTATCGTAAAATATATTGATGCTGTAAACACGACCGACAAATTATTTATTGTTTTAGAGCTGTAAGTAGAGGTATCTTCATATGATTGCTAAATATCTGTTTCCCTTCAGTAATTGTTTTATTTAACCTGGATATCCGGCTATTGCATTTTTTTAGAGTTGAAGGTGGCGAATTGTACGATCGTATTGTTAAACAAAAGAGGCTGGATGAACGAGTTACGAAATTTTATTTCTACCAAATGCTCGTTGCAGTTAAGGTTTGTCTACATTGCGACAGTTAATGTATTTTTTCGTCGGTTATTGTTTACATCTTTTTCATAATTACCTCTGTAATTCTTTATAACTACCGTCATAAATGTTCATAATTATTATCATAGATCTTCCTAATTACCACCATAGAACTTCAAAATTACCACTATAGAACTTCATAATTACCACCATAGAACTTCATAATTACCTCCATAGAACTTCATAATTACTTCCATAGAACTTCATAATTACCTCCATAGAACTTCATAATTACCTCCATAGAACTTCATAATTACCACCATAGAACTTCATAATTACCTCCATAGAACTTCATAATTACTTCCATAGAACTTCATAATTATAGAACTTCATAATTACCTTCATAGAACTTCATAATTAGTAAACTGTCAATGATTGTTACCACTAACACAGTCCATCTTTACAACTATCATCATACATCTTCATATCCAACATCATAAATCTTTATGTTTAGCAATATTAAAACTTATAAAAACATACTTTTGTATTTCACATAACAGTTTTTTGTTTTGTATTCTTATACACAGTATTTACACGAGGAAGGTTTTACGCATCGCGATTTAAAGGTATGTGGACCAAACTCTGTGTAAAAGAACGATATTTAATTTACGTGCAGTTTGTGATACAACATAACTAAGAACTAAGTTTTATTACAGCCTGAAAATGTTCTTTTGTCGTCATTTGACGAAGAAACGCTCGTTAAGGTTTTTATAATTATAATTAAATTGAATAATGAAGAAAGTCTAAATAACATCACCATTATGACATATGTTGCTCATTAAATTTCTTGTTCTATTCAATGAAATTCTTCTCTAAAGTGATTTGATTGGGTTTACATAGATTACTGATTTTGGTTTGAGCAAGTTTGTTGGTGAACAGTCACTTATGCAAACATTATGTGGCACTCCAAGTTATCTTGCACCTGAAGTACTTTCGTCCAATGGTGTTTTGTCTTATAAAAAGGACTGTGATTGTTGGAGTCTCGGTGTGATTCTCTATGTTTGGTTAGTAATTATTTGTTATTTTAAAACAGCCAACATACAGGATGTGCTAGTTGTAAATCATTTGCCCATATCCATATCCTAACACAGGGGTCTCCAAACTTTATAGCCATAGGGCCACATGAACTTTCATCCAGCATGTTGAGGGCCGACGAACCGTATACCGCTGGTCAAAGAGCGAATATTTTAAAAAAAGAAGTACATAACACAAGCTTCATTAGTTAAGAAAATAGCTCCTTCCTTAGCTCAAAAACCCTTGAAAGCACTTTTCCACAACTTAGCCATCTTACTGCAGTGTAATATGGCATGTCAACAGATTCTGTCTCAGTAGGAAGTTGGGACAAAAATTGACGTAAGCCACTCTTGCTAGTTGGCTTGCGTCATAACGTGAACTTTCTGCACAAAGTTTATTTTGTTTAATAATAATATTTTTTTTCTTAAGTGTCTCTGCGGGCTGGATTGAGAGGCCCGACGGGCCGCATCTGGCCCGCAGGCCGTAGTTTGGAGACCCCTGTCCTAACATAATTCATTTACCTTCATTTACTTTTCTTTCCATGATTTCAACTTTTGACTTACAATTATGTCATTTCCTAAACCTTAAACATACGTAACTTGAATGTCCTTGCAACCATGAGAGTTTTTAAGACCTTTGGTCTTAATTAGACATCGATATCGTTTTGCAACACTAAACTTGCAATGACGTCATCTAGGACCTTGATCGTACTTACGATGAAGGCGTCCATTATACTTATATGATGCATTATTCTTGTCACGTGAGGTTTCCAAAAGAAAGTGAATAAATCGGTTGAGGACTGTGTTGTTTTGAAGCTTAAGTTAAATATCATGTAATGTTAACTTTTGTTATAAAAAGGAGATTGCTTTAGAAGTTTTCAATACTTGTTTTGACAACTGACGACATCGATTGTTGATAATTAACTTTTTAAATTCCAGTCTGTCCGGTGGTGCGCCGTTTACAAACACACCCGAAAACCCTTTGACAAAGCAAATTATTTCTGGTGCTTATTCTTTTTCAAATCATTGTTGGAGAAATGTCAGTGGAGAAGCGAAAGATCTCATCAAAAAATTGATGACGGTTGATCCAAATCAGCGAATCACTGTCGCCCAGGCGCTGGAGCATCCTTGGATGAAGGTAAAGGCGTTGTTTGGTGTTGTCCTAAAGCACCTTAAAATTGTCTTTACTATTCTTTGAGCTCGTGTTTCTTAATGTGTTTTTAGGATGATGAAATAATCGAAAAAGCCAACATGTTGATGAATGGACTGTCTATAGCTGGGGACATGTCGCAACCAAGCACAACGGTATGTGTCTTATAGAGATCTTGATGAAGAGTTTCATCATTATATCTCTCCTTGTGAAATCACCGGATTGTACCTCGCTATTTATTTCAACGTCAGATTACTTCCAAAACAAATACCCTAGACAGGAGATCAGATCTCTTATAATGAACACATTTATACTGGACTCCATGAGGACACGAACTCATAACACAAAAAATAATGTAGATCGTCCAGGTTGGTATAGTCTTGAGAAGGACTGTTTTTGTTGTTGTTGACTGACGTTTCGACAACTGCTAAGGTTGTCGAAACGCCAGTCAACAACAACAAAAACAGTCCTTCTCAGGACTATACCAACCTGGACGATGTACATTTACAAACATGTAACGATACTCCCGGGTTCAAACCATTTACAAATAATAATGGTATACGAAAACATAGTTTTCACAGTGGTAATTATTTCTATAGGCGATAAAACGAATAGAAAGTGACGCAGTCATCGACAACTCGGTCACAAAGAAACAAAAACCAAGCGATGATTATGAAGACAAAACGTTCGTTTTATAACGCTAAAACAACCATTGAATGAAACACTTACACTAATCGCAGTAAGTATATACTATAGTATTATATTTTTACTTGTATTTTAAATTATTGTTTTACAGCATTATTTTGTGATAAAAGATTATAAGAAAGCCTTATCGAGGGTTAGAATTTCATGTTAGGAGTACAAATAGATCTGTGGGTTCAGATTATTGTCAAAATTGGGCTTAGCATTAGGATAGTAATAGCATGGAAATGCAAAACTGATAAAACTAAAAGAGGATTATGATAGAATAATCTTACTTTATATTTCGTAAATATTGAAGACACGCGTATGGAGCTGAAGAAAATGTTTCAGCATGTCATTGCTCTTAAACGAAAGTTAACTGCTTTAAGACTTACAAACATAAATATCTCTTTGTTGACTTTTGAATTTTTTTACTTAATCATGTGATAATCACCATATTTATTGTAACTTTATAAAAATTAGTATTTTGAGAGTACGAAAAACAAGTTTATTTGTAATTTAAAAAATTATAATTTTGCTGCAGCTTTTTTCATATATATTTATTATGACTAACTCTCGAACGAATTTCCTCTTTGCCATTTCGCTAAAATCAGCTCTCATAATATATTTCACATCCAATTTATTACAGTAAAGAACTAAAAAGCAAAAGGTATTTGTTACTACAGCAATGGTGTTATGAAGACATTGTTAATAAGGATTGCTTATCGTGAAAAATATTCCCCTTGCACGAGCTTTGTTATAAATATTTGTTAAACTAAATAGTCGTGAAATGTATCTGTGAAGTACAATAGTTTTTAAACAACGGTTCATGCTATAACAACTAAGCGTCTCAACGATGAAAAAATTGGCATGAAAAGAAACCAATCTTTTAATATTGATATTTACACCAAAATACTAACTTTTGTTTTACCGATAACGTTACGTTTTTGTGGGGGTTTTTGGTGAAACGAGAATTGTTTTAAGTACATTTTCATCTTGATTACTCGTTGAAGGCAGGAACATGAACGCCAACGATTGGCTTAATATCTTCATTCACAATTTGATTGCCTCTTTCTTGAAAGGTAAATGTTTTATACTGTATAGATGAAAATTGCATATGATGGGCGTTATCAGTGGTTAATTCTGCTCTTTTAAACTCACGGTTATATTCAATTGGGGTATATAAATGAGCGGTGACATTTTGTTCTCTTGCTGACTGCTTTTTGTTGTCTATGACCTGCTTTGGATGACTGTTTGTTGGTATATGATATTTCGAGGGCAATTGACTTGTCGTTATTGTATGGTTTTTCATTTGTTTTTGATCTGTGCTTGCAATATAATTGTTGTTTGAATCGTTTGTGGTCTTCCATTCCAAACTATTGCGTCTCTGGAACTGTTGCGAAGGCTTGTCACTCGTACTTAACGATATTCCAAAAAACTCAAGACTGCCATCATTGACGTTGGTTGTATGTTTAACACTAATTAAAGGAAGAACTGAAATTCTACCTTCCTCGTCACATCTAACCAACAGAGATGGCTGCTTTTCCTCGCCATACGATTTACCACTTTGAGTATCATTCATATGAACATTTTGATTATCCAAACCTGATGATGGATTGTGTTGGTAGGCAGATGTTAAATGTGGATTTCTGTGCAATTTTTCCATGTCACATGAATAAATGCTTGTGTTTATCTCCTTTCTTATATCATCCCTTTGTGTTACTAACCGTTTCTGTCTCTCATTTTCGTTCTTGAATAAATACGTATTCTCGGATGACAAGTTGCCCGTTTCATTTATTACCACCGTATTTATTTCAGCGTCAACTTCAGTCACTGACTGCGTTTGGGCGCTGGGTATTTCAGAACGTGTTGTCGGCACGTGTATCATCTTACGAGGGTACATGGGTACCACCGGAATTTCTTCCCCTTCCGGTGGTGGTAAACACGACTTGACCCTTCGTTCATGACGCCGTAGACTACTACTGGAAGCAAATTTTACGCCACAAATTGCACAGGCGTACGGTTTAATTCCAGTGTGAGTTCGTTTATGTTCAGTGAGAGTTCCTCGTTGACTAAACGACTTTAGACATATCTCGCATTGATATGGTTTTTCCCCATTATGTGTTCGTTTGTGCTTTTTCAGCTGGTCGCGAAAACTAAAACGACGATCACAATCGCTACAAGCATATCGTTTCTCGTGTGTTTGCATATGCTTCGCCAGAATATTTTCTCTCGCAAAACATTTGCCGCATTCTGGACATTTGTAAGGTCGATCCGTCGCGTGAACACGAGCTTGGTGAAGTGAACACCGCCAGTAGTAACCAAAAACTTTGCCACATTCCGGACAGGGAAAGTGGCCTTTACGTTTGTTTTTTACCAAACGTTTCTCTCCATTTGCTACATGCATATCATCCATGTGTTGTCGCAAACTTTGTGCATAACTGTAGCTTTTACCGCAAGATGGGCAAACATAAGCCTTCTCGCCCGAATGCACTGTCATGTGTTTTTTCATGTTACTCGGATCACTACATGTTTTTCCGCAGACATTACAAGTGTAAATGTAGTCTTTTGTGTGAATTCTTTGATGCTTTTTCAAATTAGATGAGCAGGTAAAGCGTTTATCGCACACAGTACAATGATATGGCTTTTCTCCACTGTGCGTGAGTAAATGAATTTTCAAACCCGACAAAGTCATATTGCTTTTGCGGCATATGTGACATTCGTGGCTGTTTGCGTTGGTCGATTTGCGACTTATTTTCGCTGATTTGCTTTTCACATTTGTATCCTCTTTCGTTGACATTGACCTATCTGCCTTAGGCACGTTTTCTTCCTGCATAATGAATTTCAGAAAGTTCAGCTCTCTCTTTCTTCCTTATTTCACGTTAAAAAAGCCGTCGTTGAGGATCGAATGCCAATAACTTACAATACACAGTGTCCACACACTAGGCAAATGTTGTCAAGCAAATGGTGCGAATAATTATGCAGATTCTTTGCATAACTATAGACCCTGCCTCATTTGACTTGATTTACGACTTTAATCTTCAATGTCTGTGGAGTTTAGGCTGTAAAAACGCTGTCAAACGCTTCCGCATCTTTTCAATTTAAGTTTTTAAACGATTATTTGTGCGGCACAACTTGCAAGTGAACCGCCCGATCACAATACACTTATGTTGTTCGTTCGCATTTGCTACTGTCTTGAGTCTTCTCTCAACAGGAGGTGATTTCATTGGTCATTGCACAATCAATACAACTGATTTGCGTTTGAAATATTTTAGAAATATGTTTTCTATTCGATGTTATGTTTTTATGTGTCAGCAGTTCGTTGTTAAACATCAACCTATGTTTTCGAAACGACCCTTTAACTCAAATGAAAATGTAGTGACTCACTCAAAACATTTTGCCTCTGGGCGCATTCGGTGCGCTATTTCACAAAGAATCCTATCAAATTACCACTTGTCAACAAATGTGATTTTCGCTTATTTGCCATTTGCTGTATTGGTGTACGAAATATCTACTTTAAGACCTCTTTTCCGTTTTGTTTGCTACATGGTCAATTAGTCATCGGACATTTTAGCCATGTTAAATTTTTTGTACCAGCATTATTTTGCTTGATACGCTTGCATTCACGTTTAAAATATTCAGCACTCAAAAGGAACAAAAAGATATAACTTTGTTTGCTCATTTTTTTTAATGTCATAGGCACTGACTGTATTCAAGAAACTATTAAAACGCTTCTGCATTGCTTTAGGAAAGTAGTATAAAGCACTCCGCATCGAACAGTTTTCGTCTACTATTTGCTTCTCGTGTTACAGTCATCTTATCGCTTTGAAGGTTGTTTTTTATGAAAATAAAATCTACGAATGTCGGCAACTGTTTTTCTAACAATGTTAGCATTTCGCTAATATTTGTCCCTTTCAATTGTCAAGTTTTTGTAACCGAAAAATGCCTAGTAGCGTTGGTACAAACACAATTTTACTTTTATATTGCACGAATTAACCAAACATGATATTCAACAATTTCTACCAATGCTCGCAGACAATTCAGAATACTTTTTTAGGAATTTGTACTTAATTGTATAGGTATTTTTTTAAAAAAATTAAATATTGCAGATCAGTGTTATTAAACTGAAGTAAACGTGTTCATGAGCAATCTGCAAAAGCGACAGTTTTGTCTATACGGCACCATACACGCGATATAACCGGAAGTTGGCCATAATAAAATCTTAGTTCCGGGACTTCAGTGTATAAATGTTTCAACTTCAATGTCATGTGAAATTTGCAGCAAACAGCAATTTGGTAAAGATTTAAAATATAAATGCTCATGACATTTCAATGCAGCCGTTGGACTATTTTATGTAAATGAACTTTGTTTATAAATGAGCGAGAAAGTATATCTTAAAGTTGTTCTTTTAGGCAAAGTTAATAGTGGAAAGACATGTCTTGTGACAAGATACATCACCGATACTTTCAGTCCTGAACAGCCATCAGTAAATATTTATATGACAATTTGTATTTTGTAATTATACGAAGCTGACGTTCTTGTTGCTTAAGATAATGGTAACATATGAGAAACCTTCACAGAAACATTTAAAAAATGTATTTGTTATGTCCGTTTTTATAGGTTTATTGAATTTCTATAGCATCACGTTTATTTCAGACAATTGGTGCTGCATTTTGTCGAAAGGAGTTGAATATAGATGGTCGATTATTGACACTTGCTATATGGGTGAGTTAAATTTGATGTGAATGGCTGATTGCCTTGAAAGCGAACGTAAACAAGTTTTGATGTGACTTTCTAGGATACTGCCGGAGCTGAGCGATATCAATCTTTAACTTCGATGTATTACAGAAATGCCGGGGCAGCTGTTATATGCTTTGGTATGCCACATTTTAAGCTCAGCAATGCAACATGCTAAATTGTGTTTAGTGTGTCATTGTTTTTAGTAATATGATGTTATTGCTGATAATATTAATGTTTATTCATAATAACAAATTGCTGCTACTGTTTTTCTGTGTTACTGTGCTTATGGTATAATTTTAATTTTATCATTTCATCATGTTCATTCGCATTACCATGATGTGATGTTATTCTTATTGATGCTTTACTGCTGCTGTACTTCTACTTGACTTTCCATTGACAAGAATTCATTAAATTTCTTAGATATTCAACAAAATTCTATAACAGTGGTTAAAACAATATTGCCGCTCATAGATTCATTATCCTTGTTTCATTTGAAGCAGCAACTTAACTTTCCTTCAACACTATTGCTTAATATTCATGAGCAGAATAAATAAATAGATTGACAATTGCTATGCTAATTCATGATTTTCATTTTAAAGATTTGACTGATGCTTCTAGTTTTGAGAAGGCAGATTATTGGGTGTCACAAATATTAGCCAATGAACCTGTGAGTTGCCGTCAAATTACTCTAAAACTGTTATATGTACTTCATTATGTAAATTGTTTTATGTGAGATATGTATATTCATTTATCATCAATTTAATTTAATATAGAAATGTAAAATTTACCTTTGTGGAACAAAATTTGATCTTATTCAAGATGAAATCAAAACAAGAGCAGTTTCAAAAGTTTCTATAGAGCATTATGCAAAAGGTATTACACAAATGTGTCAAAATTTGAATTGTTTCATCTATTCACCTTAACAAGTATAGTGTTTATATATGCTCATGTTCAATCACTTAAGTTCTTTTTTAGTTTTCTTTGCATGTAAAATTAGAAAATCAACAATATATGATTTTATCGACAAGTGTAAATAACACATGATTAAAATTATATTTTGTGTTGTATCAAATTGAAGCACTGTGACATTGTGACATTCTTGTACTAATTTCTATTTAAAGGTCGGGAGGCTGAAGTTTTGGAAACTTCAAGCAAAACTGGTCGAAACATAGGTAAGTTGTCATTTTTATTCCACAAATAATATAAAATTATACTATGTTTATTTTTTATCATATCATTGTAAAAGTATTTCGCACCCATAGGGGTGACAAAGGTCCTTGGACTATTGTCACCATTAATACACAATTTATTTAAGTTAATTTTTGGTACATGAGGTAGTTGCTCACCAGAGAAAATTCCCCCTTACAACTGAACCCCCTGCGAAGGCTAGTGTGGGGGGTTTACAACACATAGTTGGCATTGCAAAATAATACTTGATTCTTGTCTTGAATGTTTTTGTGGAAATTGTACTCGTAGTCAAATCTGAAGCTGTCTTGTAAATTCAAGCTTGCTATCATTATAAAAGAATAGTTTCAACAACACAAGCTAAGCATGGATGCTTATTATCAATGCAAATATGTTGTAAATAAGGTCTATAAATGGAACCAAACAGTCACATTGATGATATTTTTAGATACTCTGTTCGAGACATTATCGTTCACTTTCCTATCAAATAACGATCTCCTACTAGGAAAGGGCAAAAATTTAACATCTCGTCTAAAGCTAACTTCATCAGATCATCAACAAACCTCATCATGTTGCTGAAACAAAAACATTCCAAATGTGAAGTGATGTTTTTCGCTAGCTTGATTGCGTGCTGCAAAAATAAATGCTTTTCCTTTCGCTTAGTAAAAGTTGTAAAAAGGAGAAAAAGTCCTGAACTTGAGGCAATTTTATAAAAATATTTACTCTTGAAAATATTTTTTTGTTTTTAATGTAAAAATGCTTAACAGAAACTCAACAAATGAGAAACAAGTCAAATAATGCAAGATTAAATCTATGCAGAGTTTATTATTTTTTTGTGTTTTATATAACCGTATGCCACAAATTATCTAGTAAACACCCAGGGCATTTAATAAATTCTGGCAGTTCTTGGGAGGACGTTAAATGAAAGTGTTTACATCATTTCTATGGTGAGCAAACTAAGACTAGATGTACATTTTTAACCTGATCAACAAAAATTCACCTTGATCAGTGTATATGGTATAATGCTTGAAATATTTAACTATAATTAGCATTAATAAGAATTAGTATCTGTCTTTAAAAAAAGCTACGTGTAAAATAGCTGATAATTTTCACCCAAATTGGTACACGACGCTCAATTGCTTCAAATGTTTCATTAGTGACTTTAACTATATACTTAAACACGTGATCTCTCTCTTTGCCCAACATGTATCGTAATTTCTCATTTGATGTTAGGAGAATGGTTTGATTTTCCAGGTCACGTTTTACTGATCTGTGACCGAAATTTGATGAGCCAATCATTGACATGTTTGGATAGTGATCATCTTGCGGGGTGTACCACAATCCTTTGGCATGAAATGTCCAATAACTTCTTATGTATTCATTTACTTTAATCCATTCAAAATGTTTGAAATGTTGCACATGGTTAAAAAATTCTTTTGCAAAGTTGGTGAATGCATCTGGTATTCCACCTAAATGTTAGTTGATTAAAAAGTAAAGCTTGATTTTATGAGTTTTGATTTAGTCATTTTTCATGTTTATATAAACCATATGTTAAGTTTCTGTAACACATATTTGTCTTGTGTTTATGTCATACATGTCTTCACTTGTGTTATGTTTATGTCTGACATGTCTTTATTTGTGTTATGTTTATGTCTAACATGTCTTCATTTGTCTTATGTTTATGTTATACATGTCTTCACTTGTGTTATGTTTATGTCATACATGTCTTCACTTGTGTTATGTTTAGGTCATACATGTCTTCATTTGTCTTATGTTTATGTCATACATGTCTTCATTTGTCTTATGTTTATGTCATACATGTCTTCATTTGTGTTATGTTTATGTCATACATGTCTTCATTTGTGTTATGTTTATGTCTAACATGTCTTCATTTGTGTTATGTTTATATCATACATGTTTTCATTTGTCTTATGTTTATATCATACATGTCTTCATTTGTCTTATGTTTATGTCAAACATGTCTTCATTTGTCTTATGTTTATGTCAAACATGTCTTCATTTGTCTTATGTTTATGTCAAACATGTCTTCATTTGTGTTATGTTTATGTCAAACATGTCTTCACTTGTCTTATGTTTATGTCATACATGTCTTCATTTGTCTTATGTTTATGTCAAACATGTCTTCATTTGTCTTATGTTTACGTCAAACATGTCTTCGTTTGTCTTATGTTTAGGTCATACATGTCTTCATTTGTGTTATGTTTATGTCATACATGTCTTCACTTGTGTTATGTGTATGTCAAACATGTCTTCACTTGTGTTATGTGTATGTCAAACATGTCTTCTTTTCTCTTATGTTTAGGTCAAACATGTCTTCTCTAATCATAGCTGTATTTTGCATTTGTATTACATTTGTGCCATATAGGTCCAGTTTTACAATGTTGTTTAGACTTACCAATAATGCCACCAGCTTTGTAAAATCCATTTGCCAATGGATGAGCACATAATATTTCATAATTTCCTTTTGAGTTTAAAATACAATTTGAATAGTGAGGTGTAAGGTTGAAATATCCCGTAGCTAAATGTGTTGTAGATGCTTCAGGCATATCAAGCAACAGCTTTAAGGTAACATTTTCATCTTGTGTTATACCAAATAACCCCATTTGAAGCAAAGGATATATCACAGTATCTCCTTTGGAATATTTTGAAACTTTCTCGCTCTCCTTCGTCCATTTTTTAATAAATTTATTTACTGTACCATTTGCTATGCCACAAAATTTTCTGCCTCTGTCCCAGTCTTTATAAGGATGTGCAGGAAATTTGACATTGCTCATGCTTGTTACATTGTCAGGATGAAGTTGTAAGGAGAAACCACTGACCATTGTGACTAAGTTTTCGAAGTAGTCAGCTATGTGAGGAGATTTTTCGATAAGGATGTATCGATCTTGACGATTGGTGAAGTAGTCATTGCTTAAATTAGCCCTAAAAAGAAAATGGAGTTGAAAGCATAATTTTCAGAACTAAATAAAACAGAATTAAAAAACAATTTTCAGAGGAATGTATGATATAAATATGGAGAAAAAGGGTGAAGAGAATCTGATTAGGAAGTTGGGATTGAAGGGAATGTTGGTTCTGATGACAAAGGAACCAAGGAATGAGAATTAAGATGGTATGGATATATGCTTAAAAGAAACAATGGGTACATTCTAAAAACAGCTTTGGAGTTTAAGGTGAAGAGCAAGAGAAAAAGAGAATGACAAAAAAAGATATAGAAAGTAGAAGAGAAAGAGAAGTTTAGGCATTACTTTAGAGAAAGAGGGAATACCATGAATAAAGCACAATAAAAAGTTGAAGTTAAAGAGTTGGAATTTACCAAACAGCAACCAATGTTGGGTAAATCTGGCAACAGCCATTTAACTGGAGTGAGACTGAATTGACTTGTTAACTGAGGCACCTTGTTTGAAAATCAGTAAAATTTAGCTGGATGCTTTGGGAGATGATTCTTTTTCAACATTATATTTGTGGCACCTACCCAGTGAGGATGAATGTATCATCCGTAAGGTACACCTTGAGATGACTAACCCCAATTGTTTCATTATATTTTTCTGGTATAATCCATCGAAGCAAGCCCCTCAGTGCTGGTGTATGAAACAAAGCTATGTCAACATGCTTAGGAAATTCCATCAATAAAGGAAGCAACATTGTTCTTGAATTCTTCTCCTGCCCCCTTGAGCCACGAGTGTGATCAAGCAAGATAGAAACTTTTAAATCATTGCCATTATTCCTTGAATTTAACAGACTATGTCTGATGGCTCCAACCTACAGTCAATCACAAGTTGGCTATAAGATATCACAATGTTTCATTCTTCTAGTTATTTCTAAATATTCTAACTTTACCAATTCCTCTTCCAATTTTCCTGTGCCCAAGTATAGAGATGCAATTGCTATTCTCCTCTTTGCTTGAGAAATGTTTATCTAAGAAATACGTAATGGTCATTGAGAGCACAATATTCCTAAAATATGGAGGTAGGCCAGACTGCAAAGTTCATAAACTGTGAACCCAAGGTGAATATTTTACGTAAACTCTTTGCGTCTCACTTTCATTGCTACACACTCAAAATAAAAATATTGCATGCATGGTATTTTTACTTTTTGTCAAGATATGAATATCTTAGCATCATGCTTGCCAAAAAATCTTTTTTAAAATTTCATACATCTTTGAGACATGGGGGGTGGGAGATTAACTTGATATTGGTTGAAATATGGAGTGATGTGGTGACAAATTTAGCTTGAAAAATGTGTTGTCACATCTTAATTTGCACTAAATAGTATTGTTATAAAAATGATAATTAAAAGTTTTAACGACCTGGTTACGCTATTAGAGAATGAACTACACCCTAACTTAACTGCAAACAGCAGAGTAGTACGTACAGAGTAGTACGATTAGCTATGGTTTATATTGAAGAACGTAGATATGTCTCATCAAAAGTGTTTAGAGTACCTTTAAAGTTTCATAAAATTCGCATGGCTCATTCAGTACATGAACCTTATCTCCATCGATTATAAACGATGGTGAACAGTTTGACAACCAATGAAATTCACTTTTCTCACTATAAACATCAGCTATTGATCGCACATGAAGATTTGTTGATCTGTACAAACGATACTTGCATTGTTTCCAAATAGTTGATAGTTTATTGCAAAAAGGCATGATACAAAATATTGATATTGACATTCGAGTATTCTGTCCAAAAACATGACGACAATGACGGATTTTGGCATGGTTTTGGTTTAATGGTTTTAGTCATATGGTTTCGGTGGTCAAAACTTCCACTTTGTAAAATATTTTTAACATTCATCATCATCATCATCATCATCGGCCTGTCACGCCACTGCTGGCGGATGGCCTCCACATCTTTCTCCACTCTTCACGGTCTTGGGCTCTCTGGGTCCACATGCTGCCCGCTCTCTGCTCGATGTCATCTCTCCATCTCCTTTTTGGTCTTCCCTTGCCTCTTTTCTTGTCCCACTGGGTCCATTCAGTTGTTTTCTTTGCCCATTCATGATTTTTCATTCGGGATAGATGAAAAATCATACACAAACACTACCTCCAAATTTCTAAAATACTTTTTAACATTCACTACCTCCAAATTTCTGAAATACTGTTATACACCACCAGCAGGGCTGTAGAAGTGGGAGGCGCTTGGGAGAGGAGCCCCCCTTCCACCATTGAAATGGGTGAAATTCTTGAATTATAGTCCTTGGTGTGAAAATTGGTGAAATGCATGAATTATAGTCTTTGGTGTGAAAATTGGTGAAATGCGTGAATTACAGTCTTTGGTGTGAAAATTGGTGAAATGCGTGAATTATAGTCATTGGTGTGAAAATTGGTGAAATGCGAGGATTATAGTCTTTGATGTGAATATGGTGATATGCGTGAATTATAGTCTTTGGTTTCAAAATTGGTGATATGCGTGAATTATAGTCTTTAGTGTGAAAATTGGTGATAGGCGTTAATTATAGTCTTTTGTGCGAAAATTTGTGATATGCGTGAATTATAGCCTTTGTGTGAAAATTGTTGAAATGCGTGATTTATAGTCTTTTGTGTGAAAATTGTTGAAATGCGTGATTTATATTCTTTTGTGTGAAAATTGTTGAAATGCGTGATTTATATTCTTTAGTGTGAAAATTTGTGACATGCGTGAATTATAGTCTTTTGTGTGAAAATTTGTGATATGCGTGAATTATAGCCTTTTGTGTGAAAATTGTTGAAATGCGTGATTTATATTCTTTAGTGTGAAAATTTGTGACATGCGTGAATTATAGTCTTTTGTGTGAAAATTAGTAATATACATGAATTATAGTCCTTACTTTGAAAATTGGAGGTATGCGTGAATAGGAGGCTATACCTGCGGTGTTAAAACTGGTGAAATGCATGAATTATAGTCTTTCGTGTGAGAATTAGTGAAATGCGTGAATTATAGTCTTTGGTTTCAAAATTGGTGATATGCGTGAATTATAGTCTTTAGTGTGAAAATTGGTGATAGGCGTTAATTATAGTCTTTGTTGTGAAAACTGGTAACGTGCATGAATTATAGCCTTTGGTGTGAAATTTGGTGAAATGCATGAATCATAGTCTTTGGTGTGAAAACTGTTGAAATGCGTGAATTATACTCTCTGGTGTTAAAATTGGTGAAATGCGAGAATTATAGTCTTTCATGTGAAATATGGTGATATGCGTGAGTTATAGTCTTTGGTGTAAAAATTGGTGAAATGCGAGAATTATAGTCTTTGATGTGAAAATTGCTGAAATGCATGAATCATAGTCTTTGGTGTGAAAACTGTTGAAATGCGTGAATTCTAGTCTTTCGTGTGAAAATTGACTATAATTCACATGAAAATAATTCACAAAAGACTATAATTCACGCTTATCACAAATTTTCACACAAAAGACTATAATTTACGCATTTAACGAATTTTCACACAAAAGACTATAATTCACGCTTTTAACGAATTTTCACACAAAAGACTTTAATTCACACATATCACAAATTTTCACACAAAAGACTATAATTCACGAATATCACAAAACACAAAATTTACGCATTTAACGAATTTTCACACAAAGACTATAATTTACGCATTTAATTTTCACACAAAAGACTATAATTAACGCATTTAACAAATTTTCACACAAAAGACTATAATTCACGCATATGACAAATTTTCACACAATTAATTTCACTTTAATTTCACGCATTTAACGAATTTTCACACAAAGACTATAATTTACGCATTTAACGAATTTTCACACAAATTCACGCTTATCAAATTTTCACACAAAGACTATAATTTCGCTTTAACGACGCATTTCACTTAACAATTCACACAAAAGACTATAATTTACGCACAAAAGACTATAATTCACGTTCAATTACACATTAACGCATTTAACAATTTTCACACAAGACTATAATTACGCATTTAACAAATTTTCACACAAGACTATAATTTACGCATTTAACAAATTTTCACACAAAGCTATAATTAACGCAAATTTTTCACACGACTATAATTAACGCATTTAACAAATTTTCACACAAAAGACTATAATAACGCATTTAACAAATTTTCACATAAAGACTATAATTTACGCATTTAACAAATTTTCACACAAAAGACTATAATTAACGCATTTAACTAATTTTCACACAAAAGACTATAATTAACGCATTTAACAAATTTTCACACAAAAGACTATAATTAACGCATTTAACAAATTTTCACACAAAAGACTATAATTAACGCATTTAACAAATTTTCACACAAAAGACTATAATTCACGCTTATCACAAATTTTCACACAAAAGACTATAATTTACGCATTTAACGAATTTTCACACAAAAGACTATAATTTACGCATTTAACGAATTTTCACACAAAAGACTATAATTCACGCTTATCACAAATTTTCACACAAAAGACTATAATTTACGCATTTAACGATTTTCACACAAAAGACTTTAATTCACACATATCACAAATTTTCACACAAAAGACTATAATTCACGAATATCACAAATTTTCACACAAAAGACTATAATTTACGCATTTAACGAATTTTCACACAAAAGACTATAATTTACGCATTTAACGAATTTTCACACAAAAGACTATAATTAACGCATTTAACAAATTTTCACACAAAAGACTATAATTCACGCTTATCACAAATTTTCACACAAAAGACTATAATTTACGCATTTAACGAATTTTCACACAAAAGACTATAATTAACGCATTTAACGAATTTTCACACAAAAGACTATAATTTACGCATTTAACAAATTTTCACACAAAAGACTATAATTAACGCATTTAACAAATTTTCACACAAAAGACTATAAATAACGCATTTAACAAATTTTCACATAAAAGACTATAATTTACGCATTTAACAAATTTTCACACAAAAGACTATAATTAACGCATTTAACTAATTTTCACACAAAAGACTATAATTAACGCATTTAACAAATTTTCACACAAAAGACTATAATTAACGCATTTAACAAATTTTCACACAAGACTATAATTAACGCATTTAACAAATTTTCACACAAAAGACTATAATTCACGCTTATCACAAATTTTCACACAAAAGACTATAATTTACGCATTTAACGATTTTCACACAAAAGACTATAATTTACGCATTTAACGAATTTTCACACAAAAGACTATAATTCACGCTTATCACAAATTTTCACACAAAAGACTATAATTTACGCATTTAACGAATTTTCACACAAAAGACTTTAATTCACACATATCACAAATTTTCACACAAAAGACTATAATTCACGAATATCACAAATTTTCACACAAAAGACTATAATTTACGCATTTAACGAATTTTCACACAAAAGACTATAATTTACGCATTTAACGAATTTTCACACAAAAGACTATAATTAACGCATTTAACAAATTTTCACACAAAAGACTATAATTCACGCTTATCACAAATTTTCACACAAAAGACTATAACTTACGCATTTAACGATTTTCACACAAAAGACTATAATTAACGCATTTAACAAATTTTCACACAAAAGACTATAATTCACGCTTATCACAAATTTTCACACAAAAGACTATAATTTACGCATTTAACGAATTTTCACACAAAAGACTATAATCAACGCATTTAACAAATTTTCACACAAAAGACTATAATTTACGCATTTAACAAATTTTCACACAAAAGACTATAATTAACGCATTTAACAAATTTTCACACAAAAGACTATAATTAACGCATTTAACAAATTTTCACACAAAAGACTATAATTAACGCATTTAATAAATTTTCACACAAAAGTTTATAATTAACGCATTTAACAAATTTTCACACAAAAGACTATAATTCACGCTTATCACAAATTTTCACACAAAAGACTATAATTTACGCATTTAACGAATTTTCACACAAAAGACTAAAATTCACGCATATCAAAAATTTTCACACAAAAGTCTATAATTCACGAATATCACAAATTTTCACACAAAAGACTATAATTAACGCTTTTAACGAATTTTCACACAAAAGACTTTAATTCACACATATCAAAAATTTTCACACAAAAGTCTATAATTCACGAATATCACAAATTTTCACACAAAAGACTATAATTAACGCATTCAACGAATTTTCACACAAAAGACTACGCATTTAACGAATTTTCACACAAAAGACTACGCATTTAACGAATTTTCACACAAAAGTTCACGCATTTAACGAATTTTCACACAAAAGACTATAATTAACGCATTTAACAAATTTTCACACAAAAGACTATAATTCACACTTATCACAAATTTTCACACAAAAGACTATAATTAACGCATTTAACAAATTTTCACACAAAAGACTATAATTAACGCTTTTAACGAATTTTCACAAAAAAGACTTTAATTCACACATATCACAAATTTTCACACAAAAGACTATAATTCACGCATATCACAAATTTTCACACAAAAGACTATAATTAACGCATTTAACAAATTTTCACACAAAGACTATAATTCACGCTTATCACAATTTTCACACAAAGACTATAATTTACGCATTTAACAATTTTCACACAAAGACTAAAATTCACGCACAACGAATTTTCACACAAAAGACTATAATTTACGCATTTAACAGAATTTTCACACAAAGACTATAATTCGCGCATATCACAAATTTTCACACAAAAGACTATAATTCACGC